TTTTGACAGCTGTCAAAAGTAATAATGAAAAGGGGGTGGGATGTAGATTTCTGAAGTACCTAGAGCAGGGATCCTCAAACTTTTTCACCCGGGGGCCAGTTGAAAGGTGCCGGTGCTGGGCGCTGGCCGGAAAGGTGGTACCGGCGGCATGCCCAGGCCAGCAAGGGAGCAGGGGTGTGGCAAGGTGAGGCGCATGTGGGCACGTGCAGCAAGGGGAAGTGAGGCAAGGTGGGGGCAGGCATGCACCACAAGGGGGGTGCATAAGGCAGTGGCTTGCTCACTTGGAGATTGTTTTCTCTGAGCGAGTCCAAAACGATCTCCATGTGAGCAAGCCGCTGCTTCCCCACACCCGGGGCGAGGCAGGCAGCAGCAGGTGTGTGTGTGGGCAGGGGCGCACGTGCGGCGAGTTCAAAACCTCTGTGGCGGGCTGGATAAATTGGCATGGCGGGCCGGGTTCGGCCCGCCATGCCCATTTATTTGGCCTGCCGTGCCCATTTGGACCCGCCGCACCTGCACCCACGCGCACACTTGCCACTGCCCACCTCACCCCATGCGTGGGGAGGCAGCGGTTTGCTCACTTGGAGAACATGATCTCCAAGTGAGCAAGCCGCTGCCTTGTGCACCCGCCTCGTAGTGTGTGCATGCTCCAGCCTCACCTCCCCTCCCCTCGCCATGCATCCTACCCCCGCTTCAGTGCACGCACCCACACGCACTGCCCCCACCCCCTTGCTGGCCTGCGTGCACCGCTGGCAGCACCTTTCTGGCCTGTGCCCAGCACTGGCATCTTTTAGCTGACCCCCTGGTGAAAAAGTTTGAGGACCCCTGACCTAGAGGCTCCAGGAACTGTAGAAAGGGTGCAGGGTACTGCAAGCTAGCAGGGCAATATTTTACTTTAAAGAATCATATTGCTAAGCAGGGAAATATGCTCCCCACACCCTTATTGGGAAAGAAACTGCTTCACTGTTCATGAGTTGGTAGCTGTCAAACATGTGTAAATTAACCAGTCTCACCCTTGCTCTGCTAAAGTCCATGGGTCTTATGTACTGCACTTTGCCACCAACTACTTGCCAGGCCAGACTCCACATTGTAGCAATCCTAAGTGCGTACCTATGGTTTTTGTAGCCTCTCTGTGGGAGAGCCCTGTCCACTTTATTCTCCTGTGGGTGGCCTCGCCCACAGTAAAAGGGAGCAAGCAGGCAGGAAGGTGGGCAAATCCCTCATTTTCTGGCCTGATAACCTTCCATGATTTCATGCTGTATTGGACAAAGTCCTTTGATTAGAGAAATCTGCTCCTAGTGGCTGAATGCGTTACTATATTTTTCAACTGTTTGAACACATTTAAATTCATGACTAGATTTAAAACCAAAATAACCATGAAGTACACAATCCTAGGGACTGCAGGTGGCGCAGTGGTTTAAACCGCTGTGCTGCTGGGCTGGTTGATCGAAAGGTTGCCAGTCCAAATCTGCACATGGGGTGAGTTCCTGTGCGCCGTCCCAGCCCCTGCCAACCTTGCAGTTCGAAAGCATAAAAAGGTACCACTTCGGTGGGCAGGTAACAGCGTTCCGTGCACTTCGGTGTTTAGTAATGCTGGCCACATGACCACGGAGACTGTCTGTAGACAAACGCTGGCTCCCTCAGCTAGGAAATGGAGATGAGCACCGCCCCCTAGAGTCAGGCATGACTGGACGTAACATCAAGGGGAAACCTTTACCTTTACACAATCCTAGAGTCCCTTTAGAATGCATGCCATGTTTCAGGTGTCTAAACAGGCACATCTTAATAAACATCTTTTATTATTAGAGATTATATTCTAACCTTCCTTGAAGGTTCTCAGGCAATATGCATAATTATCCATATTTTCAACAACAGTCCTGTCAAGAAGACCAGGCTGAAAAACAGTGATTTGTTGAAGGCTATTGTAGAGGTTTATGGCTGAAGAAGGATTTGAAGCATGGTCTCTCTGGCACAAGTTTAACAGTCTATGCACTGTAACATTCTGACTCACATGAAACGCTGGTGAGCTTGGGCCATTATGTTCATATACCTGTGAAACTAATACCTGGTCATGCTACCAAATTCCACAGACACAGTAACAGTGTTCTAATAATTCCATAAATGTTACTAGTATGCAAAAATATTATTAGCCTATATTTATAAGTTATTTGTGGTATGGTATCAATGTGAAAGAAGAGGGGTGTGGAGAGGAACCACTATCTCAAAAGTCTGATAACTTCCATACTAGGTTTCTTGTAAGCAAGTCTGATCATTGCTGGCAATCAGGCAAATAGCTACTTATGAACCTTGATTCTATTGCAAATAATCCTTTACAGCAGGAATGGCAACATGTAGGTCTCCAAATACTGCATTCCAGCTTTCATCAGCTGTAGGCTGCATGGCCCATAGTAAGATATCTAGAGAGCCACAGGTTTCGCACCTCTGCTTTTACCATGTCTGTGGCCTGAATGGTTTAGTGTTTGCTTATGGATTTCTTCTTTTTTACAGGAGGCTTTGCAGAACCTGTACCGGACAAAATCTTATCTATTTGTAGGCTGTGGAGAAACCTTGTGTGATCAGATATTTCAGGCTCTCTTTCTATACACTGTCAAAAACAAAGTGGACTTAGAACATTACATGTTGGTGCTGAAAGAAAATGAAGACCAGTTTTTTAAACTCCAAGCCGATATGCTTCTGTATGGTATAAAAGTAGTGTCATATGGGGATTGCTTTGAAAGTTTTCCAGAGTATGTGCAAGATCTTACTTCTCAGATCTGCAAACAGAGGAGCCCAGGTACTGCATACAGTATAAAAATACACAGTGCAGAAACATTTTTTGCTCTTTTCCATATACATGCAGTTCTTAGCTGCACATCTTACAGAAATTAAAGTACATTGCCCTAGATATGTGCTGGATTCACATGATTGGCAAAGAAGAAGATGCCACAGTGGCTTTTCCCACCCTGTATGTGATGGTCACTTCATTACCATAATGACCCATGTTGTCCAAACCCAGTGAGATGATTGGCAGAGGTGGTTTTCAAATGAACCCACAACCCATGGCTTGTTCTAGGGTTTCAGGTTGGTATAGAAATCAGGTGGCATGAGGCCAGCATGCGCAGGGGGAGGGAAGAAGCCACCATGGCTTTTCTTTCTTTAGGCATGCTAACCTCGCTTCTGGATGGATATGTGGCTTTGGAAGTCCATTGCTCTGCTGCCACATATGTGAGATCACACTCTTGTTTCCTCAGTGAATTAATTTGCAATATTTACTGTCTGTATTATCAACTGTTACTGACGACTATAATTCCTACTTTATCCACAGATTGGTTAAATGGCGAATTGATAAGAAACTCTTTTGTTCTTTAACTGCCCTGATCCTGATTGTCAAATGTGGAAGGTGTGAAAGCTTACTGTTCGCATGCTTGTTGCCATGCCCTGTATAAGGGATAACGTAAAAGTGTATCTTAATAGATACTGTCAATTAGCCTATGTCCTGATCTCAGTAAGACCCGTATATTGGCCTTTCTTTTATCGTTGATTATGTCTACAAAACACTACCAGGGATCACTGTCTTGTACTCTGGAGGAGCTTCTTGTGGGTGGGGAACAGAAAGGATAATGCATTATCCAAAAGCACTAGGCATATACATGTAGCCATTTGATACAGACTGATGTATTTGTGCCAACCCTTGAAGCAAATTTCCTCCTGAGCAGTACTTACTGTGCCCTTTAATTGCACCTTAGTTAATGGCACTTCCATGCTGTCACTGTCTAAGGCCAAGTCCTAGTCCTAATATAGATATGGATAACTTCATCTGCATATTGGTCTCCAAACTGCTCCGTGGTAAATTTTTAAAAGCATTAAGTGCAATCCTATATGTGTCTATTCAAAAATAAATCTCATTAAGTTCAATAGTGCTTACTTCCACGTAGTATTGTAGCCAAAGTAAATTAGATTTCACTGCCATCTGGATATTGGTAGCTGCCATTCCACAGACTTCACTCAGCAGGGAAGATGCTTTTCTTCGTCATGGTCTCTGTGCATCACACATATGGGTAGATTAACAAACTTACCATCAAAGGAGGAGGGAAGGTGTCCTCATCGAAGGACAGAGGAGAGAACAGCTCTACCGAAGGAGCAGTCCCGTCGAGCCCGAACATCGAGACGGTAATGCTTGGCAAAAGTGCAGGGATTCGCCCAAGTAGCGGCTCTGCAGACGTCATCAATCGGAACCCCGGATGCGAATGCAGAAGATGTAGCGACAGCTCTAGTAGAATGGCCTCGAGGAACTGAAGGCAATTCGAGCTTAGCTAACTGATAACACAAGACAATAGTGTGGACTATCCATTTAGAAAGCCTTTGTAGAGTGACTGGGTCGCCCTGATCTCTAGCCGAATATTTGATGAACAGTTTATTGGATTGCCGAATAGACTCCGTTCGTGATTGATAAAAGGCTAAACAAAACCAAACGTCGAGGGAGTGCAAGGATCTTTCCAAGGGATTCGACGGCGATGGAGAAAAGGCAGGCAGTACAATGTCTTGTCCTGTATGGAAAGGTGTAGAGACTTTGGGCAAGAAAGATAGGTCGAGACGTAAAACGACCTTTTCTCTGTGGAAGTTTAGATAAGGAGGGTTGACGCGGAGGGCACAAAGTTCACTGGCCCTCCGGGCTGACGTGACAGCTACAATGAATGCCATCTTCCAAGAAACTAATCGGAGATCCACAGTCACCAAAGGTTCAAAGGGGGCCTTCATAAGGGCCTGTAGAACAACAGAAAGGCTCCACGTGGGCATAACCGGTCTAATTGATGGATTAAGATTATATAGTCCTTTCAAAAATCTCTTGAAGATAGGATGAGAAAATAGGGGTGATCCGTCGACTAAGCCACGGTAGTAGGCTATTGCGGCCGTATACACTTTAATAGAAGACGGCTTCAGTCCAGAGTGATGCAACTCCAGAAGGAACGGAAGAATTTGTTCAATTGATGAGACAAGTGGGGAGAACGAATGAGACTCGGCGAAGGTGGAAAACCGTTTCCATTTAGCCGTATATGACTTCCTTGTGGACGGCTTTAGGGCAGAGTCGATAATATGCTGAATCTCAGGGTGCAAGAGCATTGGGTTCGAATTCGATGGGGTCTATCTCGAACCGGATGGTACGGAGAGACTGTGGCAGTGAGAGGCACCCGCATGGTTGGATTCGAGAATCGGAACTGAAGCGGTCAAAGTAATCGTCGATACCGATGGATTAATAGAAGCTGTTGGATTCGAGGCTCTCGAATCCGTCGTTGGCCCCAGTGGAAGGTCGATCATCGAATCCACCACGCTGTCAGGTTCAATGAGAGCAAGTCCAGGTGACGAAGTGTGTCGTCCATTTGCGTTATAAGATATGGAAGTGCTGGAAGATGAAGAAACTCCCTGCGGGAGATGTTGAGCAGTTTTGCAAACCACGCTTGATGTGGCCACCAAGGGGCAACTAGTATCCCCGATGCACGGTTGCTCACTATCTTTGGTATGACCCTCATCAGAAGAGGGATCGGAGGGAAAGCATAGAAGTTGATGTTGTCCCAAGGGATCATGAATGCATCCCCTAAGGATGCTTGTCTGATTCCCGCTCTGGAACAGTAAGTCTCGCACACCCTGTTCTGTCGAGTAGTGAATAAGTCCACATTGGGGAACCCCCAGCGCCTGAACAGGTGGTTGCGCGTACGAGGATCCAGTTCCCACTTGTGAGAAGTGAAGATGTGTCTGCTGAGAAGATCCGCGTGCACGTTGTCTGTGCCAGCCAGATGAATGGCCATCAGAGTAATGTGTCTCTGAATGCACCAGTCCCAAATTCTCATAGAAAGCCTGGCTAAGGTCGGTGACTTCGTCCCTCCTTGCTTGTTCAGATAAAAAACGGTTGCTATATTGTCCAAAGTTATCTGAACGATCCGATGATGAAGGAGGTCTTCGAAAGAACGAAGTGCTTTGAAGACTGCCAGCAGCTCTAGGAAGTTGATATGATTCGTGGATTCTAGACGAGTCCAAGTTCCCTGGGTAGACAGGCCAAAGCATATCGCCCCCCATCCTAGGAGAGACGCGTCGGTACCGAGAGTTATCGAAGGAGGTTGCGCCCTGAAGGGGACTCCCATCACGAGATTGGTCGGTTTCAGCCACCAGCACAGGGAGTGGAGCACGGAAGACGGGATACGAATCCATTTCGACTGTGGGTCTCTTTGTGGATGATACACCTTGTTGAAGAATAGTTGTAGTGGGTGAAGCCAAAGTCTGGCATGTGGAACTACGGCAACTGAGGAGGCCATATACCCCAGGACCTTCTGGATGGATCTTGCCGTAACCGTTCCCTCTTGTCGGATTTGATGGATATGGCAAGTGAGAGTCTGCTGTCTGTCCTGAGGGAGGAAGGCTTTCTCCAACGTCGAATCCTGGCGGGCTCCAATAAAGGTGAGTGTCTGTGTTGGAAGAAGAGAAGATTTCTCTGTATTATTACGTAGGCCCAGACTATCTAGTAAGGAACGGGTTGTATGGATGGTGTCTAGGAGTCCTTCTCTGGATTGCAAGACCAACAGCCAGTCATCGAGGTACAGGTAAATTTGTATGCCCTGAAGGCGTAGGAAGGCACAGACAGGAGCCATGCATTTGGTAAAAACTCTCAGAGCCGTAGCCAGTCCAAAGGGTAAAACTGTGAACTCATAAAGTTGGTTTGCAACAGCAAAACGGAGGAAACGCCTGTAAGTTGGATGAATTGAAATATGAAAGTAGGCGTCCTTCAGGTCCAGTAAGGCGAACCAATCCCCTCTCCATAACAACGGCAAAATGTTTTGAAGGGTGGTCATACGAAACTTTCTTGGTATAATAAACTTATTCAAGTCCCGTAAATCCAAAATCGGACGTAGACCACCATCCCGCTTGGGGACCGTAAAGTATCTGGAATAGAATCCGTGAAGTCCGTCAGATGGAAATACTTGACGAATCGCTCCTTTAAGGAGAAGTTGATGTATTTCGTCGAGAAGTACCAGCGAACATGAAGTAGACCGGATCGGACTCAATGGAGGAACAATGTCAAATTCTATTTGATAGCCGTGTTGAACGATGGATAATACCCACCGGTCAGATGTGATGGACTCTGAAATGGGGAGTCGGCTTTGGAGCCGATCCCCAGATGAGAGGGGGGTGGGTATTAGAGGAGCATGAGGAGTGGTTCGCCAGTCCCGTCAGCGCTGCCTCCGATCGTCGAAACGACGGCGGCCCTGTTGGAAACGCTGTTGGGGCTGAGGGCGGCGGCCCTTGTTGATGCTGTTGTTGCTGGCGGTGTTCCGGCAGCTGTCTCTGCTGGTATGACTGCCTGTAGGATGGCCGATTCCAGGACCACTTACGTCTGCTATGTGACTGGATCTCCATCCTGCGCGCCGTCATTCTTGACTTGTGCAGTTTCTTGAGTTTGTGGTCGGTACGTGAATGGACGCCTGGAACCATCAAAAGGCATCTCTTCTATTCGCCGCTTGGTTTCCTCCGGGAAATTACAATTCCAAAGCCATGCATGTCTCCGGAGGGAAACGGCACTGACCAAGGCCTGGGAGTCAGTGTCCACATGGTGACGTGCCGTGGACAACTGCTGCACCGCGACCTGCATGGCCTCTTTGATTAGGACCTTCACAAGGTCACCCTGGTGGTCTGGGAGGGTGGAGGCGACGTTGTGGAGGCACTGCATAATAAAATATTGATATCGCGCCAACGTCGCCTCGTAGTTGGAAATGCGAAGTCCTAAGCCCGAGGCAGCATAGACTCGCCTGGCCAGGGAATCTATTTTCCGGCCCTCCTTATCCCTCAGCGCCGTATGTCCTCTCGCCTCTCTGCCTTGCGAGGATTCGACGACCGCCGAGTTTGGTTTCAGGTGCTTTAGCAGAAAGGGGATGTCTTCTTCCCGGACCCTGTACATAGACTCATATCTCCTGGACGTTGGCTGAGGATGTGAAGGTAGGTCCCAGGGCTGCATCATCGCCTGTTGCAGGGTAGTTATAAGCGGCAGAACGATGGAGGTCGATTGCTCCCCGCGGACGACGTTGTAAAACTTGTCCATCGACGGTCCTGGGCGCTGGGCAGCGTCGATGTCCAGGGACCAGACAAGCCTCGACATCAGCTCCGCGAAGGAGACGTGTGACTCATCGGGTGACGCAGGATCCTGGGATGTCACCACGACGTCCGGGGAGGTTGAGTCTACTTCAGAGTAATCCGAATCAGCACCGTAGTACGGTGGGGCAGAAGATGACGACTCCGCCGGCGAGAAGGAGCGGCTGCTTCCACTTTGCGGGGATTGAGGTGGCACCCTCCTTGAATCCACAGACCGCGGTTGGTTGCGGGGCGGACGTGAGGATCGTGCCCTGGGAGCAGGGTAGTACCCCACAGAGATTGGGTCTCCCCAAGGTTGGTAGTAGGGACGACGCCAACTCTCCGGGTGTTGCTCTACTGAGCAGCTCCTCCGATTCCCTGGTGGGGACAGGCCAGCTTCTGTCTCCAATGTCACCATGGGCATTGGTGTTGGTGACCTTGCTCTAGGAGGGGAGTCCTGGATTTCTCCATCTGAAATAGACCCCCATAGAGTTGGAAGGGGTGCAGGAGGGAGGTCGACCGCATGTCGGGGAGACCCTTGAGGGGTAACCCGCATGGCCTCCTGAAGGATCGGTTCGGGCGGGGTCGGTATCGTAACCGCCACCGGTACCGAGGGTCCTGTCAGCTCCAAGTCCCAATGTCGGGAACGGTCCGTGGACTTAGCCTTCTTTGGAGGCTTAGAGGCCTTCTCCTTTCTGGCCTTCTTATGGCCTGCCGGCTTCTCTTCGGCATGCTTCCGCTTCTCATGCCTCTTTTTTGGTGAAGCAGAGGGGGCCACCGAAGCAGACGCACCTTCATCCGAAGGGCATGAGGGTGGAGCCACAGAAGCGGAGCCAGGTTTTGGAATAGAGATGAACGGGTCTGATTGCATCAGAGCCCTATCCCAAAGGAGCCTCCGAAGCCGATTCTCGCGGTTCTTCCTAGCCTGCTTTGAGAAGGCTAGGCAATGAACGCACTTATCCGTCCTATGCCCCTCTCCAAGGCAGAGGAGGCATAGGTCGTGTGGGTCAGTAGGTGCCATTTTTGACCTGCAGTCCGCACTTTTGCGGAAAGCTGCTCGCTGCGCCATCGCAGAAAAAAAGAAGAAAAAGGAGAGATAGTGCAGAGGGTAGGTATATATTTTTGGTTGTTTTTTTTTTTTTTGATAGATCGAAGAAATAACAAGAGAAAAACTACACAGAAGCGGGAAATGAAGTAAGGGGAAAGTAGTATAAGGGCAATATATAAGGAGAGAACCAAGAATAGCCAAAGCGAAAGTTGAAAGCGGCACGAGGCACAGCGAACGGCGGTCGCAAAGACTGAACAAAATGGCGGACGCTCCGCTCTTTATAGGCCACAAGGGGGAGGGGGAGTGGAGCTTCCCACCAAAAACCGTTAGCTATCAATCTTCCAGCCAAAGGCACTGCGCAGGCGCAGTACCCATATGTGTGATGCACAGGGGCCACGTCAAAGAATGTTGTATTCTTTCATCTCAAGAGTATCTCCAATAGGCCTTCATGGGCTTGTAGCTGAATGAAAAAGAAAACAAAACCCTACACTGCTAAATCATAGGAAATGTTAGTATGATACAGCAGAACTGAAGATTTTAAAGTAGGATCCATGACACCACATAAAGTTACACATAAAGTTTTGTTTGCAGTTGCCATAGATGAAGCCTAGCCTGTTGTATAGAAATATTGCAAGAGTTGTCCAAGTAGCGTATAAACAAAGTTGTAGATAAGGTGGGTCTAAGCATTCCTAGTGTTTCATGCAACATTTTAAATCAATAACTTAGAAAAATAAATGCATGGTTTTATTTAAGTTAAGCTATATTCTATCCAGTCTGGTTATAGACCATCTTTTTTTTCTCCAGATGCAGATCAAGCGGATAGTACAACACTTTTGGGTTAAGTATATTTTTATTTGCATGCATCTCTTGTAGTACTGAATGGGAATGGCATCTTGGGAACAACTGGATGTCATGTTTTTGCATTTAGGAGAACCATTCCTCGGTTTTGAGTATAAATATTTATTTATTTAGAATATCATGTGCTTCTAAACTGAACAATCCTGTTTCTTCTTAATGCATTTTCTGCAATTAGGACAAAGACAAAAAGTGATGGGAAAACATGGGAGACTTTTCAGAACCCAGCCACTCTTATCCCAACGCTTCTTTTTCTATCCTTTCCTACCCTTATCCCAACCCCCCCCATTCTATTGTCCTCTTTTTCAGATTTTCTCTCAGCTAGCAATTCCCCTTTTGCTCTCTCCCCTGATGGCATACAAGATGGCTTTTAGGAAATTCATGTGGTGTGGCATGCAGATGCCCTAAATTGATGGTCCTTCCTTAGGCCTATTTTGCTTAGGCAAAGACTACCACGTGGACTCTACTGTCATGAATGCATTCTGTCCTAAGGAAAAATGTGCTTTGCACTTTGTTTATTTCTATACTGCCTGTAGCTGAAGCTCTCTGGACAGTTTACAACAAAGTATTAAAAATATAATAGATATAACATTATCAAGAATTAATTTAAAATAGCACAAAAGACATTAAAAGACAATGCAAGAATAAAGGAAAGGCACCTGGATACTCATCTTAGACTCCTGAATGACCAGGGAAATCTTTAAATGCCTCTTCAAAGGGCTGTTTTAACGTGGTGCTGAAAAGATGGCAAATTTGGCAGCAGGTGGGTTGCAGCAGGGAGACTGATCCAAAGATGGGAGACTACCAGAGAAAACACCCTTTCCCTAGTTGCCACCCTCCTTGAACCCCCTTGAGGGGTTGGCACCCGGAGGAAGGTCCCAGAGGTTGAGTATGGCATCCAGGTAGATTGGGGTTGGGAGAGGCACACCAACAGTTATTGCTGTCCCAAGCTGTGTAGGACTTTTTAAGTTAAGACCAGCACCTTGAATTGGGTCTGGAAGCATACCGGCAGCCAATGCAGGTGAGCCAGACCTGGTTTTATATGTTTGGCCCTCTGGGCCTATTAATCTGGCTGCCGCATTCTGCACCAGCTGCAGCTTCTGAACTGTCTTTCAAGAGTAGCCCCAGAGTGCATTGCAGTAATTATTTATGTGCCATCAAGTTGTCTCTGACTTATGGTAACTCTGAATGAATGCCCTCTAAAATTTCTTGTCCTTGACAGCTCTGCTCAGCTTTTGTAAAGTCAAGGCTATGGCTTCCTTTATAGAATCCTTCTATCTCATATTTGATCTTCCTTTTCTTCTTTTACCTTCAACTTTCTCTAGCATAAATGTCTTCTGATAACTTTTTAGAGTTGAGTAAAATATCTGGTAATTGATCGTCAAAGGATTATGTTATGCATTGTATTAATGGTGCTGGTAGATTCAGACTAACAGTTGTATGATACCAATATTAACTTGGAAGTTTTTTGCTTGAATACATGTGCTCAATTTGTTCTTGTAGGAGCATCTTGTGTGGATTGTGCAAAGCGAAGGCTAGGGGAGAATGGCAATGACCAACTTAAGAAAGCAAGACAACCTGATAATGGTAAATCTGATTCGTCAATTTTTTTCATTTTTAAAGAATTGTGCTGAATTGCCAGCATTCACACTTACAAATCCTCAACAGAGCTGAATAAGAAGCTTCACCCCATCTACAAAACTACCTAGATGTTTCATGATATATGCCAATTTTGCACTAGGCAGGCAATTTACCATATGGGTTACAAAGCCCATACAGACACATCTATGTGGCTTATGTACGGCTTGCAAAATGCTAAACCAGCATATAAAATGCAACAGTAAAATAGATGAAAGCAATAAAAATTTATAAAAAGTTTAAAATGCTTACAACATAAAAGATCATGCATAATCATACTCCGACACAAACCAACTAATTGACACAACCAACCAATTAAGTAAATCAACAAAACACAGATCAAAACCCCCAAATTTGTGGGAGTAGCTTCTGTCCATGAGGCAGTTTGACTCCAACCTGAAGCAGCCCCCTCTTCCTTTTGTTTTCCCACAGTCTTGACCCCCCCGCCTCAGGTGGCTCACTTTGCTTGCAGACCAGACAGCAGTAGTGCCTGATGGTCCACCCATTTGGCTTGCCACTATCTCATCAGGTCTAGGAAGTCAGTCTCGTCCCCCTCTTGCTCTACAGTCTCCCTGCATGCCCAAGAGAGTTTAGATCTCAGTTGCTTCCTGACTAATCTCACTTGTTAACACTGATTTTTTAGTTACCCACCAACTCCTCTCCTTCTACACTATTTATCTCACATTCTGAATCTGAACTGTCTGGCTGGGAATGCTGTACTGTGAGAAAGCTGGGCCCCGTCTTCATACCTTGAAAGCCTGTTTTCTTACACAGTTCCAGGTAGGTTGGTCCAACTGTTCCTTCAACCCATCTGATTAGACACCCTCATTGGAAAAGCAAGGAGGGCTGTGGCTGAAGTACTGATATGCATTAGCTTTCAGCAAGTGGGAATGTAGTCCACTGTACTCCTTGAGAGTGGAGATTCTCTGTTTAGGGGAGAGTACATTTGTTACTGGCTTGTTGAAGGAAACAACGGTTAGTGTTTGGGAAAGAATGTGCTTTGCAAGATTGAGTCCGCTTTTGTTGGCTTTCTAAAATGATAACAAATTCTTCAAGGCAGTTTTTGCTATAACCAACTATGATTTGCATTGAACATCAAACACACCCCCACCCCGGCCTGCTTCATTGCTTCACCACAAACAGGCTTGGTCAGCAGTGAATGCATTTAATGTAATACTGGGTACAGAAACAGCAGGGCCACCTGGTCACTTCCTACAGAGGCTTAGCTGAAAAGGAACTTGACTTTTTAACTTCAGGCATACTCTTGACTGTCCTGGCTAGGAAAGGGAGTTGCATCTTCCCCTCTTCCTGCCACTGCTTCCAAAGGTTGCAGTCAGCTTCTCCAGAGCTTCAGCTTTTGTGTTGGCAATCCCCTGCTCTGCCAGGTCCTTCTCATGCATGTGCACAGTGAGACAATTCCTCTCCCCTTTGCCAACTCTCAACACACCATTCCTTTCCCACGCAGGCACTCTTCCTGGGGGGTAAGGTGAGCTGTGTCCACCCTTATATACCTGCCTCTGCCCCAGACTATAGGAGTTTAGCACCTTTCCTGCCCCAAGTCATGGTCTCCTACGACCTCTGTCTTCCTGCTGCCACTTTCCTCTCTCTCTCCACACCATGTTCATCACCCCATTCCTTTCCTTGCAGCCTTCTTTATCACTTCAGTGCTGCACTGCCTCTGCCTTCTCCCCCACATTTTCTCTTCCTAAGGAAAGCACCTGCACACCTGGGTGCTCAGTGCTGGGCTGTGCGCACGCCTGTCCTGCCCAGTGCCCCATTGCTGAAGGTCTTGCTGCCCCAGGCACCAGCTTCTTCATGTTTTTGCTTCCCATGGCATATCCCCCTTGGCTGGCTCCAAAGTAGGAGATGGCAAGCCCCACTGACCCTTCACACCAACTTACTGGTGCAATCCTGTTACAAGGACTTTAAACCACCAGACCTCATAGTAGTCAGTGTAGTTATTTCTGCATTGATTATGAGGAAGAGGGATGGTGGAACTCTGATTTCCTCTGCTCTCTCCAGCCTCAGATCTGACATATCCTTGGTCCCTATGATACTATGTAGGGGCCACAGAATTGCTCCCTCCAGGTAAGTTTATCACTATGATGCAGAATTTTCAGGTGCATGTCCATGACAGCTACAGTTTCATTTACTCTGACTATACATACACATTAAAGGAAATGTGATTTCATACTTTTTAAAGCAGAATTATCTTACACCGGGTTTCTTTTCTAAACAGGTACTGCTGAAGATGCTGTCTCTTTGTGACTATGTGAGAACATACCTTGAAAAACAACTATCTGCTATGATTGTGCCACAAAAACTCAATCAGGATTCTTTTACTTCATATGCATTGAAACTAGTTAAGGTGTACATCCCTTAAGAATGTTATTCCTGTACGTTATTTTTTGAAATTTGGTTTACATTTCAGAGGTATCCTTTAACCAAGACTGTCTTGCAACTACCTCAGGATTAAAATACTGCAAAAGTGAGATAGAGCTTCTGAAATGGCATTCCGATTTGTAAAACTGTCTTGCTTTTAACTTCTTTGACTAATCATGTTATTGCCCATTATAAGTAAACAATTCTTCTGTGAGAGGAAGATGCCTTTCTGAGAATATTCTTCTAAGTACACAAAGAAACACAAGAACTGTGAGAGAACTTAAAGCACTATGAATTTTCACACAAATGTTTGTGGAACAGCAGCAGTTAGTATTTTCCTTCTGCTCCCAGTACTGTTACAGGGCTTTGTACATTTTGTAGGGTATTTTTTCCTTTAAGAAAAAAATGAATGCAGCAGAGAACAATAAGGGCTCTTAATTTCTATGTATTTTAATTAAAAAAAATCTCAGAAGCAAACATTCTTGTTATTCTTGGTGTTATCTATTAACTTTGGAGAAATATGGGCATGAGGTGAAAAGATAACCAAACATGTTAGAATGTAGTTTGACTATGAGATAGAAAGGAAAAGATGCTGGTCAATGTCACTTGGATCTCTATCGCCTAGTAGACATGTGCTGTTAGGATAACATACAGCCTACTTCATGCAAACCGTGCTAGCCTGCAAATAGACACCTGTTTGCTCTTCCATATAGAACTGATTCTCCACACATGAGAAACTAGAACAAAGTTTATTGAACTACTATCAAATAAAAATTATGCACATTAGACAAATACAATAGACAACACTCAACCTATTTCGTATAAGGAAATATTAAATCCTCAGTAACATAACATCAGTAATACAAGCTTTTAATCAGTAAATGGTATTGTCCCCTGCCCTATGTGAGCAAGGTTAATATTCAGTTGGAGAGCACAAAATATTATGGGACTTACAATATAGGAATTTAAGCCAAAAGTTCAAAGTTAGATGCACATAAATGTAATATTAATCCAATAACCCAGTTTAAAGAGGAAAAGATATAACTGGAGAGATAATCAGGCTAGGCAAAGTGGCCAAAGAAGTGTGCTTAGTTTAACTTCACCACTGTAAATTTTCTCCCCACATCTCTACTGTGGGGTTCCAAATATCTTGAAATACTTGAAACTTCTCAGGATAATGTTTAAGGAAGTTACAGAACCAGCAAATAGATAATGGTATTCTCTGCCATTTTCTCCTATTCTGATTTCCTGAAATATCACTTCTGTTTGGTCTCAGATACTTCAGATTTTAGCAGTTACCTTCCATACAGCATAAGTGTGAACCTTTGAGCATTGCAAGCATCTTTACATAGCAAAATACTTAACTACCACTTCTTTACAACCACTTCTCATGCTAAATGTTTGAAGCTTTCAATGGTTCAATAACATACATTAGGAAATTCAGACAGGAGCAAACAGTGGCTAAACATATTAAAACAGCAATAAATTCAGTCTTTGTCCTTTTTTAATACAGAGCTCTTACTCTGTTTCTCTCCCTTTTCATTCTCATCAGAGTCTGGATACTGAGTAAGATCCAGGGTCAGCACTTGACTGAACATAATATCATCTTGCTGAAAAGGGAAATGATTAAGAGTTAGTACAGAAACATTGTAGAAACATAGATACTTAGTTTTCACTGTATGTGTGCCATCCAGCTTTCAGAATGATGATGAACACAGTTCCACAGAATTATATCCCTATCTCATTAAACGGGGCAGGAGGAATAACCAAAGTTATATATACCTGAGGGCAGACTCCAACTAAAGCATCTGCTTTAGAATAAAATTCTTCCTTTAAGGAGATAACCAGAATTTGAAACTTTTCTTGGGACTGCTGCCTAATGAAGCTTGATACCTTTTTAAGAAGAAACTTAAGTTGAAATGGGATTTGTTAACTTTATACAAAAATAGAACAAAAACTTAGATTCAGAGATTACCCATGTTAGGATCTTATAGAACTGCAACATCTTAAAACTGCAGCCATTTTCTAAACATTAAGACATTTAAGCTCCTCTTGCCAAAACTCGCATCCTCAAGTCTTCACAAGTTCCTCAAAATGTTGCAAAATCTGGCTAGGTCAGATAGTTGGCCTAGCCCTAATTATAAGAGCATGTCTTGGGTGAAAATCCTACCAGCCTACTGCCTGATAGCAACGCAACCAAACATTTGCTAGTTAAAATACCTTCCAATCACTAAAAGCCTAATATTCTTCGAAGTTTCAGAGAAAGAGAATATTCCTTATTTGTATGTCCATTAGCAGTGTTCACATCTAGGCAAGTGATCTCACTGTGAACTGATTCATGTGTGAGCACCTGCCTCCCAAAGGCAAACTCAGCAGAAGCCAAGTTGTCTGATTAACATCAGATAAAAGTGGAAATGGAAAATCCTTCCAAAGAACATTAGTGCCCAAGGATATGGATCAGACTGATGGAAATACCTTATATTCTTGAGGGATGTGCTTCAGCTAAGCCAAACCTCTGACAAAGTCCAATAGCAAAAACCCTATTACTTACCTGGAATAATCCACTCAAAAATATGCTCCTGAAGAATATTAAGGAACCCTCCTTTCCCCCATAAAGTGTTGCAGGAGAAGAAATTTCCCTTTCAATTTCATAGGGAAGGGACACTTATCTTCTAAATTCCCAATATTCTGTCCCAAAATGTCTTTTTGAAAAACTGTTCGCACAAATTAGTGGTATCTACAACTGGAGAGAAAAGCTAATGAAACCTGCATGAATCCATCAACAGGAAGCAGCACCCTCTTCTCCCCTACTCCACCCCCCCCCCCCCGCCACTTGACACCTTACTGTCCTGACAGCCTTAACAAGGAGAAGCTTCCAATGCCTGGGCAGCACTGCTGCCATGTGTTAATTTAAGACTGATACCTACACTGAATATCAGTTACAGAATTTTCTAATAAGCAGAAGGTTATTAGCAGAAAGCAGACTTTCAGATGCAGAAAGTCAAGAAAGGCCATATATTAGCATAAACCACAGGTATCAAAAATGGAACAAAAACTGCCTTTAACTTGTCTGTACATATGGTTAACTTCCATTTCAAACAGCATGATTCAATTTTGTCTGATATAATGAAAAAGTTTTAATTTTTTTCTCTCTGTTTCAGCTTAACAATAGTGTGCTCATATAAAAGTATAAAGTTATTTTTGTGATAGCAATTGTTTTGCTCCTTTTAATAAAGAGAACTGGGTAACTTACTTTGCCAATATTTGTGTTATCTAGTGCTGCATCAACTTCATCCAAAATAAAAAAGGGGGCAGGCCTAAAACTAAAAGAATAAGGTAGAAATTAAACCAATTAAAAATAACTTCAGTTGTACTCTTAAGAATAGCACTGCACTTCTCATAGTAATAAGTTTTGTGGTAGTAAAATGTTTCTTTAATGTGTGTTTTGCTTATTTTTGCATGGCTTGCAATAATAAACAATAATACCTGCAATTATTTCACTAGAAAAAAATGTACATTTACTTAATTCACCAGAATGAACAAACTGGACTACTTTTTATATTTTTTTTCTTTACTTTAACCTTGGGGAGGGAAAAGATCCTCTGCTTTGAGGCTGTAAATTCAGGTTCCCACCAGAAATCAAATTAATTAACTACTTAATTAAAAGACATTATTATTATTATTATTATTATTATTATTATTATTATTATTAAACATTTCTATGCCGCCCCTTGCCGAAACCTCGGGGCGGCTTACAACATGATAAAATACATTGAAATACAATAGTACATAATAAATTACCATTAAATATAAAAATACAAAAAATACATTGATTTACAAATATAAAATTAAAATTATCAGTATAAAATAAAAATATAGGAGGAGAAAGAGAAGGAAGAAGAAGTTGCCCTGGCCAGATCATATGTTTTAACAATTGAAATGATGTTTAAATAAAAAGGTCTTTACCTGGCGCCGAAAAACCAGTAACGACGGTGCCAGGCGGACCTCTTTGGGGAGTGAATTCCATAGGTTGGGCGCCACCGCAGAGAAAGACCTCCTCCGGGTACTTACTCTCCTAATTTCTTTCATGGAGGGTTCCCGGAGAAGGGACTCTCCCACAGATCTCAAAGGGCGGTCGGGCATATACGGACGTAAGCGCTCGTTCAGGTAGCCAGGACCCAAGCCGTTTAGGGCTTTGTAGGTCATAATAAACACCTTGAATTGGGCCCGGGCTTCAGTGGGCAGCCAGTGAAGCTGACAGAGGACTGGAGTCATGTGAGCATAACGCCCCATCCCCGTCAGCAACCTGGCAGCTCTATTTTGCACCAATTGAAGTGTTCGGACTGTCTTCAGGGGAAGCCCCACATAAAGTGCGTTACAGAAGTCTAGGCGGGAAGTCACCAGCGCGTGCGTCACCGTCGCCAGGCAGTCGTACTCCAGGTAGGGGCGCAGCTGATTAATCAGCCGAAGCTGAAGGAAGGCGCTCCTCGCTACCGCTGTCACCTGAGCTTCCAAAGAAAGCTCCAGGTCGAGGAGTACTCCTAAGCTGCAGACCTTATCCCTAAGAGGGAGTGTTGCACCATTCAGGACCAGGTCAAATCCACCCTCTCCGAAACCCGATCCGCCAACCAACAGGACCTCCGTCTTGTCTGGGTTGAGTTTCAGTTTATTGGCCCTCATCCATTCCATTACCTCGGCCAAGCACCGGTTCAGCACAGCCACTGCCTCACCTGGATTAGTGGAAAACGAGAGGTAGAGCTGGGTATCATCAGCGTATTGATGATTCCGCAGCCCACACCTCCTGATGACCTCTCCCAGCGGTTTCATATAGATGTTAAATAGCAGAGGGGATAGAATGGAGCCCTGTGGTACCCCATGGCATAGCTGCCATGACGTAGAGACATGGTCCCCCAGCACTACCTTCTGGAATCAACCCTCGAGATAGGAGCGGAACCACTGCAAAGCAGTGCCTCCAACCCCAAATCCCGCAAGTCTATCCAGAAGGATACCATGGTCGATGGAATTGAAAGCCGCCGAGAGGTCCAGAAGAACCAACAGGGATGTACTCCCCCTGTCCTTCTCCCTGCACAGGTCATCGTACAGGGTGACCAAGGCAGATTCAGTACTGTACCCGGGTCTGAAGCCGGACTGAAAAGGATCCAGATAATCAGTTTCATCCAAGAGTGCTTGGGGTTGTCCCGCCACCACCCGCTCTAACACCTTGCCCAGAAACGGGATGATGGCCACAGGTCTATAGTTAGTGGCCATCTCTGGATCCAGTGATGCTTTCTACAGGACCGGTCGGACTACCACCTCCTTTAAAGGGGCAGGCACTCGACCCTCCCTCAGAGAAGCGTTAACCACTTCCAAGATCCAGGTCCCAATCCCGTGCTTGGAGTTATTTATTAACCAAGACGGGCAAGGATCCAATAGGCAAGTGGTGGGACGTACTCTTCCAAGCACCTTGTCCACATCATTGGGTCGCAATAATTGAAATTCCTCCAATAATTTTGGACCAGACGGTGGCATTGGCGACTCCTCAGAGACCTCTGATTCATTAGTGGAGTCCAGCTCGTGACGAATCTGAGTGATTTTCTCCCTGAAATGCCTGGCAAAGTCGTCACAGCGGGCCTTTGAGGGTGGCATCAGATCTTCCTTAGGACCCAGGCGAACCAGGCCTTGCACCACTCGAAAAAGCTCCGCTGGACGGCATTGTGAGGAGGCAATGGAAGCGGAAAAAAACTTCTTTTTCGCCGCCTTCACCGCCACAGCATAGGCCCGATAGTGGGCTCTCAAGTGCGTTCGGTCAGATTCATCCCGTGATTTCCTCCACCTACGCTCTAGCCGTCTCCCAACTCGCTTCATCGCCCGTAATTCAGGTGTATACCAAGGGGAAGAGCGGACTCTGCCCGGTGGGAGAGGACACTTAGGGGCAATCATGTCCACAGCCCTGGTCATCTCTCCGTTCCACAGTTCGACCAGAGCCTCGACAGGAGCACCAGTCTTGTCAGCCGGAAACTCCCCCAGGGCCTTCAGGAATCCATCCGGATCCATCCGGCTCCGGGGGCGGGCCCATACAATCGGGTCCGCACTCTTATAGAGGGAGAGGCTGCTCTCGAGCACAAACCTCACCAGGAGGTGATCTGACCATGACAGGGGAGTCAAACATAAGTTCTTCACCCTCAGGTCATCCTCTACCTGCCCCGTCGTGAATACCAGGTCCAGAGTGTGTCCACGTTCATGGGTCGGGCCAATGACGTGTTGAGACAGGCCCATGGCCATCATAGAGGCCATGAAGTCCTGAGCTGCCCTGGTCAGTCCAGACTCGGCATGGAGATTGAAGTCCCCCAGGACCAACATCCTGGGGGTCCTCAACACCAGGTCCGAGACGGTCTCTGTCAGCTCAGATAGGGAGACTGCTGGGCAGAAAGGTGCACGGTACACCAATAGAATCCCCAATCTGTCTCGTTCGCCCAACACCAAGTAGAGGCACTCCAGCCCTGGTCTCAAAGGGACCGGAAGACCCGTGAGAGAGATGGAGGCTCTGTAAACCAACACGACTCCCCCTCCCCTCCCTTCTGGGCGTGAACAGTGTTGAACCAGATACCCGGGCGGGCACAATTGGGAGAGGGCAACATCCCCTCCCTCTCCCGCCCAGGTCTCCGTTATGCAAGCCAGGTCGGCCCCCTCATCCACAATCAAGTCATGGATGAGGGAAGATTTATTATTGACCGACCTGGCATTGAGCAGCAGCACCGTCAGACCCGAGGGGTGGTTGACAAGGCTACCTGGCGCCCTCTGGTTGGGGGCAGGATCAGAAGGAGGGACAGGTGTCAGCCATCTGTCCATCCTTCTTCTACGTGGACACGTTAAGCCCCTATTGTTGTAACGACCATTGCCCGTGACCACGCCAATAGCAGCCCCCGTGGGTTCCCCAGGATATATAAACGTCGACATGGCCAGGAATGACTCAAAGCTCTGATTAAAGCAGGGTAAGATTATAAAGTAGGTCGAAGGAGGAGAAAAAAGAACGATAAAAAGAAAAAAAGAAAAAAAGAAAAAGGGGATCCTTCCTCTTCCCTGAGAATCAGCAGTAGGCAAGCCTATTTCAACAAGAGTCCATGGCCAGCCCAGCCCCCCTCTCGTCCCCCCGAACGGCACCCCAAACGGCGGCGACCCCTTTGGTCGCCGCCCTTCGGCCGCCGGCCCTTCGGCCGCCAGCCCCAGCCGTTGCCGCGGCTTTGACTCCGCAGGGCGCCTCCGAGACCCGCCCCGTTGCGCACTGCGCGCGCCCGATCACCTGGGCCGGCGGGCAGCGCTCTCCGGCGCCGCGTGTGCCCGCACTGGCCGGTGGAGCTGGCTGCCGTCGAGGTCGCAGCCGCGTGCGTCTGCCTGCATTCGCTTGCCCGGGAGCGGCGTGATGCTGGAGGTGGGCGGAAGCGTTTCTTGCAGCGCGGGGTCGGTGTTTCCTGCCTGGGGGGCCGTTCCCTCCTGGACGTTGCTGCGGCTTTGACTCCGCAGGGCGCCTCCGAGACCCGCCCCGTCGTGCACCGCGTGCGCCCGATCACCTGGGCCGGCGGGCGGCGCTCTCCGGCGCCGCGTGTGCCCGCGCTGGCCAGTGGAGCTGGCTGCCGTCGAGGTCGCAGCCGCGTGCGTCTGCCTGCATTCGCTTGCCCGGGAGCGGCGTGATGCTTAGACATTGTATGGCCAATTCAGACATTCAATTTTCCCACTCCATTGTGGAATTCAGAAACAAAACTTTAAATTTAGTGAAGTACAAATGTTGGATCTAATAAACAGTAAATATTTGAATGGCTTGATCATACAACCCAGTTGAAAGCTATCAGTCATTCAACAAAGTTTTTTCTTAAGAATGATAGTCTCAGATCAAATAATGTTTCACACACATATAGCCCTTTAGTCATCTTAGTCCGTTGTGGATCTCACCCTGCAGCAATTCTAAAGATCATTGTGAAGCTAAACAAACTGAGTACCTTTAAGTGATCTACATTGTATCTGCCTTCCCAACTCCGAAAGCACTAATGCTACCAATAAAAAGAGCAGCAGCTATGGGAAAATACATGTGTTACAAACAATAGGCAATGAATCTTAGAGAGATACAGGATGGGTTTCCAATATGGTGCCCATGGATGCCATGGACCAGACTGCACCTTTGAGGCCAGATGTACCAACCAAAGGCCCACCAATGCTATTGTTCCTCCCTATTTAAGTGAATGCAGAAATTGTTCCATTGGTTTGAATAAAGAGGGAACCCCCCCCCCACACACACACACACTCAAACTAGTGAAAATCAGCTGGCCTGCAAGCAGAATCTACTCTGTGCGAAGGACCATTCAGGCAATAGGATCTTTGTCAGGCAGGGACCTTTCCAGTTAATTTTCAACTGGGGCTTTTTCATCTCCATGCAAATGAATGGGGAAGAAGCAAAGAGGAAGAGCAAGGAGAACCACCACGAGAAAGAGGAGCTAGGGTGTGTGTTAAGTGAGGCTTCTGACTTTTTGTACAGGGAATGGTACTATTACAAAACCACTGGTTTTAAGTCTACTAGACCATTATTATAAACCAGTAAATGAGGAAAAACAACCAGTGGGTCAACCAGTTCTAGATGGGGTGACACTCCCCATGAAAGCCCGTGTTTGCAGTTTGCAGGTGTTACTTGATCCAGTACTTCAGATGTCAGCTCAGATAGATGCATAGGTCAAGAGTGTGTCCTATCAGCTTCCACTGATTTGCCAACTGCATCCCTTCCTGGAGGGGAATGACCTGAAAACAGTAGTGCATGTACTAATCCAACTTCTAGGCTGGATTTCTGCAATGTGCTCTACATAGGCTTCCCTTGTGCCTATTCCAGAAACTGCAACTATCACAAAATATGGCAGCTAAGCTGGTCTCTGAGACATCATGAGATCACATGTCATCTATTTTAAAGTCTTTGCACTGACTGCCAATACTTTTAAAGCCCTTCATGGCTTGGGTCTAAATTACCTTTGGACTACCTTTGCCCGTACATTCTACCTCACCAGCTACATTCTGTCCTGTAAACTAGAAGCAATCTTCTAGTAATCTTCTAATTTACTTTTGTAAAATTAATGTCACCTACACATGCCTGTTGGGGCTACTACTCACTCACAAGGATACAGGAGTTGCCCTCTCTCTGGATCCTGGCTAGCACCCTGGTCATCAGCGGGAATAGAAGGAACAGATAGAACAAAGTTCCTTCCCAGGAGAGCAGGAACATGTCCTCCATTGAACCCCGGCTGATTCTGGCCCAGGGGCAGAAGGTGTCACCCACTGCATTTGTCAGTGTGGCAATGAAGTCTACAGACAGGGTACCTCAGTTCTCAAAGAGCTGCTTTGGAATGTCCAAATGCATTCTCAGGATGTCTACTGTGATGTGTCAAATGGATGGCCATGATGACAATGTCCTGTTCTATACACCAGATCCAGTTCTGCAGCGTGAGATGGGTTAGGAATGCAAACTGCATGCCTCCTTGTTTGTTCATGTAGAACACCACTGTAGCGTTGTCAGAGGTGACCTGAGCATGTCTGTCTTTGAGGAGGAGCTGGAAAGCGGAACTGTGAAGAGCTCAAGATAACTGGTATGCTCTCTCTGGTTGGTGCTGGCATGTGGGCTGATTGTATTAGCCCTGAGAATGAAATGAGGATGGGCCTCAAGGCCAATTATGTGCCCTCGATGGCTGTGAGGGCATGAAGCCCATTTTCCTCACTGCAGCCCTGGCCTTCTCTTGCATCCAGACACTGAAGAAGCCCTTGCTGTCAAAGGGCATTTCTTCAATCCTTTACTGTGTCTCTGATAGGCTCAGTGCCCAAAACCACACATTCTGCTAGACTGCCACTGCATCAACAAAAGCTCTGGAGTTGCAGTTAACATGGTGGTATGTAGTGTTAGTTTGTTAACACTTGTCTTGATAGCCTGAGAGTCTCTGCCCAGAACAGCCTAGCCAGTTTGTGATGTTGCTCTGGTAGGAACTCAGCTAGGGCATTCATCTTCCCCTACATAAAAACTTGGTAGATACCCAATGGTGGCTTTGTAGTTTGATATGTGATGACCCAGTCCCATTGCCACATAGACCCTCCTCACTATTGTGTCGAAATGGTATCCTTCTTGATGCACTGGGGTGGAGTGCTCTCCCTGCATCTGACCTTGAACTGACTCTACAATGAGTGATTCGGCCACCAAGTTAAATCAGGCTATCCCTCTCTTGGACCTGGTACAGGCTCTCCGAACACTGGAATGTTGGTTGTAGTTGAGTCAGAGCATTCTTCATTTCCTTCATGGACAGGGAGAGTATCGGAAGGAATGGAATGGCCACCAGCACTGCATCCTCTGTCTGAACAGCCTCATAGTCTGGGTCCACTGGTGGTAGTTGGATGTCCAGCCAAAGCAACGTCACCATTGAGGACCTGTTTGGAGAACCTCCACAGTTCTTCAGGATCCTGGATCTTGCACTAAAATGAACTGATATCTTAATTGCCTGAAGATGTCATCATAGACAGGCGATGCCCACAGTTCCTCCAGACAATCAATGGTACTGAAATACCATGGATCCTTGAGCTTCTACTCACAAGGATGGCTGTGGTAATAGAGGTCTGCTGGTGGCAGCAGCACCCAGTAGGACTCCTGGTTCTGGGTCAGCAGCGGACACCTGCACCATTCCCTTGGCCAACAGCTGGAATTGCACGATGGCACTCATGATAAAGTGCCATACAAGGGCCAGGTGGATGGCCTTGGTGGCAGCATTGAGGACTGCTGCTCCCAGTTTGTGGAGTACAGCAGCCTTGGCAGAGAGAGTAGTGGTGGGCTGGCTGGAGTACAGGGTGGTGCATCCCATAGTTCTTCTTTGGAGAAGGAGAGTGTTGTGACTGGTTCAGCCTATGCCATTGACCATTATGGAGGGACCACTGCAGGAACTGGCACAGGAACCACAGCTGGAACCATCAGTGGGGACAGGTGTACACACCTGTGCAGATGATGCCAATGGTGAATGGCACTGGGCCCATTTCTTGGGCATGTCCTTGCCCTTCTTTGCTACTATTTCCTCTGCATCCACCATTTTATGGGCCTTCTTGGTCCTCTTCTTCACCCTCTTTTTTTGGGTGCATGCCCAGCCTTGGATGGCACAGTTGGAGTGGCTGATAGAGCCCCTGCAGCTGCCAATGAAGAGTGAGAAGCAGGAGTAACCCATGAGGCTGAAGGACACTCTGACAGCACCTGCATGATCAAGTCAGTGGCCATAAGGGTGGGGCTCCACATCGCTGACTTCAGCTGGCCCTCTCAGTTTTTCTGAGCCTGCCACATGAACACCCTGACAATGAGGCCAGAAGTTGATGCAGTGTTCTTTGCCTAAACAAAATAGGCATAAGGAATGCCCATCAATCAAGGGCATCTGTGTGCCACACTGCACACATTTCCTAAAAGCATCCTTGTGCACCATTAGGAGAGAGAAAAGAAGAAGAAAGGTACAGATAGTTCAGGGGAAGATCCAAAAGAGAGAGGGTGATAGAAGCAGAGGGGTTTGGATAAAAGTTGAGTTTCAAGAAACAAGTAAGGAAAGTAAGCAGATAGAATGAATTATAGAATAAGAGAACAACAGAAGTTTCTAGAAGGAATTCTGTGGTAACAGGAGATATGCTAGGAAGAGACCCAAGGCTTCCAAAATGGCGGTTGGAAAAGAACTGGAGAAAATGGCAGGAGCCCCTCCTATATATACTAGGGGCAGGGCTCCTGTCAAAATGAGTTTAGCCAATAAAATCTTCCCAAAAAACGGGCCCTGAGCAGGCACAGAGCCCATATGTGTGAGGCCCAGATACCACAAAGGAGAACCAGATTTATCATGATGGAATACCATGACTGGATTTAGACAATGTGGCAGAATAATTATGGTAAAAACAAAAACAAAGAACACCACGGCTTCTTATTTTGTCTGAATGCAGCCATAGTTTTCCATTTCCTGTAAAAGGCTGGTGAATGAAGGATGGCAATTTGATCAAGCTAGTTAGTGTGGAAGCCACTTGTGGAACATTCCTCATTGAACATGATCTTCTTGTTTGGTGGGTTGGGTCACATAGAGGGCAGCATTATGCATTCTTGTTCTTGACAGGGGAATAAATGCTAAGATGTGCCTGAGTAACATCTATAGAAGTATCTAACTGTGTGTGAATACAACTAGAGTAATGGGAAGATATTCCTTGTTTCTCATGAAATGCTGAGTTCATCATTCTGCCAATATGCAAGATGGAAGAGAAATATGATGAATATTAATCACATGCCATTTCATTCCTTTTCAGATAGTAGAGCATAACGCATCAGCAAAACCGCATGCTTAGTACCTGTGTATTGCAAACACAAGAGCCAAAGCAGCTACAGTCTTTTCACCACCAGACAGGTTATCCATTGGCATAAATCGCTTCCCAGGAGCTACACAGTTATATCCGATACCTTCCAAGTAAGGTTCCTCAGCATTCTCAGGACTAAGAAATGCCTGAAACACACATGCTTCTTTATTCAGCTAATAACGAAACAGCACATTAGCTTTATACTTTCAGCTATAATGAATGATAAAATGCATTGTTTTTAATCAATGCTACTTAAATTCTTTCTTGGAAAAAAGCAGACACTTCTAAGTCCCAAATACAAACAAGCAAGATCACATTCTTTAAAAGAAGGCATGTCTAAAAGTGAAAAGGAATTTTCTAACACTGGATTCGGATTGAATAGTGATACCCAGCAGAAAAACTTCCAGTGTAATTTTGGTTACAAAACAGCACCTTCAGTCTAATAAGTATAAAGTTTGAGACATAACTAGTCTAGAACACCAGAGATTTTAACTGAACCATTTCGTATATTAACAAGTTCCATAACATTTTGACACTCTGGACAATGCTTCTCCTTTGCAAAGTAAGCCAGCAAGGGTGATTTTACAGAGAAGTGGTACGTGGGAGGATGAGGTTTTAACATGCAGCTTCAGTTCAGACTGGAAAACCTTGAAAAACAGCTCAAGGGATTAATGTGCTCCTTGATTTACCATGTCAACTGATGGACTTTTGATACTTTAATTCTATGCAGCATTTCAATGCTAAGCAGGGCAAATGGTGATCACACAAGTACTTACACACATAAAGAAAAAACTCCCCTCTGCTGTGGAGCCTCCTATAGTTTCATAGGTAAATTAATCACCATTTTTTTCATTCTGTCATTTTCCCCAGTTTCAAAGTGAAGAAGGCAGAAGGTCTGGATTTTACTGATTTCCAATCACTTTATTTTTAATTAGGAACATAGTTTCTGTTCTTTTAAAAGGTAAGCACAGTAATTTCTTATATTTCTGATGTACTAGAGCACGTCTTCCCATATACCCCTACTAAAATTGTAAAGCCCTTCTGCAAGATTCCACAGGTGGCTAAGAAGGAGAGGTTTCTTTCCTGTGATGGTGCCCGTTCCTTGCTGAATTTCCCTCTTCAGAAAGGCTCAATTGGTGCCTACTTTGCCTCTTCTTCAGCCTGATAATACCTTTATGTTCTTTCAGAGGATTTTTTTGGGGAGTGGGGGTGGGGGGAGTTTAGGGACTTTTTAATGGATGCTGATTAAATGATGATGCTTTTAAAACTTCTAACATATATCTGTTTGTTTTTGCTTAACTTTGTTATGTCCTTCACAGTATAATTGTAAATCATACTGTGCAATTAATACTGTATCTCAACATTTTATGCATGCTGCCCAAAGAATTCTGGTTATGGGTGATCACAGAAATACTGCAAATGAACAAATAAATAACTTAGGTATGAATCTGTACTGTTGATATTAATTTCAATGAAATGACTGAAAAGCTACAAACCTGAGCACTACTGTTTCTGCAGAGCTTCTTGTAGATCTGATCAATAGCTACTGACACATGTTCAAAACACTGACTGAACAAGTCGTATCTCAAATTTTTCACTTTCTCAAATTCTTGCCTACATAATCTGGCTTCCCTCCTACAGGCCTCAAATGCTATGAAAGGACAATTAAGCTCATTTTAATAGAATTCAGCAATAGTAAAGTATTAGAGTTAATATTCTCTTTTCCCACCGTAACTTAATGGACAAACAAAAACAGCAATTATCACAAAGAAACCTTATAGTTGAAAGGCCAGGTTCTTGCACTTTTTCACAAGTCCGTACAGAGCTTACAGAGAAATCTGAAATCAAATTCCACTGAAACTTACAGGACAATTGACCTATTAGTCTTTGTGGAAAAACTGAAATGCTTGAGGGAAAAACAAACCTAAGCTGACAATTCTAGTTTTTGAGCTATGGAAAATGTTAGTTTCTTCCAAGATAACAGAATAAAGTCTTGCAGGCATCTGTTCCTCAGAAAGGAACACTGGGTTTAACATGTGCATTTTCTCTCTTTGGTATCAACATACCCAATTTTCTATATTAATCAAGCAATAAAGTGGAAAGGAAAGGAAAATGAGTATCTTTGCAAAAAGGATGGATTCAGGCAATGACATTTTAGACCTATTTACAGTCACAATCAATGGTTTTTTTAAATAGATTGAATGCCACACAGTGCTGAAACATGTGTCCAGAACATGTTTTATTATGTCACCAACAAACTGGCACTGAAATTGAAACTATTGAGACAGCATTTGCAGTAAAAGGATAAACTGGGCTTCAGGTATATCCTGAAGTGCTCAGGCAGCTGTGAGTGCATCCAAGCACATGTAATCATATACAATGACCTGAGTGAATTTAAGTCCATCACCTATTTGGAGGAACTGGGCTTAATAGCAGAAATTGTCTACTGACAGGCAAAAGGCCCCCCCATCTGGCAAATCATAACAATGTGAAATATCTGTACAAAATGAACTCCTACAATTCTCAAACTACATTAATTAGAAAGGCTCAATATTACCATCCACTGATTCTTGGAATCTGCCTGTAACCATTTGTAATCTTTCTACAGCTTTCAGATTTGGAGCTGGTGTTCTACACAGAACATTTTCTTTGGATGCTACTTCCTGCTGAAGTTGTTCTAGGTGAGCCTCAAACTCTTTGTCAGAATGTAAGCCCTAGTTGCAAATGAAAGGATGAATGATAAAAACCCCTTTGGAACATTAAAGAATGCCCTAAAGTTTCAACATGAATGAAAGGGGGATAAAGTCCATGCTAGAGCACCTTTTTAGAGTTTATAATGTTTGAATTGCTCCCATTAGAAACATAGAAACAGAGCGAGTCAGAAGGGCCCTCCCGGGCCATCTAGTCTGACCTCCGGCACCAGCCGGCTCCGCTCATGACATGCCCACCATGTGCACATCCAGCCTATCCTTGAACACCCGCACCGATGGGGCCTCAACGACCTCTCACAGAAGCCCATTCCACACCCTCGGGGTCCTAACTGTCAGGAAATGCTTCCTGGCATCCAAATGGAACCTTGGCTCCCTGAGCTTTGCTCTGTTGGAGCACGTCCTGCCTTTCTCTGCAGGGGAGAACAGGTCTCTACCCATCTCCATGTGACATCCCCTCACATACCTGTATGTTGCCAACATATCCCCTCTGAGTCTCCTCTGCACCGGGCTAGAGAGACCCAGTTCCCTCAGTCTTGCCTCATACCCCATCCCCTGCAAACAGGCCACCAACCTTGTGGCCCTACACTGCACTGACTCTAACCTGGCTATATCCTTTCTGTAATGAGGGGCCCAAAACTGAGCACAATACTCCAGTTGCGGGACTGCTGGCTTATAACTGCAACTGAAGCCTCTTGGGGTAAAGGTGTAGAATTTGGTTTTTAAGCAAAATGAAATGGCACAAACTTGATACAGCTCAACCACAATTGCATCAATACTGTATATAATTATAATACGTATTTTAGTAATGCAGAATTAATGAAGAATTAAATTGTTCATGAAGTGATTAGAAGTGCACCAAATCACAACAGTCAGCTGCACTACTAATGACTATGCAACATACTTTTCATTTCCAGGAACACCACCTTTGAGTACCAGCTGCTCTGGACATACCATATGTAAGCAGCTCAATCATAAGTACCATTGGAATGTCTGAGAAGCTGAGCCTCAATAGTTTCATTATCCATGTTTTACTGGGTACTCTGCATCATACAAATGCTCACACTTGGAATGAGAGGCAAAGTAGATATGAAATTAATTATATGACTGCAAATTAATGCATCTATCTTTGAAAAAAATAAATGAGCACTGCTGGGACCCCCAGTCAAGGTCAGGACTGGAGGGTGGTTTCAAACTCTTCCCCTGTGCTAGAGCCCTAATGAAAGCCACCCCACTCCCTGAAGAAGCTATTGGCTCTAGGAAGGAACCTTCCACTGGCACCTATGAAAGTGCCCCCCTGGGACCAACAGATCAGGGGGGTGCAGAGGGGAGATTTTTTATCAAGGTTGCATCATGGGGAAAAGGGTTAACACTCCCTGTGATCATTAACTATGATCTCTCAATTAATGGCCATGTTCTTTGTATTAAAGTCTAAGAAGGGAGCAAGCTATACATTTTTATTGCAGTATTCAGGAAAAATATTTGTACAAAGTAAAACTGAATTAGTAAGAGAACTTATATTGCAATAGTATAGCTCAAAATCTAAATTACAACAGCAGACTTGGCTGGTATTAATCTATACTTGCAAACTGAAGTCAAATCTTTCTCAAAAATCAAGCTGAAGAAAATGTGCTTTGGTATAGTGTTATAAATGGAAACCACAGTATATTTTATTACCTTTAGTTCTTCTCCAAGGCTGCTATAGTCTATTTTAATTGCCTGTTCTCTTTCAAAAATACCAGTTGTCGCTTCACTACTTTCAGTATCAGGACCCAGCTGTAACAAATAGCCCAATTAAAAATATGAAAAACTATCAAAGTTAATATTATGCAATAGTTACAAAAACAAACCAGCATCAGCGTTTGTTTTCTCCCTTCTATTCCATTCTTCTTATTATATTTAATTTCTCTAATTTATGTTTCTTAATTTTTCTATCACTTCTTTTGAAAACCAGCAGTGTCAAGTTTATTTGGTTCCATATTCATGAGTATCTTTCTGTACTTTCCACCTTTTTGAGGGACAGGCATTATCAGCTGTTGTATTCTCCTCAGCCTGAAGAATTCTGCTTTACATTCTTAACATTTGAACAGCAAAACATTATGTTCTTGCAATGCCAGTTTTGTCTGTGTGTGCTGTCAATATGCAACTGTAGCACTGATTCTTAAAAATTTGATACACTGCATGGAATAAATTTTTACTTAGGTTCACATGTTTATGCACATGCTGCTGTAGCTTACAACTACCTTAAATAACAATGCCACATAATGTGCTCATATACCTTTATTTCACTAATGTCATCTAAAGATCCCAACAGAAAGTTTATCCTTAGGTCCTGAAGTTTGCAATCAAGAAGCTTATTATGCCTTTCCATTTTTTTCTGTTCCAACAAGGTCTCAATTGCTACAGCATCCTTCTGTAATGTTACCAACTCCCTGCCAGGAAAAAGAACGGCAAAAGTATGCCATTAGTATTTCAGCTATCAAAAGGAGGAAAATCATTTGGCAGACAAATGTTAGCATATTGCTCATTTAGGCTGAATACCTGGCTTGAAAAGCTTTTTACATCAGTAGAGATAATAGTAATCTCAAAGTACTTTTGAACCATGCAAGTCCTTTGCCCAAAATTAATACAGCATATATCTCAACTCTTTCTAGCACTCCAGCACTTTCCTTCCAAATATCAGCGCTTAAGTTAATTAAAATCTTAGCATGTTGTTTAGTATAAATTGCTTGAATCCAATTCATAAAACCTGAACCACAGGTCCAGATAGTGAAGAATTTTTATAAATAGGGCTAAGATATGGTGTTAAAAGCCTATTCCTCATCTAGAAAAATAAATGCCACTTTCTTCTACTTCTTGACCAATTCAATTGCATTAAGTACTTTCAAAAGTCTTTGTTGGGATGAATCCAGGTTGATCTGCATGAATATGCTTTTCTATCTGTCTTTCTGCCATTACAAAGTTAGTAATCCACACTTAATAATGAAATAGGTTGGTAAGAATATGGAAGGTGGAGTCATTGCCTTCTTTGTATATCCGTGTTATGTGGGCTCCCTGTGATGTTGGTGGTAATAGTTTTTCTTCTTTAATTTCATTCATTACTTGTTGGAGTGGTAATATTAGTTTTTCCTCTAAGCATCTGCAGTACACTGCAATGAATCCATCTGGTATGGATGCACTACCAGACACCATTCCTTTTGTTAAAGTGCCTTGAGCACAGTTGCTGCCTGTATTTTGTTATCCTCAAAGTATGAGTGTGATCCTGCACACAGATGTGATGGAACAAGGAGGGTTTGATGTTCTCCTCCAGCCTTACTGTTACAGTCCTCTGGATCTCAGCCTTTGCCATCACTCACCCAATCACTACATTGTATAAAATGCTAAACTTAAATGCTCTTTCTTAGTATTAGTTTTATTATTTTCTTAACATAAATAGTATACAGAAAGATGAAAAGTATGTATGTGTGTGTATAAGTAAAATAAAGTTACCAAGGAATTTCGAACAAATATAACCAATACATTCAAGCCAACAAATTTCAAAGAGACTGGAAATATCTTTCTATCATTTGGTACTCTATGAAAGTTCAGAAAAAGGGGAATTATTATTCTGTATACCGACAAATTTTCCAATCACTTTAAATCAATTATAAATCCTTGAGTCCTTTTTAAAGAGCTCCCATTTATATTCCAGTAGTTGTGTTGGTATAATAGAATTTCCATGCGTCATTAAGATTTTCAACCAGTCTTGTATTTACATAATTACTTGATTTTGCAATCACTGTGTATTCAGCCAACTTATTTTTCCATTCTTCAATTCTTGGGGATTCTAGTGATTCCCATTAGAAGCAATCATAATTCTTGCTGCAGTTCTCCTATATTTAAATAACTGACTCTCTTTGAAAAAGCATCTGGCATTATATTCAAAAGCATATTCTTAGGACTCATAGGAAACTTAATTTTAAAGGTTCTTATTCTGCATGTATCAATTTCCAAAATCTTTTAATTATTTCACAAGTCCACCACATATGGTAGAAAGTTCCATCCACCCTGTTACATTTCCAGCATTTTCCAGTGTAGTTCTTATCTATTTTTTTCTACTTCTTTTGGAGTAATATACCACTGGTAAAACATTTTATACCAATTTTCTCTTAGTGCTTGGCTAGCTGTGATTGTAATGTCTTCCTTCCATAAAGCTTCCCATTGACAAGGTGATATTTCTTCTCCAAGATTTTGCTTCCAAATTGGCATACATTTATTGTTGATATTCAGTGTCTTACTGTAGTAACTGTTTGTAAAGTCTTCCTAATAGATTATCATTCTGTTATTAATCAACTTTTCAAAATCTGTCAAATCTCTTTCCCCTTTAAATCTTGAAACCAGTTGGAGATAAACAAACCATTGTATATTTTTCTTTCATCTTTTAGTTGTTGCCAAGTTTTGACTCATCCTTGTTGATCAATCATATTCCCATAAGTTATAAAATCATTATTTTTCCTTAAGTATTTTCCATATGCTTTCACCGGAGGACTTAAATGCTCTTGTAAACTGAAAAAGAATATCTAGATGCATGTGCATGATTTTAAATATCTTTTTTTTCAATTTTCTTATTTCTTTTTTCTAGATACAGCATTACCTATTTATGGTTAAGAATGTCTTTCTTGATTCTTCAGCTTTATTTTGTGCTTCTTTGATATCAGTCTTATTAATATTCTCCTTATATCCAAGCTGCTGCAGTTCTTCCGTAATTTCCTCTACCATTTGTAAAAAATTATCCTCATCCTAGGCAAGAAGAATATTTGTCATTTAAAATAAAATCTGCTGATTTTTTTAATAAAACAGACTCTTACCATTATTTAAAGAAAAATGTCAATACTTATTCATAGTAACCATTATGAAATAAAAGATTTCTGTTTGTACAGAATATATTTCTTTATGTATAGCAGAAAGTGTATCAGCCCAGGGACAGCGAGACTAAAATTCTTCTTTAGGAACAAAGTTCATTGGGCTGGTCATATACATTCAACCTATGCTACCTCAGAGGGTTGTAGCAAGGAAGGCTAAGAAAGGCAGGTTGTTTACCTGGAACTGCTGTTCTTCGAGTGGTCATCTGTGCATCACACATTATGGGTGTTGCGCCTGCACAGTGCCTGTAGCTGGGAAAGATTCAAAGCTTTAATGGATTTTGGTGGGAACTCTACACCCCTACCCCACTATGGTATAAAGGGTGGAGTGCCTGCCATTTCCCCAAGTCTAATGAAGACCGTCCAATTGCTCTCTAATGGATGACCGGTCAGTGTCAGGAGACACTAGTGGATGGAATTAAAGAAAAACATACTAATAGAATGAGAATAATATATTCCATGGGTGTATTAGAAGGCAAAAGCCTTTACAAACCCAGTCACCAACACTGAGTGGGGCTGGCGGGTGGGTTGTGTGAATGCACAGATGACCACTCAAAGAACAACAGTTACAGGTAAGCAACCTGCCTTTCTTCATTGTGGTCTCTGCATCACACATTATGGGTGACTAGTAAGCTTACCAATCCTGGAGGTGGGACGGTGTCGTCAGTGAAGAATTGAAGAAAGGACGGCACGACTGAAGGAGCAGTCCTGTCTGGCATGGACATCAAGTCTACAGTGTCTAGTAAACATGCAAGGGGTTGTCCAGGTTGCCGCCTTGCAGATGTCAGGCAATGGAATGCCCACAGAAAAAGCCGAAGAGGCTGCCACAGCTCTAGTAGAATGATCCCTGAGTATGACAGGAAGTTCTAGTTTTGACAGGTTGTATGCCAATTCAATGGTCTGAACAATCCATCTGGAGAGCCTCTGGGAGGAAACAGCCAAGCCCTTATCATGTTCTGAGTATTTAATGAAAAGGCGTTTGGTTTTCCTGAAGTTCTCCATATGGGATCGATAGAAAGCCAGGCAGTGACCTACACTGAGTGAATGGAGAGATTTTTCTATCAGTGTCAACAGTGAGGGGAAGAAGGCTGCCAGAACGATATCCTGATTGATATGAAAAGGCGTAGCAACTTTAGGAAGGAAAGCAGGATCAGTCCGGAGAACGACCTTCTCCTTATGAAAGTTGAGGTAAGGAGGGTCAATATGAAGAGCACACAGCTCACTCTCCCTCCTAGCTGAAGTGAAGGCGACAAGAAAAGCTGTTTTCCAAGACAACAAGCGTAAGTCAGTGGTAGTCAAAGTTTCAAAAGGAGCTTTGGTAAGAGCCTGCAAAACCACGGAGAGACTCCATGTTGGTACCACTGAACAAACTAGAGGTTGGAGATTTTGTAATCCTTTCAGGAAAGGGCAGACGAGAACGTGTGAGAAGATGGAGGAGCCGGATATGAGACCATGGAAGTGAGAAATTGCAGCAATGTAAACTTTAATAGAAGAAGGTTTAAGTCCATGCTTGTGTAGAGATAACAAGAAGAGTAAAATATTGTCAATTGAGGCTGAGTGTGGCAGAAATTGATTGGTTGCCGCAAAGGAGGTAAAACGTCTCCATTTAGCTTTGTAGGAGCGACGGGTCATTGGTCATAGAGCAGCTTGGAGAATAAATTGTATGTCTGGGTGAAGGATGCTCAAATCCAAAACAGGATCGAAGAGTCCTGTCGGTATCGAAGATCTTGTCAGTACCGAGGATCATGTAGGAATAGTTGGGTTTGATGAAGTTGTCGGTACCGAGGAAGAGGAAGAAGCGACAGTAACTGAATAAGCCAAGTGGTGAGATTCAGAGAGTTGTCCAGATGGGGAATCGCCCTGTTTTCCTGAGTAAGGAGATGAGGGACCTGGGGGAGACGGAAAAAAGTTTTCTTGGAGAGACTGAGAATGATGGGAAACCAGGGTTGGCATGGCCACCAAGATGTTATGAGAATTCCCTGGGCTTTGAACAATTTTGGCCAGAGTTTTCATGATGAGCAGAATCGCATAGAAAAACATATTTGCCCAGTTCACCGTCAGAGTGTCTCCCAGTGAATTCAGGCCGATGCCTGCCTGTGAGCAATAGTTCATGCAAATTGCATTGTCCGCTGTGGCGAATAGATCTATGCCTAGGGTGCTCCAGCATTGGAAAATGTGGTTGCAAATCTGTCAGTCCAACTCCCACTCGTGAGTTGTCGACATCTGTCTGCTGAGGGCATCCGCTTCTTCGTTGTCTACACCAGCGAAATGAACCGCTAGTGGAGTAATCCCCCTGGGGATACACCAGTCCCTTATGTGCAGGGCGAGATGTGCCAATGGTACCGATTTTGTGCTGCCCTGCTTGTTGATGTAAAAGACAGTTGCAACATTGTCTGAGGCTATTTGAACTACTCGGTCCCAAAGAATCAACTTGAAAGACCAGAGAGCTGCTAGAAACCCTGAATAATTGATGTGTCTGGACTTCTTGCGACCATGCCAGGTGCCTTGAGTATGGAGATTGGCACAATGTGCTCCCCACCCCACAAGGGAGGCATCAGTGTATAAGGTCACCATCAGTTGTGGCTGGTGAAAGGAGACCCCTGTGATGAGGTTGTCTTTGATCATCCACCAAGTCAGAGGATGAAAGCAGGTGGAAGCAAGAGACGATTTGGAGAGTCGTGCTGAGGATGGAAGAGGCGATTGAACCAGAGTTGCAGGGGTTGCATTCGAAGTCTGACATTGGGCACTACAGCGACTATGGAGGCCATGTGTCTGAGCAACTTCTGGATGGAATGCACAGGTGTAGGTTGGCCATTGGAGATGCAATGAATCAATGACTGAAGCTTGTCCATTCGAGCTTGTGGCAGAAATGCTCTGGCTTGGATCGAGTTGAGGCGTGCTCCGATAAAGTCGATGACCTGTGAGGGAATGAGGCAGGATTTTTCAATATTAATACAGAGTCCGAGTTCATCTAAGAGTCTACATGTGTTATTGATGGCTGAAAGCAAGCTCTCTCTTGATGAGGAGACAATCAAGACATCCAGGTAGGGATAAATCTGGGCACCTTGTAGCCTGAGGTGGACACAAACGGGGGCCATGCACTTCGTGAAGACTCGTGAAGCAGTAGCGCGTCCAAATGGGAGAACATTATACTCAAACAGGTCAGAACCAACAGTGAATCGGAGCAGCCACCTATGTGATGGATGAATGCTGATATGGAAATACGCATCCTTTAAGTCCAGAGAAGCGAACCAATCTTCTCTCCTAAGCAATGGAAGGATATTCTGAAGGGTGGTCATCTGAAATTTCTTAGTCTTGATGAACTTGTTAACACCATGTAGATCAAGTATCAGACGTTAGACCACCGTCCCATTTTGGGACGGTAAAATATTTTGAGTAGAAACTGTGGAGCCCCTCTGAGTGAGAAAGCTGGCAAACTGCCCCTTTACGAAGTAGCTGGGAGACTTCGTCTTGAAGGTCCGTCAGTGGAGAAGTAGAATGCATCGATCCCGAAGGGGGAATGGTATCAAACTCAATTTTATATCCGTGCTCAATGATTAAAAGTACCCACTTATCAGATGTGATGAACTCCCAAATGGGGAGTCAGCCTTGCAGCTGGTCCCCAGAAGGGGGAGGGGAAGGTGGGTGGAGAGAGAGAAGATCAGTCCACATGTCCCATCAATGCTGTCGCTTGTCGTTAGTCTGATGGAGACGGCCCTGTTGGAAGTGGGCGGCAGGTTGCCTTTGGTTCTGTTGTTGCCAAGGCTGGTACTGTTGGTGGGAGATGTTTTGTTGGTAGGGTTGCTACCGATAAGAACGAGACTGTGGCCACTTACGTTGGTTCTGGTTCGGTATTTCCATCCTCCGAGTGGTGACTCAAGCATTATAAATATGCTTGAGTTTGTGGTCCGTGTGGGTGTTGAAGAGACTGGACCCATCGAAAGGCATGCCTTCGATGCGCCTCTTCGTCTCGTCCGGGAAATTGCAGGAGCGTAGCCATGCATATCGGCATAGAGCGATGGAGCCAACAAGCGCCCGGGAATCACACTCCACATGATGTTGCACTGTATTGAGCTGTTGTATGGCCAGCTGCATGGACTCACGGATAAATACGCGGGCCAGATTGCATTGTTGTTCTGGGATGGTCAAGGTGATAGATTCCAGCCTTTGCATCATAAAGTACTGGTACCTGGCCATCGTCGCCTCATAGTTAGATATCCGCAAGCCCAATCCCATCGCAGTGTAGATATGATGCGACATCAGGTCTATCTTGCAGCCCTCCTTGTCTCTCAGGGTCAAGTGCTCCCCCTTATCTTGACCCTGTGATGACTCGACAACTATGGAGTTCAGTTTCGGGTGTTTGAGCAGGAAGGGAATGTCCTGTTCCCTGACCTTATACATGGACCCATAATGTTGAGAAGTAGGATGCGGCTGGCTCAGAAACTCCCAAGTGTCCATCATAGCCTGGTGAAGAGTTGTTATCAAGGGGATGGAGATAGTGAATGATTGCTCCTTATGAACAATGTTGTAGAAGTGGTCCTCATTAGGGTTCACCCAATGTTCAACTTCTATCTCCAACGACCTTGCAAGGCGAGCCATCAGTTCTCTGAATGTGGAGTATGACTCAGGAGAATGATGGCATCAGGAGAGGTGGAAGCCTGATCTGAGTCCTCCAAGTCCAAGTCGTACTGGTATGGATGACTGGAGGAGGAGCCAGCCGGAGACAGAGGAGGGCGGGAGAGCTCAGCTACCGAAGTGGAAGGTGCTTCTGCCCGGGACGGACGAGGACGATGTATGTGCACCAAAGGCATGGAGTAGTAGCCATATGGAGGCGGGTAGTCCCAAGGATAGGATTGGAACAGATTGAATCCTCCATACAGCATCGGAACCCAGCTCCTAGATGTTTGGCCTGATGCACGCTGGTGGCGATGTGTGTCGGATGGAGGCTGAAGCCTTGGCGATGCCTCTAGTAATAATGACATCGGAGTAGGCAAGCGTGCCGATGGATGGCCCGGTTGAGAGTGGGGAGATGAATCCCGTATCTTGCCATCTGACATCAATCCACAAAGAGCCGCCTCGGAGCGGTCCAGAGTTGAAAGAGCCAACAATGAGATCCTTTGTGGGGATCCAGGTGGTGTAACATGCATGATGGTGTGGGCAGTCGGACCCGAAGGGGTCGGAATTGAAGCGGCTCTTGTGACCGATGGGGCAGTTGAGCCCGAATCCCTGAGAGGCTCCTGAGCAAGCGTGTGATCAGCCTTGTCAACTTTAGTCTTCTTAGACTTTTTCGGAGCTGACAGATCCTCAGGCCCAGTGTGCTTCCGCTTCTTTTGTTTTTGGAAGAAAGAATGGGAGGAACGAGTGGTCTCCTTGGAAGCAGCACCCTCGGATAGTGGACAAAGGGAAGACACCATAGGTGGGCCTGTAGAAGAGGCCTGAGCAGCAAGATTGTCAGAGGCAATGAGGGTCTGATCCCAAAGGAACTTCCTTAGCTGATTTTTTCGGTTCTTCTGAGCTTGCTTAGTGAACGACTGACAGTGGCCACATTTGTCAGTCCGATGCCCTTTTCTGAGACAGAGAAGGCATAGCTCGTGTGGGTCCATCAGAGACATCTTGGTCCCACACTTTGAGCACTTTTGAAAAGTCGCATGCTGAGCCATCGGGAAGAAAGAATGGATAGAAAGAAGAACTACAGAAAGATAAGTATAAGGATATAAAGATATAATTTTTTTGTGGGGTGGGGTGGGGAAGGGGAAAAATGGGGGAAGAAAAAACTCTCCTAACAGGGAAGGTAAGGATTTAAACTTGGAAGGGATTTCTTAACAAGAGAAAAGCAACAAGAATCAAAGAACAAGATCAACAAGGTAACATGCAGTAGAGTAAGAGAGAGTAATGAATGGCTCAAGGCAAAGTGATCAGTGTTCGAAAGAAGACTGGGGAAAATGGCGGGCGCTCTGCCCTTTATACCATAGTGGGAGAGGGATGCGGAGTTCCTGCCAAAATCTGTTAAAGCTTTGAATCTTTCCCAGCTACAGGCACTGCACAGGCACAGCACCCATAATGTGTGATGCACAGAGCATGACGAACCATGTATACTACCTTGAGATTTTTGGATGAATTTAAAGGGATAAAAGAGAACAACCCACCTCCTCCTTGTACATTACATCCCGGATCCAGCACCTGAAATTATTAGCTGTAGCAGTTAAACCAATTATAAAGTGAAATGCAAGTCAAGATGCTTGTTTTCATTTATGACATCTGACACTAAGCACAGCCTACACATAATAGTCCTGCCTCACCTTGCTGCAAGCTGTCAGATTGAACATAGTTATATCTTCAGTGACTCAAACTCTGATTGGAAGATACATCAAACAATGACACTGTGGGTTATCCTGGGTTAAACAATCCAGTGACTACCTGCAGTATATGTAGGATGCGTACAGCCCTGTTTTGAATATACATCCTCAGGTCAGAGTGATCAGGTGTGTCATGCCAATCCAGCCAGTTAATTGAAAGGTAAATTACTTACATATAACCTTTGATATTCTCTCCCCGCCGCCCCCCCCCCCCCCGTGTGTGTATGTGTGTATCAGGCATCAACTGGGGCCCCCCTGTGTGTGTATGTGTGTATCAGGCATCAACTGGGCAGTAGAAAATAGACCAGGGGTGGCCAGACTTGCTCAAAAGAAGAGCCACATACAGTAAATGGCAGCTGTTTGAGATCATCCTTGGGCAGCAGCAGCAAGTGGTGAGTGGGTGCCCACAGGTGGTGGCTAATGGTGAGCGGCAAGTGGGTACCTGTGGGTGCCCACAGCAGTGAGTGTCAAGCCACAAAATAAACTCAAAGAGCTGCATGTGACTCACAAGCCCCACCCCTGGAAGAGATTGTTCAGCCTGCCTATATCTTCCTACACTGGCCAGGGAGGTCTAAAGGGCGCTTCCCCTCACATTCACTTGAAAATTAGTCTTTCTAGATCAATGTTAAGTTTAAAAGAAGGAGAATAGTGTCTCCTTGCAGGTTCACTGCAGGACCTCTATATTATCTCAGGACGCTGTAAAATCACTGCTACCTTTTTCAGGAGAATGTTATCAGCTTCATCTTTGCAAAAGCTCTCCTTCAGCATGTTGCACTTTTTCACCTGCATTTGTATGAGGCTGCAAATATAGTCAAGCTGAACACTCAGCCGTGTTTTTTGGTTTTCAAATTCAGATCTAGCCAAAAACAATATAACAAAAAGTTATTTCGTTACCATCCTAGGCTGAAAAACAATGATAAAACCTTTACCATTTTTTCCAGGTAGGAAGCATGACATGGAACATTTCTGAAACCTTAAGACCAGTTTCACAACACACAAGCAATCCACAACAGACACCCATAATCATCAGGAAGAAAAGACATTTTTATTCTTTCATAAACTGTAAATTAAAAAAGATCAAAAGCATAGATTCTAAATACCCTATCATCTGATGCAAGTAGTATAGATTTAAAAAATATTTTAAATAATAATAAGTGTTACATTCACAAACTTGTGCAGGTCTTAAAAGCACCTTCTGAAATTACAGGAGAGCCTTTAAAAAGAACAACAGCAACAGAAACTCACTAAAGTAAGGGTGGTGATTAATACGTTTCTTGTACCTTGCATAATAGCCAAGGCTCTCTAGATGCTTCACAACAATTCAGAAAAATTACAGAAACACCACCATAAGAAAATAAGAGTATTTTTTGTTGTTGTTCAGTTGCAAAGACTTGCCCGACTCTTCATGACCCCATGAACATCATTTCTCCAGGTTCTCCTTCCTCCACTTTCCGCTGGATTACACCCAACTCCACACCCATTTCTCCAGTGACCCCATCCAGCCACCTCAACCTCTGTCATCCCCTTCTCCTTTTGCCTTCAATTGGACCCAGCATCATGGGCTTTTCCAATGAGTCCATTCTTCTCATTGTTGTGAGGCTGGAGCACCCTTCCCAATTACTCACACAGGAGCAGGCAGTAAAGGTTTAAAGCCTTTATTTCTAAAGAACTTCAAAGCTACGCATGCCATGAATAATAAAGAGCTTGCAATGGCGGTGCTATGCAGAAGTTGTCCCCTCCTTTCTAAGAGTTTTCAGATTTATGAAGCACTCTTAACCCATCTCGGACACCCCTCCCTGAGAGGGGCGGATAAACTCCTCTCTCTTCCCCTTTCAATTTCCCTTGACTCCAGTTGTCCCAAGCGGTGTGCCCTCCTCCTATCTCGAGCACTTTCCAGAGTTCTCCCAGGCTGTTCATCTCTGTCTTGTTCTGTCATCCCCATAGCAACTGGCCGACAAGCTGGTTGCCTAGCTCCGCTATCTGCTGCTCCTCTGAATCATTGGGCATGACACTCATTAGGTGGCTAAAGTATTTGAGGTTCTGCTTTAGTACCTAACCTTCTAAAGAGCAGTCAGGGTTGATTTCCATTAAGATTGACTGGTTTGATCTCTTTGCAGTCTAAAGAACTCTCAGGAGTCTTCTCCAACACCACAATTCAAAAGCATCAATTCTTTGGTGCTCAGCCTTCCTTATGGTCCAACTCTCATGGCCATACATTGCAATTGGGAAAACCATAGCTTTCACTATACAAAATTTTGTCAGCAGGATGATGTCTCTGCTTTTTAGTATGCTGTCTAGATTTGCCATAGCTTTCCTCCCAAGTAGCAGGCATCTTTTAATTTCTTGGTGCAGTCATCATCTGTGGTGATCTTGGAGCCCAGGAAAATAAAATCTGTCACTACCTCCATTTCTTCCCCATCTATTTGTCAGGAAGTGATAGGCCTGGATGCCATGATCTAAGTTTTCTTAATGTGCCATGATCTTAATTTTCTCAATGTGCTATGATCTTAGTTTTCTTAATGTTGAGTCTCAAGCCAACTTTTGCACTCTCCTCTTTCACTCGCATCAAGAGGCTCTTTAGTTCCTCTTAACTTTCTGCCATTAGGGTGGTATCACCTGCATATCTGAGGTTGTTATTTCTCCCAGAAATCTTAATTCCAGCTTGCGATTCATCTAGCCCCGCCTTTCTCATGATGTGCTCTGCATATAAGTTAAATAGGCAAGGTGACAATATACACTCTTGCCATACTCCTTTCCCAATTTGGAACTAATCAGTTGTTCCATATCTAGTTCTAACTGTTGATTCTTAGCCTGCACATAGGTTTCTCAAGAGACAAATAAGATGGTCTGGTACTCTCATCTCTTTAAGAACTTGCCACAATTTGTTGTGATCCACACAATCAAAGGCTTTAGCATAGTCAATGAAACAGAAGTAGATGTTTTTCTGGAACTTTCTAGCTTTCCCCATGATCCAGCGTATGTTGGCAATTTGATCTCCAGTTCCTCTGCAAAACTCTGCTTTGTACTTCTCGTAGTTCTAGGTCCACATACTGCTGGAGCCTAGCTTGGAGGATTTTGAGCGTAACTTTGCTAGCATGTGAAATGAGTGCAATGGTGCAGTAGTTTGAACATTCTTTGACATTGCCCTTTTTTGAAATCGGATTGTAAACTGACCTTTTCCAATTCTGTGGCCACTGCTGAGTTTTCCACATTTGCTGGCATATTGAGTGTAGCACTTTTACTGCATCGTCTTTTAGGATTTTGAATAGCTCAGCTGGAATACTGTCTCCTCCACTAGCTTTGTTGTTGCTCAGACTTCCTAAGGCCCATTTGACATCACATTCCAGGATGTGTGGCTTGAGGTCAGTGACCACCGCATCGTAGTTATCAAGGATGTTAAGCTCTTCCTTGTATAGTTCTTCCATGTAATCTTCCCACCTCTTCTTAATCTCTTCTGCCTCTGGTCGGTCCCTGCCATTTTTGTTCTTTATTATGCTCCTCTTTGCATGAAACGTTTCTGTGATGTATCCAATTTTCTAGAAGAGACCTCTAGTCTTCCCCATTCTATTGTTTCCCTCTATTTCTTTGCACTGCTCTTGTAAGAAGGCCTTCTTATCTCTTCCAGCTGTTCCCTGGAATTCTGCATTCAATTGGGTGTATCTTTCTCCTTCTCCCTTGCCTTTCCCTTCCTTTCTTTCCTCAGCTATTTGTAAAGCTTCCTCAGACAGCCATTTTGCTTTCTTGCATTTCTTTTTCTTTGGGATGGTTTTAGTTGCTACCTCTTGTAGAATGTTGCGAATCTCCGTCCATAGTTCTTCAGGCACTCTGTCTATCAGATCTAATTCCTTCAATCTATTTCTCACCTATACTGTATATTCATCAGGAATATGATTTAGGTCACACCTGAGTGGCCTAGTGCTTTTCCCTACTTTCTTCAATTTAAGCTTAAATTCTGAGCCACAGTCAGCTCCTGGTCTTGTTTTTACTGACTGTATAGAGCTTCTCCATCTTTGGCTGCAGAGCACATAGTTAATCTGATTTCTGTGTTGACCATCTGGTGACGTCCATGTGTAGAGTTGTCTCTTGGGTTGTTGGAAAAGAGTGTTTGTTATGACCACCATATTCTCTTGAGAAAATTCTACCAGCCTGTGCCCTGCTTCATTTTGTACTCCAAGGCCAAAATTGCCTATTATTCCAGTTATCTTTTGACTTCCCACTTTGGCATTCCAATCCCCCATGACGATAAGGACGTCATTTTTTAGTGTGAGTTCTAGAAGGTGTTGTAGGTCTTCATAGAACTTGTCAACTTCAGCCTCTTCAGCATCAGTGGTTGGGGAATAGACTTAAACTACTGTGATGTTGAATGGTTTGCTTTGGATTCAAACTGAGATCATTCTGTCATTTTGGAGATTGTATCCCAGTACTGCTTTTCCTACTCTTTTATTGCCTATGATGGCTACTCCATTTCTTCTGAGGGATTCTTGCCCACAGTAGTATATATGATGATCATCTGAATTAAATTCATCGATTCCTGACCATTTTAGTTCACTGATTCCCAAGTTGTCAATGTTCAGTCTTGTATCTCATGTTTGACCACATACCTCGATTCATAGATTTTACATTCCAGGTTCCTATGCAGAATTGTTCTTAACAACATCAGACTTTCCTTTCAGCTTTGACCCAGTCTCTTCATTCTTTCTGGACCTACTAGTACTAGCCCTCCGTTCTTTCCCAGTAGCACACTGGAAACCTTCTGACCTGAGAGGCACTTTTTCTGGTGTCATATTACATATCCTGATGATTCTGTCCATGGGGTTTTCATGGCAAGGATACCGGAGTGGGTTGCCATTTCATTCTCCAGTGGATCACGTTTTGTCAGAGCTCTCTGCTATGACCTGTCCGTCCTGGGTACTCCTGCATGGCATAGCCCATAGCTTCATTGCACTATGCAATCCCCTTTGCTGCAGCAAGGCAGTGATCAATGAAGGGGAAATAAGAGTATAGAACTTTACAAAAATTATAACTTAATTAAAATTAAATTTCAGTACTAGATCTGTTCAAGTCAGCTAACATAAATGCCCATTATGTGCCACTAAATGCCTGGAGGGCAGACTTAACCTGGTACTGAAAACATGGCTGTCCTGGCACCAGGAGGTCCTTAAAGGAGAGCATTCTCCTTCTCTGAATCCCTATAGCCACCCCAAAAACCTGTCTCAGCTTCATAGGAGCTTATTTTGTTTCATGGAGATGGAGGGAATCTGATGTTTGTAAAGAAAATTTCAGAGCTATTTGGTTTATGGTTCATTCAAATAACTAATATAGAAAAATAATTTGATGTAGTTATTAGAAAGTATTCACTAGGTTCTGACTTTTCTCCTTCCTCACAAGAGGCTTACAGACAGCTGCTAACTTGCCTAATAACTAGAAAATATTTGTTTACATCATCTATGCGTCATCCTAAAATGGAAGTTTTCTGCATTGCCAACATCATAAAATAATATCACACAATAAAACCTAAGAACTAAAAGCATACATTTCTCAGCCAATTCAAACAGGGCAAAGAAATAAGGGCAGAAGAATGAAATCAATTGAAATAGAGATCAGAGTGATAAAAATTAACAAACATAAACAACAGCAAAAGACCAAGACAGTGCAAAAAGTCCAAAATAATAGAGTTTTCTTTTCCTGGTGCTAAAAGTTACAGCAGGGTCAAGGAGGGTCTCTTCAAAGCACAGATTCTATAACCAAAGGATCACTACTGAAAAGTCACCTACTATAATGTACTAGGTGGGGGCACTCAAGAACCAGAGTTGAAAATCTACACATTTGGGTAGAAGCAGCGGCAACAGACCATTCTTTTGGTGCTGAGGGCCCAAAACAAGAGGGGAACTGTAAAACAAATGTTATGAAAAAGATACAAACTATAGTTATTTTTCAATTCTGAAAAGTTACCTCTTTTTGTCAACCTCTTCCTGCTGTTGGACATGTTCTTTTTCATATACTCGAATATTGTCCACACCAATTTCTTCACAAAATTCATGGAAAACTCTGTCTTCCACCTGTTTCAACCAAATCCCAAAATATAGGAATTGAGTAAGATTTCTAAAATGAACTGTCCTGTTCTTGTTATATGACAGTCAATATCAACTTAAGATTTATCATAACTTTACTTCCTAAAATAAAATTTTACTTCCTTCCAAGAATGATTGAAAAGAAAAAAATATTTGGAATATTTGTGAACCTATCTTTTGAAAATTTTAATTACTTCATATTCCATATTCTTTTTGACAATTATAGAGCCAGATCTGTGGTAAAATCTTTGGATTAGTTTAAAAAATTAATTACTAAGTCTGAGAGGCCTGATTTAACCCTACCAAAATACACAGGTAATAATCAGCATCCATTCGATCCCCTCCAAAGTTATGAAATACTATAGGGAAAATACCTTAACATTTTTGTCTATATCATTATTTTTTTGTGGTGATACACCACTGTAAGAGCAAGCTGTTCATTCAAATGCAAAGTTCAAAGTAATCTATGCTTACAAAAAAGGCTAGCCAGTTTGCTACCCTTTTAAACATTTTTCTGACACAAAAATTGCACAAAATTCTAAAAATTTTGGTTGGTATTTCACTAGTACACTCTTAAAGCTGTTCCCTATGCACAGTCTTCTCTGGTCAATTATCTTGCTGATTTCAACTGTCAAAGTCAAGAGAACAAGGAAGAGGAGATAAGGTACATGGAAATTAACAAGACATTGTGTTTATGTTGCATACAGCTGTCAGGGTCCAATTGCTGAGCTGAGTTTAAAAGCATTGGGGGATGGGGTTAACCAGAAAAAAATAGGTTCACAAAAAAGAGAGGCTGCAATACCTCCTACTTTGCAATAAATCCTCTTGATTTTAAGTGTTGAAGTGACACATTTCAGTATCTTTCAACACTTCTGAATCTCCAATTAATCCAGAAAGGAGAGATACTGGTTCCCTTGCCACCTTTCCACAGCACCTTTTTTGAATATTTACTGCTGAAGAGTTTTTGGCACAGATAATTGCAGGTGTGTGAATTTTCCTCCATTGACTTTTCAATCATTAAATGTGAATATATTTCTACATTTATTATTTTTAGAACTGTCAGAGAACTGCAGAAGTGCTCAAACAGGAAGCCATAAATGATTAATTAGACTGATTAATTAGCATGTACTTACAAAGTCTCCCCCTCTCCCCCACACACACAATACATGCAGCCTTAGATTAGTGGGTTTCTTGGGAAATCATAGAGGAATGGACACCAAAGCTACACAAGGAACAGACAAGCTTGGGATTCTTTTTATTATTGGCTAGAGAAACGGGACTATGCATAGACTTAAATATGTTTATAGTTTAACATAAAAAGAAAAAATGTGGGGGGCTGACCCAGTATGTCTGATGTTTTCAATGACTGATGCTTCTTAGTTTCTTTTTGTTAGGTATATTAAGAATAAAACTTATTCCAAAAAAAAAAAAAGAACAAACAAGCTGCTACAAAGCCAGCCAACTGATCCTAATAAATTTAGACACAGGCAGTGAGTAAAAAATTATACCTCATTGATTTTCTTTTGGAGCTCATCCATGCTTCCAGCTCTTTGTAAAACTCCCTCATTCAGCATAGCACATTGTGACTTAATATTTACCAGTTCACTTTCCAACATAGATTTTTCCTGAGTACAAATAAATACTAGCAGTATTTAAGGTTATTTGAACAAAATGCTAGACCAATCTCACTATTTTGAACATTTATGTAGTCAGGATATTTCTTCTGGAATAACATAAATTGTATCAATACCGAAGAATAACTACCACACAAAAAATCTCACAAAACTAATACATTGTATAGAGGTTTGTATAAAACTGAACATAATGACCACATATAGATTAACATAAAATGTCTCCATGAAAACTTTCCCTCTTGTAATAATAACTGGACCAAGGATTTTTAAAATATGACATGTATCTCTTTGACAGGTGAACAAAAATAACCATACTGTAATTTAAGGTTTCATAGTTATGATTGAGAATGAAGCAATATATTTGGCCAGAGATTAGGCAAATCAGAAAATAAGAAAAAACAACATGGGTGAGTTCAATGTTACCTTGTACAAATTAGCAAGATGTTTTTTCTTTAAAACTTCTAATTCATTTTGTGAATATTTGTGTCGTGTTTGAATTCCTTGACACTGAGTCTGCAAATGCTTTAAATCAGTCTCCTTACGCTTCATTTTCAACAAGTCCTAAAGAAAGAGAGTACATTTTATTTTTTTTTTTAACTTGCAAGCATAGGTACAACCCATAGTACATGCTATGGTGTTAACATCTGCCTTGTGATGCTAGATACAAATTCAAAAACATTTGTTAAATGCAGTTATCATTTTTATACTTACCTTTCAAAATTTAACCTACAGGTGTTACTGAAACCAAGCCTCAAGCATAAAGAAAAATCATAATAAAATACAACTGGTCTCTATGTTAAGGCACATTAACAGATTAGTTCATTCTCTAATCCTAGCCAGCCCAAAATAAAATATATATATATTTACAATTTTCCCTCAGGAGAAAGGGAAACCCTGCTCAAGTTCTGCTCTATCAAGTGATCAGGCTATCCAGAATTACTCGCCAAACTCCTCAAAAGATACTATTGCACTAAAGGTTAAAGCAGGGAACTAGCATAGCAGTTCCTTTCTTTGCAAAAAGTCTAGTGTCTAAGAAGCACACTTATCAGGTAAATGCAAGAAGCATGCCAGCAGACAAAAGATTTTCAACAGCAGTGCCTAAATTGTTGTAATCCTTACAACAGCCTTGCAGGGTAGGTCAGTACTATTAGGCTAATATTGTGGATGGAGCTAAGAGCAATGAGAAGAGCAGGTTGCTCAGGTAAGATCTGAACAGTCTTATTTAGTGAATATGCTACACAGGTTCTCAATATATCAGGCAACAATTCTATATACCTCATACCAGTGAAAGTCTACTGATTTCTGTGTTTCAGCTATTCTCCTAACAACTTTTAGTTCTGGATTTAAATACCATATTGAATAATGTTGTGAAATTAGTATTTTAACTTTCATAGATTCATCAAAATCAAAAATATTTCTTGAAGTACTACAGTAATTATAGCACTGGATACTCCCTTATACAACGGTTAGGTATAATATACTTTTAAATTAGTTTTACCTTTAGTTCATTCATCAGTTTTTCTCTTTGTCCTTTAAGTTCATTCACCTCCTTTTCTTCCCAGTATTTAGCTTTCATTTTTAAGTAACTTGAGCCTCCAGAGATTATTCCAGATTTCAAAAATAAAGTTCCATCAAGAGCCACTGTCTACAAATTAAAGACATTTGTAATTTGTTAATGATCAGTATCATTAATACTTGCACTATAACATCAAGTTTTGGACTGAGGTAACTGGGGTAAGTGCAATTAAAAGTAAAGGTTGACATTAAAGTCCAGTCATGTCTGACTCTAGGGGGCAGTGCTCATCTCCGTTTCCTAGCCGAGGGAGCCAGCGTTTGTTCACAGACAGTCTCCATGGTCATGTGGCCAGCATGACTAAAAACCTAAGTGCACGGAATGCTGTTACCTTCCCACTGAAGTACAATTAGCTAGCCACAAATAAGTCTCCATAGCCCATTGAATTTCCTCTTTCCTTCCAAGGAGACATAAAAAACAGAGCTTACAAACACTTGCATAGCTAGGAATTAGGGCAATTATATCTTAGGGGAGATATTTCAACATCCTACACACTGCCTTTAAAGACTTAAGCTAGGCCTAACAGAATGAGACATGCCAACCTGTGCCCCTCAAGTGACTCCTGGCTACAGGTTGTGCAACCTCAGTCACTCTTCTCCGCAGCCCACTTAATCAGCTCAGCTTTGAGAAAAAAAGAGAAAAAAGGAGAAGCTCAGAAAAACCAAAGGATATACAACAGTAAGGAGGGATATTCTGTTGTTCCCTCCAATACTTTTAGAGTACTACTAGATTCCTGAAACTCAACAATTCAACCAAATCCACTTGCTAAGAAAAATTGTAATTGCTAAAATTGAATGGCTGAATGTTTATTTATTTATTTAAAACATTTCTATGCCACCCCCATCGCAACAAAGCCTCAGGGCGGCTCACAAAGAATACATAAATACATAAATAATAACAATACAACAAATTAAAAAAAATTGTTTAAAAACCCCCGGTGCATTCTTGGCTAAAAACTTAAAATCCTATTAATTAAATAATTTAACAATTAAAATAAGTTTTAAATAAAAAGGTCTTAGCCTGGCACCGACAAACAAATAACAACGGCGCCAGGCGGACCTCTCTGGGGAGCGCATTCTATAGATGGGGCGCCACCGCAGAGACAGCCCTCCTCCGGGTACTCACCCTCCTAATATCATTCACAGAGGGTTCCTGGAGAAGGGCATCTGTTGCTGATCTCAAGGGGCAGGAGGGCATATATGGGCGTGAGTGTTCCTTTAGATATCCAGGTCCCAAGCCGTTGAGGGCTTTATAGGTCATAACCAACACCTTGAATTGGGCCCGGACTTCAATCAGGAGCCAGTGGAGCTGACAGAGAACTGGGGTTATATGAGAACAACGCCCAGTCCCCGTCAGCAACCTGGCAGCTCTATTCTGCACCAATTGAAGTATCCGGACCATCTTCAAAAGTAGCCCCATGTAGAGCGCGTTATAGAAATCTAATCGGGAAGTTACCAGCGCATGTGTCACTGTCGCCAGGCAGTCGTTCTCCAGGAAGGGACGCAGCTGATGTATCAGCCGAGGCTGAAGGAAGGCGCTCCTCGCCACCGCCGTCACCTGAGCTTCTAGAGACAGCTCAGGGTTGAGGAGCACTCCTAAGCTGCAAACCCTGTCCCTCAGAGGGAGTGCAACCCCATTTAGGACAAGGTTCAAGTCCCCCATCCCGAGACTCGAGCCACCCACCAACAGGATCTCCGTCTTGTCTGGATTGAGCTTCAGTTTATTGGCCCTCATCCAGCCTATTACTTCGGCCAGGCACCGTTTCAGCACAGCCACTGCCTCACCTGGATTGGTGGAAAACAAGAGGTAGAGCTGGGTATCATCAGCGTACTGATGTTCCACAGCCCACATCTCCTGATGACCTCTCCCAGTGGTTTCATGTAGATGTTAAATAGCAAAGGGGACAAAATGGACACCTGCGGAACTCCATGGCATAACTGCCATGACGCAGAGCCATAGTCCCTCAGCACCACCTTCTGAAATCGGCCGTTGAGATAGGAGCGGAACCACTGCCACGTGGTGCCTCCAACTCCCAAACCCGCTAGCTTATTCGGAAGGATGCCATGGTCGATGGTATCGAAAGCCGCTGAGAGATCCAGGACAACTAACAGGGACACACTCCCTGTCTCTCTCCCTGCACAGATCATCGTACAGGGCAACCAAGGCAGATTTAGTGCCATACCCGGGTCTGAAGCCGGACTGAAATGGGTCCAGATGATCAGTTTCCTCCAAGAGTGCTTGGAGTTGTTCTGCCACCACCCGCTCTAGCACCTTGCCCAGGAACGGGATGTTGGCCACCGGTCTATAATTGGTGGCCATCTCTGGATCCAGGGATGCCTTCTTTAGGACTGGTCGGACTACTGCCTCCTTTAAAGGGGCAGGTACCCGGCCGTCTCTTAAAGAGGCATTGACCACCTCCAGGATCCAGGTCCCAATCCCGTCCTTGGCTTTCTTAAGTAGCCAAAATGGGCATGGGTCTAGTAAGCAAGTGGTAGGACGTACTTGTCCAACCACCTTGCCCACATCATCAGGCCGCAACAACTGAAATTCATCCATTAATTGTGGACTCAACGGCGTCGATGGCGTCTCCCCAGTAGAATCTGATTCAATAGTAGAGTCAAGCTCGTGGCGAATCTGAGCGATTTTCACCCTGAAATGCTTGGCAAAGTCGTCACAGCGGGCCTTCAAGGGTGGCACAAGATCTTTTTTTGGGCCCGGATGTACCAGCCCCTGCACCACCCGAAAAAGCTCCACTGGACGGCATTGTGAGGAGGCAATGGAAACGGAGAAGAATTTCTTCTTTGCCATCCTCACCGCCACAGCATAGGCCCGATAGTGGGCTCTTACGTGTGTTCGGTCAGAATCACCCCGTGATCTCCTCCACCTACGCTCTAGACGTCTCCCAACCTGCTTCATCACCCATAATTCAGGTGTATACCAAGGAGATGAACAGGCTCTGCCAGGTGGGAGAGGACGCTTGGGAGCGATCGTGTCAATAGCCCTGGTCATCTCCTCATTTCACCTAATGTTGCCACCTATCAAACCTCCCTGCCTGAGGTAAGCTGACTTGTCAAATGAAACACATTTCAGTGTAGTCTTCTATCTGTGCGAGAGAGTGCTGGTGCATTTGAGCAGGCATGGCACCATTTTCATTTTGAAGCAGCTGTAACATAGACTTTTCTGAGCATGTCTTTAAAGGCCAGCCAAAATATTTCAAGACTCAGATTTTTAGTTCTTACTTTCAGTCGGTGTGGACCATCAAATGCAAGTTGTCTTGCTTCTTTTACTGTTTCACAGACTAGACCATTTCCACAAATGAACAGAATAACTTTTTTCAGTGGAAGGAAAGATGTCTGTATGACATCAATAATCATTTTAGATCCTTTAATCTCTCTTAGCTGTTCATTGATAGGCTCTACCTAAATATTAAAACATTTAGAAAAATGTAAATTAGGTATTACACAGCAGGCTCTGATAAAACATTCAGTGAAACAAGACTAAACAAGACTAACAGATCAAATTTGCTTTTCAGATGCATAGAATGAAGAAAGAAATACACTGGGACCAAAAGGAAGCTGCAGAGATGAAATACAATATGCAAAGTAAAACAAAAACCTGGACACGTTAATTGCTATAGAAATATAGCTTCTTCTCAGATTTGACTAATAGAGCTTTCCCTGAAAGCTGGTTTAAAGTAATCACAGAATCATACATTTGAAAGGGGCCATGAAGGCCATTTAGTGCAACCCCAGCGCAGGAATCCAGTTTCCAGAATCCCCTACAATTGGATGCTTAGTCTCTGCTTCAATATTTCCAGAAATGGAGATTTTGCCATGTCCCCAGGCAGTTGGTTCTATTCTCTGACCACACTGAACATTAGGAAACTTTCCTGATGTGCAACTGAACTCTGCCTGTAACTTATATCCTCAAATTTTAAGTAAAGTCTACCTCAAGGTAATCCAAAGGAAGGAATGTTTCAGGCTCAGCTCTTTCTTCCTTGAGGAAACGAATACAATCTCTAGCTGCTTTTTCTGAAGCCACAACAATTGCAGTCATATACTTGCCAAAAATTTTGGTAACAGCAAGTTCATATTTTTTATGGATAGGATGACACAAATCAACCACTCTTCCAAACTAAAAAACAGGGACATGTAAATTAAGTTTAATTTGTGCCATGTGTGTTATTTCATGTTAGTTCATTTTTATGCAGTCTCATAAAATCAGTTCATTTTGACAGAAGCATCAATTGTCAAGAAGTTTCTTAAAAACTTAGCTCTATAATATATATTCCACAGGCAAAGGCAGATAAAAATTTTTTAGAGCAGTGGGTTCAATTTAGAAGTATGCTTTCTGTATTCACTCTGAAATAACATTTCTTCTCCAGTTTCAAGCTCTGAAAAAACCAGCAAAACAAATTGGCAACAAAAGGTGCTTGTGTCCAGTGCTGATGAACTTGAAGCTAATAATGTAATCCAATAAAATGACTCCCATAAAAACTTAAGAACAGTAATGCTGGATCAGACCAATTATTATCTAGTCCAGCATTCTCACAGTGGCAAGCCAACCATACACAGGATGGGTACAAGACCTCTGCTTACCCAACTGATGTATGTAGGCCTGTCACCTCTAGCAATGGAGGCAACATGTAGCCAGCACGGCTAGTAGCCACAGAATTTGTCCAATCCCCCTTTAAAGCCATCAATCCCCCTTTAAATTGGTGTGAATCACCACTTCCCATGGCAGCGAACTCTATAGTTTAACCTGATGTTAAGAAGTTCTTCCTTTGTTCTTAATCTCCTACCATTCAGCTTCATGGGATGACCTCTGGTTCTAGTTATTATGAGGAGAAAAATTTCTCCCTCTCTACTTTCTCCACACTATGTATCATTTAAACACCTCTATCATGTTTACTTTTTTTTCTAAGCTAAACCTTCCCAGTTGTTGTACCTGCTCTTCACAGGGGAGTTGCTCCAGCTGCTTGATCATTCAAGTTGCTCTTTGCACATTTTCCAACTCAGTGCTGCCCTTTTTCAAGAAAGGTGACTAGTACTGTACAGAATATTCCAAGTGTAGTCTCACCAGAGATTTGTATAAAGGAGTATAATCTTGGCAGTTCTATTTTCTATTCCATTCCTAATTATGCCTAACATGGAGTCTGCCTTTTTCACAGCAGCTGTGCACTGGCTTGAAATTTCCATTGAGTTGTCCACCCCTCCTCCCTCCAAGATCTCTCTCTTGATCAGTCATTGCTAGCTCAATAGTCCTTTGCAGTCTAAGACATGCAGCCTATTCAAAGCATTAAAAAAGGACATGACTGACAACTATTGATTTATCATGTCTATAGTGAAGCTACAGAAGTCAGACTTATTTTGAAGTTGCAGGACTTACTGACCCAGTTCAGATGTCACAACAACCATGGGGTTGTCAGGAGTGAATCAGCATGCTACCTTGTATCCACTCGCTCTGTCATTTCTGATTTTGTAAACAACCCCAGGATTAGGCTGTTTGTTGTGATATGTGAACCCAGTTTTCTGCATTATAGCCAGGAAGCAATCCAGAGCTTTAACCAAATAACAAACTTTGAGTTAAAACTTCTCCCCTAAACAATTCAGAATTCACAATAATCAACCAAAGAATGGAGCATTCCCAGGTTACTAAAAAAAGCAGAAAGAAAACAGAAACAGTGAGCTGGTAGGATGCAACATGCTTTCTGACTCCTGAATGGTCCCAACTAAATATAGGTTGTCATGACTAAATATGAGTTTCAGATATGAATCAGGTTACTGAAACACTTGACGAAGCACATGATTTTTACCATTACTCTGTGGGCTAAGGAAAGCCCAAATTTATATTGTGCAGCAAAATATTTAGATAATTAGGATGGTCTTGCACATAAAATATTAAAGAAGGTGGGTCCCTACTCCCTGTTCCTTTTGTTCTTATTGCAGTACTGGAGAAACAGCTGCTACTCTATTGTTCCTAAAGGAAAAGGGCTATACCTACAATAATCATTACAGACTAATTTTTTGGGATCTTTTTCAGAAATGTGGACAGATGAGTACTAAAACTTAGCAGAAATATTTATTTATTTAAAACTTTTATATGCCGTCACCACATAAATATATACACATAATATAGCAGTTAACTGATGGTCAAGCATAGGAAAATGCCAGTTTTTCTAAGTATCTGATTATGAATTAAATGATGTACGCCTGCTAATTAGAAAGCTAGAGAGCTTTGGCTAGGGGTGGGTGGTATAGAAATGAATAAAGAGACACAGCTTTGAAATAAAGTCTCTGAGTCCCTTACGAACAGTTGTGTGTACAGTAAATCTCATTCTATGGTTAAAAAAAATACAGGCTTTATAGGAACTAAAACCTTAAATAATTTTTCGAAAGAGGCTAGTTCCATTCCAAGTGTTAGAAACATCTGCATTTAGAACCATAGAATTGTAGAGTTGGAAGAGACCAGAAGGCAATCAGGTCCAACCCCTTGCTATCGCAGAACACAAAGTTACACCATCTGAATGCATCTAGAACCAGGTTCCATTGTCGTACTGCTCTGACAGCCAGGAAATTCTTCCTGAGGTCTAGTCTAAATCTGCTTTCTGTTTAACTTAAGTCCATTATTCTGTGTCCTGCACTCTGGAATGAATGAGATCTTATCCCTCTTTGTGACAGCCTTTCAAGTACTCATAGACTGCTATCATACCACCCCTCAGTCTTTGCTTCTTGAGGCTGAACATGCCAGTTTTCTCAATTTTCCTCATAGGGCTTTTCCTCCATCGCCTGAATCATCCTTGTTGTCCCGCTCTGTACCCCTTCTAGCTTTTCTGCATCTTTTTAAAACATAGGTGCCCATAACTGGACACAGCACTCCAGGTAAGGTCTGACTAGTGCCGAGTATAGTGGAACCAGTACTTCACAGGTTTTGGAGGTGATACTTCTGTTAATGCAGCCCAAAATAGTATTTCCCCTCATATTCAGCTTATGATCTACACCAACCCCAAGATCCTTATCATTTACAGCATTGTTGAACCAAGTGTGGTGCTTTTAGTTTCTTATTCCTTAGTGGAGGACTTGGCATTTATTCAATTCCTAAGTGGAGGACTTGGCATTTGGCAATTTCATTCTCTCAGCCTTCTAACCAATCAAGATCACCCTGTATCTTATTGACGTCTTCCAAGGTATTAGCTATTTCACCCAGCTTTGTGTAATCTCCAAATTTAATAATCTTTCCTTGTACTTCCTCATTTAAATCATTAATAAAAATATTGAAGATTACCAGCCCCAGGACAGAATCTTGCAACACCACACTTATCACCTCTCCCCAGTATGAGAATATGCCATTGATTAGTACTCTTTGAGTCCGATTTTGCAGCCAATTGTGGATCCACCTAATGGTTGCACTATCTAGCCATTTCTAGCTATTCGATTGTTATAAGGAAACTCAAGAATTAAAAACAACTCCATGCCTATGATGTTATCCCTGTTTGTTGATTTATCATGGAATGCCCCTATATTGCTGACACCTTATCTGACCCAGACAAACATTATTAAACAAAAAAAATCTTCTCAGTTGACCTTATCTCCAGAACATGCAAGTCATTTGAATTCTGTGTGTGTGTGTATGTATGTTAGTTATAGAATTGACAAATATAAAGCACGATTAGGAACTGCATTTTTACAAGTGAAAATACTGACATGTGAAATACGGAAGCATGCCTTAACCATAAGCATTATCTAGTTACCACGTAATCAGGATATAGTCTTTTCAGGCTGTCAAGGTTTTCAGCTCTCCTCTTCTGGCGCTTCCCTTCATAAACATCAATTTTAGCATTATGCAAATCACTAACAATTTTATTCAGCGACTCATTTACTTCAGCAATTCTTATCTTTGAATTTTCAAGTTCATTTGTTAGCGCTGCTACTTCTTTTGTTTTCTCTGCTAAAGATTCACTTAGAGCAAAAAGGTAAACAAAAAACAGTAGGCCAGTTAGATTACTGCAAACTAAGCAATATTGCTATGGATGCTGCAAATCAGAACGTATACATTTGATACAAATCTGTGGTATGCGCACAGTATTTTGTATGTGCCTGAAATAATTACTGTAATACTGCCATTCACATAGTACAACCTGTTATGTATGTTACAACTGGAATACAGTTTTATATTGTTATTTTTTGTATTTTAACTTTATGTTGTGAGCCGCCCCGAGGCTTCGGCGAATGGGGCGGCATAGAAATGTTTTAATAAATAAATAAATAATCTAGACAAACCAAAATGTTGGCCAAAGCTCCAGCTGCCTTCTATTTGCATTTCCCCAGAATGTATGAAGATGTCATTTGCTGGAAGCATTTCCTGATGAGGGACTCAGTCATTGCTGGAATGTAACTCTGGCTTGGGGAAGAGCCTCTGTATAGGCAATCGTGGGTCCATGAAAGATGGGAGCTGCTCATTATACTGCCAATATAATTCGTGCAAATGTTCTCCTAAAAGTGTCAGTATCATAGTGAAATATTTGCTTCATTAATGGGGAATCTAGTTTTAAGTGTTGAAGCGTTTGCTGGACGGCTGAAGTAGCCTACCACAATTGCCACAATGAAGCATATATGAGGCAGAAGGACTTTGTACTGATAATGTCTACTAGTATGTCAAGCAGAAAACCCTTCAATGAGCAGCAAGAATGGGGGATAGCCACCCTAAAATCTATTAAGAAGGTGTTAGGTTTCTCCAAGTCCTCTAGTATGGAATTGAAGTGAGAATTTACATGTGGAATTCTGTGTTGAATATACTCTAAAAACTTACCAGATCCCAAATGGTCCTACAATTCCAATCCTTATTGTGCACAGTAAAACAGAAGTTAAATATGAAGTAAGCATCAATGACTCTCAAACAATAGAGATCCACATGCTTAAGATCATGGGAATCAATTATGTTAATTTGTTTTTGACATTGGCCCAGTATAGGGAATATTCTCATAAGCCAACTCATTCAAAATCCAGTCCTCTACACTACTCTGTAATTATTTATTTATTATTTATTAAAAACTTTTGTATGCTGTCTGTTATATAAATATCTCAGGACAGCTTACAGCAATTTAAAAGAAAAAATTAAAAAAAGCATCTAACAACATCCAATAACAATTAAAACAATAGCACTGTGTAAAACAATAAATACACATTAAATAAATCAGATTAAATCCAACAAAACAAAGCAAAAGTGGCTGCAAATCCATTAAAACTATTAATTTTTTAAATACCACTTAAATCAAAAAGGTTTTGACCTGGCGCCAAAAAGAATATAAGCTTGGCGCCAGGCGTGCCTCTCTGAAGAGTGCATTCCACAGTCTGGGCACCACCGCAGAGAAGGCCCTACTCCTACTCAAAAAAGTTGATGTCCTTTTTACCTCTTTTAGAAAGGGTTCCCAGAGCAGGGCTTCTCCCGCAGATCTTAAGGGGCATGAGGGCATATAAGGATGGAGACGTTCCTTCAGGTATCCTGGTCCCAAGCTGTTTAGGGCTTTATAGGTCAAAACCAGCACCTTGAATTGGGCCCGGACATCAACTGGAAGCCAGTGGAGCTAATGGAGGACCAGTGTCATGTGAGAGTAACGGCCAGTCCCCGTCAGCAGTCTGGCAGCTCTATTCTGTACCAGCTGAAGTATCCAGACCGTTTTCAAGGGCAGAGTGCATTACAGTAATCCAAGCAGGTTACCAGAGCATGTATCACTGTTGCTAAGGAGTGCTTGTCCAGGTAAGGACGTAGCTGGTGGACCAACCGAAGTTGTAGGAGGGCACTCCTTGCCACCGCCACCACCTGGATTTCCAGTGACCGCTCCGGGTCAAGGAGTACTTCCAGGCTACAGACCCTGTCCTTTAGAGGGAGTGCTACCCCATCTAAGATAGGGTAAAAATCATCTACCTGGAAACCTGCACCACCCACCAACAGGACTTCTGTCTTATCTGGATTGAGGCTCAGTTTATTGGCCCAAATCCAGCCCATTACCTCAGCCAGGCACTGGTTCAGCACTGCCATCGCCTCACCTGGAGTTGATGTAAACAAGAGGTGTCATCAACTGGGTGGAGCTGGGTGTCATCAACATAATGATGACTCTACAGCCCAAAACGCCTGATGACCTGCCCCAGCGGTTTCATGTAGATTTTAAAAAGCATAGGGGACAACATAGAGCTCTGTGGAACCCCATGGCAAAGCTGCCATGGCACAGAGCTATAGTCCCCCAGCACCACCATCTGGAATCGGCCAGCCAAATAGGAGTGGAACCACCACCACGCAGTGCCTCCTACTCCTAAGTCGGCCAGCCTGTCCAGAAGGATACCATGGTCAATGGTATCAAAAGCCACTGAGAGGTCCAGGAGAACCAACAGGAACACACTCCCCCATCTCTCTCCCTGCACAGGTCATCATACAGGGTGACCAAGGCAGATTCAGTTCCATAACCGGTTCTGAAGCCGGAATGAAATGGGTCCAGATAATCAGTTTCATCCAAGAGTGCCTGGAGTTGTCCCACCACCACCCGTTCTAACACCTTGCTCAAAAATGGAATATTGGTCACTGGTTTAAAGTTGGCGGCCACCTCTGGAACCAAGGACACCTTCTTCAGGACAGGCGAGATCACGCCTCCTTCAAGGGGGCTGGGACCCAGCCCTCCCTCAGGGAGGCATTAATAACCTCCTGGACCTAGGGACGAATCCTGTCACTGGCCTTCTTAAGTAGCCAGGAAGGGCAAGGGTCAAGAAGACAGGTGGTAGGACGTACCACCTCAAGCACGTTGTCCACATCATCAGGCTGCAATAACTGAAACTCATCCATTAATCATAGACCAGACAGCACTCTGGAGACCTCCCATACTGGAACCGTATCAACTGTGGAGTCCAGATCGGAGTGATTTTTTTTCCCTTAAAGGGCTGGGCAAAGGCGTCACAGCAGGCTGCCGAAGATGCGACCATGTCATTTTCCTGGCCAGAGTGTGTTAGGCCTCGTACTACTCAGAAAAGCTCTGCTGGATGGCACTGTGAGGAAGCAATGGAAACGGAGAAGAAAGGCAGGTTGCTCACATGTAACTGTCATTCTTCGAGTGGCCATCTGTGCATTTACACATATGGGTGCTGCGCCTGCACAGTGCCTGTAGTCAAAAAGATTTAAAGCTTAACGGTTTTGGCGGGAACTCCCCTCCCCCCCCCCCCCCTTCCGTAAAAAAAGGGGAAGTACCCCCCCTTTCCCCAGTCCCCTGAAGATCGATTGTCCCCCCCCCCCCCGTGGGAGCGGTCAGAATTCCAGGGAATGTGTTGAACAGTAGAGAGGAACAATCACGGGACCGGTATCCAATAGAACAGTACCATATAAACCGAATCACGAACACTGAGTGGGGCCAGCGGGTGGGTTGTGTTAATGCACAGATGGTCACTCGAAGAACAGCAGTTACAGGTGAGCAACCTGCCTTTCTTCGTCGTGGCCTCTGTGCATCACACATATGGGTGATTAGCAAGCTTACCGAACCTGGAGGTGGGTGGTGTGATCACTGGAGAACAGAAGAAAGGATTGCTCGACCAAAGGAGCAATTGTGCCTGGCATGAACATCAAGGTGATAATGTCTGGCAAAGGTGCAAGGAATAGTCCAAGTGGCAGCCTTGCATATGTCCTGAATCGGGAAAAAGCAGAGGAAGCTGCTACTACCCTCATGGAATGTCCTCTGGGCATGACAGGTAAGTCCAACTTGGCAAGCTGGTACACCAGCTCAATGGTCTGCACGATCCATTTCGACAGTCTCTGGGATCCAACAGGAGAACCCTTATCATGTTCTGAATATTTGATGAAGAGACGGTTAGATTTGTGGAAGGACTCTGTATGAGACCTGTAAAAGGCAAGGCAACGATGAACGTCAAGGGAATGTAGCGACCGCTCTATTGGTGTAGATAGAGTTGGAAAGAAAGCCGGTAAAACAATGTCCTGATTAATATGGAAAGGAGACACCACCTTGGGTAGGAACGCTGGATCGGTATAGAGGATGACCTTCTCCTTATGGGAGCTGAGATAAGGGGGGTCTATACGGAGTGCACAGAGTTCACTAGCCCGACTAGCGGACATGACAGCGACAAGAAAGGCAGTCTTCCAAGACAGGAGGCGTAAGTCAGTAGTGGCCAGGGGCTCAAAGGGAGCTTGAGTGAGTGCCTGCAGGACAACAGAGAGGCTCCAAGTAGGAATAACTGGCCTAACTGGTGGTTGCAGGTTCTGTAATCCCTTAAGGAATTGATTTATGAGGGTATGCGAAACACCGAAGAACCCAACACCTGGCTGCGATAGTGGGAGATTGTGGCGGTAAAAACCTTAATGGATGACGGCTTAAGTCCAGACTGATGTAGTGACAGGAGGAACTGAAGGATATTCTCAACAGAGGCTGAAGAAGTGATAAAGTTATTGGATTCAGCAAAGGATGTAAAGCGTTTCCACTTGGCTGCATAAGATCGGCGAGTTGCAGGTCTTAGCGCAGACTGGAGAATAAATTGGATATTGGGATGGAGAGTGCTCGGATTTGATGCGGTGTCTACTGGTATCGAAGGAGAAGGCGCTGTATCGGGACAGTGTTGGGCCAGTGTGGAAGTCTCTAGGTCCGTCGGTATCGAAGGAATCCCAGGGTTCATCAAATGAGCCAGGCTGTCAGATTGAGTGAAGGAAGATCCGGGCGACGAACAGCTCCGTTCTGTTGAGTGATTAGATGGGGTATGAGAGGCAGTTGCTGGAAGGTGCTGCCGGACAGGCGGAGGAGAGTAGGGAACCATGGTTGACAGGGCCACCAGGGAGTGATGAGAATTCCCTGGGCGTTGTCGTAAGAGATCTTGGCAAAGACCCTTATTATGAGCGGAATCGGGGGAAATGCGTAAAAGAATGAGTTTGCCCAGGGGATCATGAGAGCTTCCCCTTTCGAACCCAGGCCAATGCCAGTATGGGAACAGAACATCTCACACACCCTGTTCATGTGGGTGGCAAACAGATCTATGTCTGGAGAGCCCCATGTTCAGAAGAGATGATGACAGGTTAGACGATCTAGTTTCCATTCATGGGTTGTTGACATCTGCCTACTGAGTGTGTCCGCCTCCTCATTGTCGATACCAGCCAGGTGAATGGCGAGGAGGGTTATCCCCCTTGGGATGCACCAGTCCCATACCTGCATGGCCAGATGGGCCTTTGTTCCGCCTTGTTTATGTAGAATACAGTCACAATATTGTCGGAGGCAACTTGTACAATTTGCTGCCGAAGAGTGTCCTTGAATGACCAGAGGGCTTTGAAAACTGCCAGGGTACGAAGGCTGGCACAGAGGGCTCCCCAACCAGTAAGGGAGGCATCGGTGAATAAGGTCAGAGTTGGATGAGGCGGACAGAACAGGACACCGAGAGACAGATTGTTTTGGATAGTCCACCATGATAAGATCCAGAGGACAGAGGTTGGAAGGTGGAAAAGCTGCTGAGGCGAGTCCCATTGGGTTTGGAAAAGACCATTGAACCACAGTTGGAGTGGTCTCATCCATAGCCTGGCATGAGGAACTACAGAGACTGTGGAGGCCATATGGTCGAGGACTTTCTGCACCAATAGTGCTGGAACAGCTCTGTCCATGTGGATTCGACAGATTGATGCACGAAGATTGTCTTGTTGCCCTTGTGGAAGGAAGGCTTTCGCCATCGTGGAAACGAGACGGGCTCCAATGAAATCGATGACCTGTGAGGGGGTAAGGCACGATTTCTCATGGTTAATGCACAGTCCCAAATTGTCTGAGAGTGTACAAGTTGTTAGAATCGATGACTGAAGGCCTGCTCCAGATGAAGAGACAACGAGCCAGTCATCCAGGTAGGGGTACACTTGAACGCCCTGGAGACGAACGCCCTGGAGACGAAGACGCCCTGGAACGCCCTGGCACACACTGGGGCCATGCACTTTGCAAACACCCGGGGGGCAGTAGCCAGTCCAAGCGGCAGAACATTATACTCAAACAGGTTGGAACTGACAGCGAATTGAAGAAGACACCTATGAGACGGATGGATGACAATGTGGAAATAGGCATCTTTTAAGTCCAGAGAAGCGAACCAATCCTCTCTCCTAAGCAACGGAAGAATATTTTGAAGGGTGGTCATCCAAAATTTCTTGGGTTTGATGAACCTGTTGATGTCGCATAGGTCCAGAATCAGACGAAGACCACCGTCAAGCTTAGGGACCGTGAAATATCTCGAGTAGAAGCTGTGGAGCCTCTCGGAGCGTGTGATCTGTCGAATTGCTCCTTTATGAAGAAGCTGTTGAATTTTGTCAATGAGAACCGATGATTCAGGCATAAATCGAATCGGTCTGAGCAGGGGTATGGCATTGAACTCGATCCTATATCCGTGCTGTATGATGGATAAAACCCACAGATCAGATGTGATGGACTCCGAGATGGGGAGTCAACTTTGCAGTCGATCCCCAAAAGGAAGAGGGGAAGGTGGGTTCAGGAGGAGAGGAGAGATTTGCTAGTCCCGTTAGCACTGGCATTTGTCAGAGTCAAGGCAATAACAGCTCTGTTAGAAGTGCTGTTGTTGTTTCTTCCAGCACTGTTGACGAGGCTGGAATTGTTGTCGGCCTGAGAACTGCAAATAAAGCTGGAAGGACGGGACCAAGACAACTTACGGCATGGTTGATTAGGGGCTTCCATCCAGCGAGCTGTAACCCTCATGGATTGTTTTCATCTTGTGGTCCGTCCGGGCGTTGAAGAGACCTGAGCCATCGAAGGTCATGTCCTCAATTCAACGCTTCGTCTTGTCTGGGAAGTTACAATTCCGGAGCCAGGCATGGAGACAAAGAGCTACGGCACCGACGAGAGCCCTAGAGTCGGAATCGACATGGTGTCTCACCGTGGAGAGTTGCTGGACCAACACCTGCATCGCCTCCTTGATGAAAATTCATGCCAGGTCTTTTTGCTGATCAGGAAGTGACGCCATGATATTTTCTAATTTTTGCATTAGAAAATACTGATATCGAGCCACTGTAGCCTCATAATTAGAAATACGGAGGCCGATACCTGTGGCAGCATAGATGCGGCAAGCCAATATGTCGATCTTACATCCTTCCTTATCGCGAGGAGTGATGTGTCCCCTCGACTTGCAGCCTTGAAACGACTCGAATACGATTGAATTCGGTCTCAGGTCACAAAGGAGGAATGGAATGTCCTGTTCACGGACCTGGAACATGGACTCGTAGCGTCTCAAAGTAGGTTAGGGCTCATTGGGTTAGTTCCATGGCTCCATCATGGCCTGACGAAGAGTGGCGATCAGCAGCAAGATGATAGCAGCAGACTGTTCAACCTTGACAATGTTATAGAATTTATTGGTGTTTGGGGGAAGAAGTATGGCATCAGAATGATACAGACGTGATTAACGAACCTCCATTATCACGCTGGTAATTGCCCGGTCGTGGGCCGTGGGGCTCAATCTAAGCTCTGTAGGAGCTGAGATAGATTGCTTGGCAAATCCCCCAGATGATGTGGAACTGGCAATTCCACATTTAGTGGGAGGAAATCAAGTTTTCTCAGCTGGGTATTACCGGAGGGAGTGCTGCCCTCTACAAATTTTCGACATGCTACCTTTTTTTTAGTTTTGTTTTAGCTTCTGTGAACACACCGGCTCTATTGGAATGTATTTTTGTTTCTTTTCTCTGCAATGATACCCGTGGAATAAGCTGTATTTTTTGCTAATTAAAAAGCCCTTCGGATGGGGGGGGGAATGAAACCTTCCCCCCCACGGAGTTGAAAAGTGGCGAATTGCATAACGGAGAGAAAGACAGAACTTTTTGTAAGTAAGGAAAAGATTTATCTTCTTTTATCTGTCCAAGGGCGGATAATTGTGCTGTGGAATTGAGTAATAGAGGATCTTTCTTTTATACGTCTGTGTTGGACTTCTGCCAAGAATTGGCAACCATTTTTCTCTTTGTTCTGGGGATCTTTGGACACCTGCCAAGCCTTGCTAATATGGAAGAAATTTGGAAGGCATTTTTCAAAATACAGGCTTCTTTATCAGCTGTGCAACTATCCCAGCAGGCGATAATAATACGACAGAAGATTGTTCTAGAGCAACTTGATCGTTTTTCAACTGAACAAAATAGTGGCTTTGATAATTTAAGCACTTCTATTGATCAGGCTTTAGATAAGCAACTCGTACCTGAACAGAAAATGCAAAATATCCAACAAGCAGAAGGAAAATCTGAAACTGGAAAGAAAATAAGTGCAACTGTTCTGCGTGCTATGATGGAAAAGGATAAGACAGCTTGGCCACAACTCAAGACACAGACATTACGAAGCAAACTTTCATGGGATCTGCGTGTCATCTTAGAGAAGGACAATTTAGCTGACCACTTAAAAGAGGTTATGTTTATGTGGATGCAACTGAAGACTCCATTACAGACATTAATGGGAAAAAAACAGAAAGGTCTGGTAGAGGGGTAAAGAAAAAGTAAACTTGGCAGGGGTGCAAAGGGAAGATAGGGGAAATTTCTTTCTTTCTATTCCAAAAAAAAAGGTGAATTATATAGCTTGATATGCTTACATGAGATATAGAAAGGCTAAGCTATTATTGCTGGTGAAATAGTAGCAATTTAGCTTAATGAAATCCTGTTTAAAAGGTATTATTGTTAAATGGATATTTTTGACTGTATTTCTAATAAGTTTTTGTTGTTGATGGTACATGTTAGACTGTAAACACCTGGCTTTTATAAGGAGCTCACCATATTTGATTCAATGGTGTTTAAGTGAGATGAAACATTAGTAATTTAGCTTAAAGAAAAATGTTCTAAAAGATATTATAAGTATTACTCATCACCAAGTAAAGTAGGTAAGACAACTGTAGAGATGTTAAATGAATATTTTGGATGTTTATGTGTAATTGTGGTAGTGAGGAAGTTATTTACTATTAGAAAATTGAAAAGATTTTGAACTGTCCAGAAATGTTTAGATCAAACTTACCATTGAAGGAGAAAGAGAATGTTTCAATTTCTTTTAATTTGGAGATGCTTCCCTTTGACATTGCTTAAGAGAAACAGGACTTGGTAGGAAATAATGAGACTGATTTCATGGATGAAGAACAGGAAGATAGTGACTTCTATCAAATTAGGATTATTATCATTATTATTATTTTATTGGCTGGAGAAACGGGACCTGGTTTTGATCCAACGATGCTTTCAAGTTATTATAAATGGATTCTAGTATGAACATAGAATGTTAAAATATATGTAGTAGGGTGCTGATCCAGTAAATCCAGTGTGTACGATGACTGTTGTTTGTAGTTTTAGTTTTAAAATCCTAATAAAATTTCTATTAAAAAAAAAGAATTTATCGGTGTTTGGATCAAAGCGATGTTGGGCTTCTATCTCAAATGATCTTGTAAGTCTCATCATCAGTTCCCCAAAAGTGACATAAGGCTCTTCTGGTGAGCTGGGACCTTGTGTGGAGATCACAGCATCCGGTGAAGTAGAAGCTACTTCAGAGTTCTCCGAGTCCAAATCGTAGTGAGGCGGAAGGCTGAAGGAGGAATCAACAGGTGAGGTAGAACGCCTGTGCTGAGCCACTCTGGAAGTGGAAGGAGCATCTCTCGGGATTGGAGAGAGGGTACGATCGCGTACGAATGGGTAATAGCCATAAGGTGGATAATCATCCCATGGCTCGCGATGAGTCGGCCTATGGGGTTGTACCCATTCTTCCGAGGGATGGACAGAGGCGCGCTGCTATCACACCTGCTGGGGAGCTGGCCTCGGGGAAGGCTCGAGTGACAGCTGAGGGGTAGGCGAGCATGCCATTGAGGAAGAGTCCCGAATCTCTCCATCAGAGATGGATCCCAACAAGGGAACTTCTTGGTGTTCAGGCGAAGACGGGACAGAAGGAGCAACCCATCTTGGAGACCCGGGCAGGGTCACTAGCATAGCTAACTGAAGAGCTGGTTCGGTCGGTGTCGGTACTGAAGTGGCCGTTGGGATCGACAGAACAGACAAACCTGAATCACGGTGCTGGGAATGGTCAGGTTTCTTAGATTTGCGAGCCGTCTTATCCATCTTGTCCTTCTTAGGCTTCTTATGGCCTGAGGACTTGTCCGATTCACTATGCTTCCTCTTCTCCTTTTGCTTATGCAGAGATGTAGAGGAGCATTGACTCTCCAGCAAAGGGGCACCATTGGCCGATGGGTGGGGTGGAGGTGTAGTGGAAGAGGAGAATGGAGCAGCGGATTTGCCAGCCAGTTGGTTGGACTGGAGCAAGGCTTGGTCCCACAAGAGCTTGCGCAGGTGGTTTTCTCGATTTTTCCTCGCCTGTTTAAGTAAAGGCCTGGCAATGGCCAGATTTATCGGTTCTGTGCCCTTCTCCAAGACAGAGAAGGCACAGATCGTGAGGATCAGTAGGAGATATTTTAGATCTGCCCTGAGAACATTTGAGGAAAGCTGCATGCTGTGTCGAGGAGGAAAGAAGAAGATAGCAAGGTAAGAATAAAAAGAGAAGAACTATATTTTTGGGGGTTTCGTTTTTTTTTGAAAACGGGAAAGGGGAATGAGAAGAAAAACTTCTAACAGTGAGGGTAAAAACTCGGAATCTTAACAGTCTAAGAGAGAAAACAGTAACTGGGTAAATGTGTATTACAAACAGAGACGAAAGGCTTGAGGCACAGTGAACGGCGGTCGCAAGAAGACTGAGGAAATGGCACTCCACCTTCTTATACTGTAGGGGAGGAGGGGAGCCGAGTTCCCACCTAAACCATTAAGCTTTAAATCTTTCCGGCCACAGGCACTGCACAGGCGCAGCACCCATATGTGTGATGCACAGAGGCCACGAGAAGAACTGTCCCTTTGCTGCCCGCACTGCCACAGCATAGGCTTGATAATGAGCATGTAAGTGTGTTCGGTCAGATTTGTCCCAAGATTTCCTGCACCTGCGCTCTAGCCATTTCCCACCCTGCTTCATTGCCCGCAACTCATGCATATACCATGGTGCCGAGCGGACTCTGCTAGGTGGGAGAGGATGTTTAGGAGGAATCGTGTTGATTGCCCTGGTCATCTCCCTATTCCACGAATCGACCAGGACATCAACAGGAGCGCCAGTTTTAACAGCCGGAAAATCCCCCAGAGCCCTCAGGAATCCGTCTGGATCCATCTTGCTCTGGGGGCAGACCATCTTAATAGGGCCCGCACCCTTCCAAAGGTAGGAATCAGCCCCGAGCACAAACCTCACGAGGAAGTAGTCTGACCATGACAAAGGAGTTAAGGTCAAGTTTCTCACTTCCAGGCCATTCTCTTCCTGTCCCATCGAGAAGACCAGGTCAAGCATGTGACCTCTTTCATGGGTTGGACCGGTGACATGTTGAGACAGTCCCATGGCTGCCATGGAAGCCAGGAAGTCCTGAGCTGCCCTGGACAGAACTGGATCGGCATGGAAGTTGAAGTCCCCCAGGACTAACATCCTGGGGGTCCTCAACACCAGATCTGAGATGATTTCCGTCAGCTCAGGGAGGGAGTCTGCTGAGCAGGAGGGTGTGCGGTACTCCAGCAGAGTCCCTAATCTGTCTTGATTGCCCAACACCAAGTACAAACACTCAAGACCTGGCCATAAAAGGACAAGAAATGGTGGCTTGGTGAACTAAAGTGACTCCCCTCCCCTCTCCTCTGGGCATGGTCAATGTTGCATCAAGTACTCCAGCAGACAAAGTTGAATGAGGGAGACATCTCCCCCTTCTCCCGTCCAGGTCTCAGTAATACATACCAGGTCAGCCCCCTCATCCAAGATCAAGTCATGAATAAGGGATGTCTTGTTGTGGACTGACCTGGCATTCCGCAGCAACGCCGTCAGGCCCAGGGGTCGGCTGATATTGCTGTCAGGATCCTTCTAGTTGGGGAGTAACCAGAAGAAGAGACCGGTATCAAACATTGGTCCCTCCTTCTCCTATGCTAGCCCGTTAGACCCCCAATGCCATACCTTCCCCAATGGTGGTACCCTCATGCTCCCCAGGTTAAGCCATCCTGAATTAAAACCAAGTAAAACACAGTCGCACGAGAAGAAAAGAGAAAAAAAGAAGAAGAAAAGAACAGAGTCTCTGGCCCAGCCCCTCACAGCCCCAAATGCTAGTGTACACACAGAATATCAGTCTGGATCAGTCTGGAACATGTAGAGCACACTTGCAGTTACCCTGTATCTTAAGGTATACAACACTCTCCTTTAAAAATCCATTTTGCAAGCCAAAGCACTAGGTAAGCAATAGAAAAATCAAACAAACCCTGGAGGAATATGGCAATCAAAATGTAGCTTTAGTGCCAAAAGTGAATTCCAATTCAAATAGATTTTATGAATACTTACATGCATGACCTGCTGAATTCTGTCAGCTTCTCCACCTGTTTTTCATTATTTTCTATCTGTTCCTTAATTTGCTTTATACTTCCCTTAAAAACACAGATATTTATCAACAAAAGAACCTTGGACTTATCTTAAATGTTCACTGCCTGAAAAGGATATAATTTGCCAGGGTGTGGTTATTCCACTAAACTGCTTCAGAGCTAGGATTATACAAAAGACACCATGTTTGTTCTTCCTTTCAGTGAAGGTACCTTATAACAACATAAGCAAGGTTATGCTGTATCAGACCAAGGTCCATTTAGTTCATCATTCTGTACACATGGTGGCAGGATGGGGACAAGATCTCCACTTGCCCAAGCACCTCAACATGCCACCCATGAAGGGAGCTCATATACAGCAAGACTAGTAGCCACTGAGAACCTCTCCTTCCATGAATCTGTCCAATCCTCCTTTCAAGCCCCCCAGACTGGTGGCCATCACCACTTCCTGTGGCAGCAAATTCCATAGTTCAATTATATATTGTATGAAAGAGTACTTCCTCTTGGAGAGCTTTGGCTAAGGGGTAGTATAGAAATGTAGTACATAAATAAATGAAGGTCACTTAGGTGAACTTTGGTCAGTCACTGTCACTAAAACTAAGCTACTTCACAATGTTGCGAGGATAAAAGTTTGGGAAAGAGGAAGTGAATCATGAAATCCTTGAATAAAAGGTGGAATACAGATTTAAGAAAGAAATATTAAAGTATGAAAAATACTCTCCTAACTCCAGTTTTTATTCAAACATATATATATATATATTAACCTTACCTTATCATATTCATAAGGTTCTCAAAGAGATGAAATAGAAATTTAACTAAATATTTGTATTTTCCAAACATTAAAACCAAAACTACCATTAAAACCAAACAAACATACTTAAAGTTTTCTTGCAAAGAAAATCATTAGGTTTGAACTGAAAAGGTAGAAATAACAATTCCCTATTCTTCCATTTCCCTAAACTGAATGGGTTCACATGACACAGCAAACAACTCTGCACTTTTGCCATGGCATGTGGTTTTTTGTCCAAATTTACCAGTCCAGTGATAAAATGGTTACCCGGACAGTGTGGTTTCTATGCTCCCTGCTCCATTCTCCTGGCCTTGCCATGCCTCCCATCAGTCTCCAAAACCAATTTCCCTCTCTTTGCTATCTTGCCTATGGATGGCAGCAGTCTCCTCCTGATTGGTCCATGGCAGTCCTGGGGTAGGTTTCTCCCTTGCCCCTCCCAAATATACTCTGCATGCCTGTGCTGCCTCCTAGCTGCTTCAGTTCGCACAAAGGCTGCTTATAGTGTTTCGAACAACTGGAGAGGCCATGGTGAAATGCAGAAACCTTAGAACTGATTCCCTCCATGATTTCAGAAAACTAATCTCACCACACAGGAATTTCAGAACTGGATTTGGACAAAACAACAGAACCACAATGGTAAGATTGAACCAAGGCTTCTTGTGTCTTGTGAACCTGCCCACTGTGTAGTTTGGTTTATTTGCTTGAATCACCTGGGGCTATTTGTTCTACATGCAGGTCATTGGTTTTCTGGGCATACTCCTTTCTGGGCTGTGCTGCATGCTTGATGAATGTCCCTGCCTTTAGAAAGGGAGACAGTCTATGAGGCTATTTTGTACTTCTAGAAACCTTAGAATATTGGGTCAAATCTACCTAGAGCTCCTTCACAGAATTGAGTGGGACCCAATGACTAACTAACATTGGATAAAGCCCACAATTTTCTCCCAAGTATAAGAGAGTGATGTGATCAGCATATATACTTACATGTGAGCCCTCACTTTATAATCAGATGCATCTTATTTTAGCTTCTTGTACTGCATGAAGCTACAATACCATGAAAAGCAGGTTGCTTACCTGTAACTGATGTTCTTCAAGTGGCCATCTGTGCAGTCACACATATGGGTGCTGCATCTGCACAGTGCCTTTGGCCGGAAGATTAAAGCTAAGTTTTTGGCGGGAAAGCTTCGCTCCCCCTCCCACATGGCCTATAAAGAGTGGAGTGTCCACCCTTTTGTTCAGTCTTTGACGACTGAACGTACGCCCCCATGTGGAAAAAATATTCCTACTGTAAATGATATTGGTACCAAGAAAAAATGGAAATGTTCGGTACCGACATAAAAGTCCACTCACCGACACCGAGCGGGGCTGGCGGGTGGGTTGTGTGACTGCACAGATGGCCACTCGAAGAACATCAGTTACAGGTAAGCAACCTGCTTTTCTTCGTCATGGCCTCTGTGCATCACACATATGGGTAGATTAACAAGCTTACCATAATGGAGGAGGGGAGGTGTCCTCAACGAAGAACAGATGAAAGAACGGCTCTGCCGAAGGAGAAATCTTGTTGAGCCCGAACGTCTAAACGATAATGTTTGATGAAAGTGCAAGGGTTTGCCCAAGTAGCAGCTCGACATACATCGTCAATCGGGAGTCCCGATGCGAAGGCAGATGAGGCAGCAACAACCTTAGTTGAATGGCTTTGAGGAGCTGTGGGTAAGTCAATCTTAGCCAGTTGATAAGATAAAGTGATAGTATGGACTATCCACTTAGAAAGTCTCTGCGGAGTGACAGGAGCGCCTTGATCTCTGGTAGCATATTTAACGAAAAGTCTATTTGAGTGCCGAATAGATTCCGTCCTAGATCTGTAGAAGGCTAAGCAGCGCCGAATGTCAAGTGAGTGCAACGATCTTTCTAACGAAGTCAACAGAGACAGAAAGAAGGCAGGTAAAATAATATCTTGTCCCATATGAAAAGGTGTGGACACCTTAGGGAGAAAGGATGGATCGAGCCTCAGGACGACCTTTTCTCTGTGAAAATTTAGGTAAGGGGGGTCCATGCAGAGAGTGCAGAGCTCACTGGCCCTTTGGGCCGAGGTAACCGCCACTAGAAACACTGTCTTCCATGAAACAAGATGTAAATCGACTGTTGCCAATGGTTCGAAAGGAGCTCTTGTAAGCGCTTGCAAAACAACAGAGAGACTCCAGGTAGGCATTACTGGCCTGATTGATGGATTGAGATTATAAAGACCCTTAAGAAACCTCTTAATAGTAGGTTGAGAGAAGATGGGTGATCCGTCCACCATGCCACGATGATAGGCGATTGCCGCCGTATACACTTTAATTGAAGATGGTTTCAGTCCAGAGTGGTGCAGTTCTAAGAGGAACTGAAGAATGTGATATATCAATGATGTAAATGGAGAGAATGAACGAGACTCAGCAAAGGTGGAAAATCATCTCCATTTAGCTGCGTAAGACTTCCATGTAGATGGCTTTAAAGCGGAATCAAGGATGTGTTGAATATCTGGATGAAAGGTTGTCGGATTCGGTGGAACAATCGTCGGATCCGACAGTGCTGGTGGATCGAAAGAGGAAGCAGCGCCAACCCCAGCGGATTCAAAGGCCCTGAACGCAGCGGATTCGAAGGCAGGATTCGAACCACTTGAAGTTGCCGTTGATACAGATGGAGCAAAGTTAGCTAATGGATTCGCCACGCTGTTAGGTTCAATGAAAGTACATCTGGATGGCGAAGCGTGCCATTCTGTTGGGTTATGAGGTACGGAAGCAGTGAAAGATGAAGATATTCCCCGTGAGAGATGTCGAGCAGTGTGGCAAACCAATGTTGGCGTGGCCACCAAGGGGTAATTCGTATCCCCGAGGCCCGATCGTATACTATCTTCGCTATTACTCTCATCACAAGAGGAATCGGCGGGAAGGTGTAAAAGTTCAGGTTGTTCCATGGGATCATGAAGGCGTCCTCTAGGGATCCGTACCCGATTCCCGCTCTCGAACAGAAAGCGTCGCACACCTTGTTCTGTTGGGTGGCGAACAAGTCCACGTCGGGGAACCCCCAGTGATGAAAAAGATTGTCGTGTGTCTGAGGATCTAGCTCCCATTCATGAGAGATGAACATGCGCCTGCTGAGGAGGTCCGCTTCCACATTGTCCGTGCCAGCCAAATGGACTGCCATTAGTGTAATGTCTCTTGAAATGCACCAGTCCCAAATCTGCATAGAAAGTCTGGCCAGAGTCGGGAACTTCGTTCCACCTTGTTTTTTCAGATAAAAGACGGTGGCTATGTTGTCCGACTTAATCTGAACGACCCGATGTTGGAGAACATCCTCGAAAGAACGTAGGGCTTTGAATACCACCAACAGCTCCAGGAAGTTGATATGATTCGTGGATTCCTGATGAGTCCACATGCCCTGGGTATATAGGCCAGAGCATACCGCTCCCCACTCCAGAAGAGAAGTGTCGGTACCTATGGGCACCGGGGCCTGAAAGGAACCCCAACAGTCAGATTGGCCGGGACCGACCACCACAGTAGAGAATGGAGCACCAAGGATGGGATTCGAAGCAACTTCGATGGTGAGTCTCTCTGTGGGTGGAACATCTTGTTGAGAAATAGTTGTAAAGGACGAAGTCGAAGTCTGGCGTGTGGCACCACAGCAACAGAGGAAGCCATATGTCCCAGAAGCCTCTGGATGGACTTCACTGGAACCGTCCTGTCTCATCACATTCGATGGATGTGGCGAGCGAGAGTCTGTTGTCTGTCCTGAGGAAGGAAGGCTTTTTCCAGCGTCGAATCCAAATGGGCTCCGATGAATGTAAGCGTCTGCATCGGAAGGAGAGAAGATTTCTCGGTATTAATGCATAGGCCCAGATCGTCCAATAAGGCACAGATTGTACGGATAGATGTGAGCAGTCCTTCCTTAGACTGGGACACCAGGAGCCAGTCATCAAGGTAAGCGTAAACTTGTATGCCTTGGAGGCGTAGGAAAGCGCAGACAGGGGCCATGCATTTGGTGAACACTCTCGGAGCAGTGGCCAGACCAAAAGGTAGAACCATAAATTTGTATAAATCGGGTGCAACAGCAAAGCGAAGGAAACGCCTAAAACTGGGGTGAATCGAAATATGAAAATAGGCGTCCTTCAAGTCCAGTGAGGCGAACCAATCCTCTTTCCTTAGCAGTGGCAAAATATTTTGAAGGGTGGTCATTCGAAACTTTTTTGTCATGATAAATCGATTCAGAGTACGTAAGTCCAAAATCGGACGTAGACCACCATCCCGCTTCAGGACCGTAAAATATCTGGAGTAGACTCCGTGGAGTCCGTCATGTGGAGTTACTTGACGAATCGCTCCTTTACGAAGTAGTTGTTGTATTTCATCGAGCAATACCAGTGAGCATGATGTAAACCGGATTGGACTTGATGGAGGAACGATGTTGAATTCTATCCGATAGCTGTGCTGTATGATGGATAATACCCACCGGTCAGATGTGATGGACTCCCAGATGGGGAGTCGGTTTCTCAGCCGGTCCCCAGATAAGAGGGGGGTGGGTATGGAAGGAGTCAGAGGAATGGTTCGCCAGTCCCGTCAACGCTGCCTCCTATCTCCGTTATAACAGCGACGGCCCTGTTGATAACGTTGCTGGGGCTGTTGACGGCGGTGTCGCTGTTGTGGCCAGTGCTGGGGCTGTTGCCTAGGCTGATAAGATTGTCTATAGGATGGACGGGTCCATGCCCACTTATGCCTAGGTTGAGTCTGGAGCTCCATCCACTGGGCTGTCATGCGGGACTCGTGGAGTTTTTTCAGCTTGTGGTTGGTCCTGGAGTGGAAAAGCCCGGACCCGTCAAAGGGCATTTCCTCAATTCGCCACTTAGTCTCCTCCAGAAAGTTGGAACTCCTTAACCAGGCATGTCTGCGGAGAGAGACAGCACCGATCAAGGCTCTTGAGTCAGTGTCCACATGATGCCTGGCTGTGGACAACTGCTGGACGGCGACCTGCATCGCCTCCTTTATCAGAACCTTCGCCAGATCACCCTGGTGGTCTGGGAGGGTCGAGACGACATTGTGGAGGCGTTGAATGATGAAGTATTGGTACCTCGCCAACGTCGCCTCGTAACTGGAAATATGCAGCGTAGACTCTCCTGGCCAGGGAGTCGATCTTACATCCCTCTTTGTCCCTTGGTGCGGTGTGGCCTCTTGCCTCTCTACCCTGGGAGGACTCCACCACGACCGAGTTTGGCTTGGGGTGGCGGAGGAGGAAAGGAATGTCCTCCTCCCAAACCCGGTACATGGATTCGTACCTCCGAGACGTGGGTTGAGGGTGAGAAGGCAAGTCCCAGGGTTGCATCATCGCCGGTCGTAAGGTGGCAATCAACAGCAGGACGATTGAGGTGGACTGCTCCCTGCGGACAACGTCATAAAACTTGTCCATAGAAGGTCCCTGAAGCTGGACGGCGTCGATGTCAAGGGACTGGACAAGCCAGGACATCAGCTCCGCGAAGGAGACGTGGGACTCGTCAGGTGACGCAGGGCCCTGGGAGGTCACAGCAACGTCAGGAGAGGTTGGATTGACCTGCTAGTTGTCAGTCTGCACCATAAAACAGAGGGGCCGAAGACGAGGACTCCACCGGAGAGACGGACCGGCTGCTTTCATCCCGAGGAAGTATCGGGGATGCGCGCCTCGGACCCGAGGACAGTGGACGGTCACGGGAAGATGGTGAAGACCGACACCTACGTACGGGATAGTACCCGACAGAGTGTGGTTCACCCCAGGACGGATAGTAGGAGCAGTGCCATCCCTCGGATCGTTGTTCCATCAAGTGACTCCTTCGGCTCCTAGGTGGGGACATCTCCACATCCGCCTCCATTGTGGCTGTGGGCATAGGTGTGGGCAACCTAGCCCTGGGGGGCGTCTTGAATTTTCCCATCAGAAATTGACTCCCGCTGAAGAGTTGGAAGCGGCTCAGCAGGAAGGTCAGCCACACGTCAAGGGGACCCTTGAGGGGTGACCCTCATAGCCGCCTGGAACACCGGATCGGGTGGAGTCAGTACAGTGACTGCAGCTGGTACCAAGGGGGCCGTCGAACCTGAATCACGGTGTCGAGGGCGCTCCATGTCCTTCGACTTCTGCGTCGGTTTCGGAGGCTTCTCCTTCCTGGCTTTCTTTGCTGATTTATCGGAGTCAGCATGCTTACGCTTCTCACACCTTTTCTTCGGAGAAGCAGGTGGAGCCCCCATGGTAGACGCGCCTTCCTCCAAAGGGCATGAGGGCGGAGCCACCATAGCAGAGCCAGGCCTCGGAGCAACTACGAGTGGGTCAGACTGCATGAGAGCCTGATCCCACAGGAGCCTCCACAGGCGGTTCTCACGGTTTTTCCTGGCCTGCTTAGAAAAGGCCAGGTAGTGAGAACATTTGTCAGTCCTATGCCCCTCCCACAAGCAGAGGAGGCATAGGTCATGCGGGTCGGTCGGAGACATCTTCGACCCGCATTACGCACATTTGCGGAAAGCCGCTTGCTGTGCCATCATAAGAAAAAAAGAAATAGAAGACAGCGCAGAGGGTAAGAATATATTTTTTGGTTTGTTTTTTTTTTAATAGAAGATCGAAAGAGAAGGTAGAATGATAGAGAACTATAAAACTCAGAAGAACTATAAGAACTAACAAGGGTATAACAACTGGGAGAATAATCGAGAACAAGAACAAGCTAGACGAGCAATGGTCAGAACGATAGCGAAAGTGGCACGAGGCACAGCGAACGGTGGTTGCAAAGGCTGAACAAAATGGCAGACACTCTGCTCTTTATAGGCCATGGGGGAGGGGGAGTGGAGCTTTCCTGCCAAAAACCGTTAGCTTGTAATCTTCCGGCCAAAGGCACTGCGCAGGCGCAGCACCCATATGTGTGATGCACAGAGGCCACGACGAAGAACCTTAGGGTTATTTAAGCAAATCTTACCAGGGAAGCAGGGAGGAGCAGGACCTACATCTAAGCAATTATGGAAAGGATGGGGATGCAAGTTCAGATCTTGAGAGACTTACAGCAGCAAAGTCCTACCAAATTCAACGGAGTGGACTTCCAATTAAGCAGTTGAAAAAAAAAATCTGTCCTAAGCCCTTGTGACATGGCGTATTGAAAGAGATAAATGAAAAAAGAGGGAAGATTGTTACTGCTCAACTGATGAATTTAGGTGGCAACCAGGTGGAGATGGAGGGGGCAGGGAACCTTCAAGAGGACAGGTCTATTGCCCTGGACTCCCCATTGACAAGGATCTCCCTCTTGTCCATTCTGGTGCCAACCTGATCTTCTATGAACACTAAATAAGTTACTAAACCAAAAAAGTTAGCTCTATTGTCAGGTAAAAGAAGGATGCTTTCTTCTTGGAGTACTTATACTTTTTTTCTCACAAGTGGCTCAAAGAAGATAAGACCTCCGCTTCTCATTGTGACTTGTTCTGTTCCCCACTGTCCTATGGAGCTGAGAGCACACAGAAGCTTCTGTCATCATGATCAAGCGAATGTTACTAGCCCATTGCTAGTGTGACAAAAAATGTTCAGAGTGATATCCTTTGACATCTGGAACATTGGAAAAAACTCCTCCCAAGGCATTTCTCTAACTGTACATCCCAATCAAGTAGGACTGACCCATGCCTGGATAGTCCTCACCACTGAAGAGCAATTATCTGTAACATACAGGGAGATGGTTGCCTCCCATCTTGCAGATTATCATACAGCATTACTGGCACACCCCTGTTTTCACAAGCTTTGAGATTTCCATTCTGAGCACTGCCAAGCAAGCATAATTCAAAGTTCACATTTGCTGAGGACATCATCAGTTGCTCCTTTTCCTGATTAAATGCAATGGGAAAGGTGAAAATAAAGTCCCTTGGTGCTGTCTGCTTGTGAGACTGGGCAGAACAACACCGTGTTAACATTTATAGAAATATTAAATAAGCAATAAAGCCAATAATTTTAGAAAAGTCAGCCTAAATAATTTTTAGCTTGATTACACTGGTAAGTACCTCAGTTTCCTTCTGTCTCTGCTGATGAAATGACATCTTTTCTTCATCTGCCTTTTGTTCCCACTGCAGTTTTTCCAGCTGCTGAGTTAATATGGCTACTTTTTTCCTAACTAGTTTTTTCAGCTCCTTATATGTAGCAATCTGGACACAAATATACAAATATAGGGATACATGCTTTTATCCTTTCTCACATTTAATGTGAACTGTTTTGGACTGGGACTGGATTAGTGAAGTGATATTGGTTCAGTAGTGGAGCAACTACTGGCATAGGAAGCTTTGCCACTATATAGTTCCCTAGTGCATGCCACAAAGAATAAAAAAGGTGGAAGCATATGAACCCATGCATTATATCTGCTTGTCCACATAATAACAAGACATTATGTCTGAATGAAATATTTGGCTGAGAGACAGAATAGAATTCTTTTCATTTTTATTTCCATCTATTAAAAATCCCTCCAGAGTTTTTTAGATGAAGATGAGTATTTGGAGCCTTCCCAAAACTGGGTCTGAAATGAGATTAGCATGGAGACAATATTGGTTGCTTTGGTGGATGACCAGAAACTAGACAGAAAGAGCATGTTCTTTTTAGACTTGCTGGACCTTTCAGTACCATTTAATATCATCAACCATGGTATCCCTTTGAGAAATGTCCTGACATTGTCTAACTGTTCCCTGCAGGTGGTGCTGGAGGATTGCTCAGCCACACAGACCCTAGCCTATGGCTCTCCTATTTTATCCCCCCTTTTAACATCTACATGAGGCCACCAAAAGAAGACACTCAGGGTCTTGGAGTAGAATTTCATCAATATGCTGCTGATACCCAGAATGCAGTAATGGATTAAAAGGATGCTAACAAGATGAAGCATAATTCAGAAAACCCAGAAGTGCTGTTGGTCAGTGGACAAGCTAATTCTGGTTTTGAAATCCAGTCTGCTCTGAACAGGCTTACATTCCTTCTGAAGAAGCTGGGTTGCAGTTAGGGAAAGTTCCTGAGGAGTCAATATTCAACACACTAAAGTGAGGATATAGTGAAGTATACAAATAAACCTTTAATACACTGAAGGTTATTACACTGAAGTTTGTAGTTTTTTTAATATGCCCTGAGAAGCACTTCCAATGCAAATAGAAAGTTCAGCATACTCTGTATTAAGTATGCCTGCAGTTAGCTCAAGTTAAAAGCTGTTCTGTGTATTACATATATTTTAAGCTCATGTTGAAACTTACCTGATTTTCTTCCAGGAAAACATCACTCTCTCGATGCAGCATCTCAGCTTCAACTTTTTTTTCAAATGCTCTCCAAGCTCTATTAATATCAGCCAGTTCTGCTTCCAATTCTTTTTTGTTTTCTTCTTGCTTAGCCTGTTCTTTCATATGATTTCTCAAGACTTTCATAACTGTATCTACCTTTTTTGTTTGGTGAAAGGTTTTCTCTTTTGCTTTAATATACTGAACTCTCTTTTGATTCAGCACAACTTCCATTGATCTAAAAGAGCATATATTTGCCATCTTCTAGTCAAGTTTTTTGAGGAAATTGAAGAATGAATTTTGAACAGTTCTACTATATCACCACACTTTCCCTCAAACATGAAATACTCCTAGTAACAACTCCAAAATACTAGAAGCTACTTAAGTTGAACTAAGTTAGCAACCATGGCAATGAACCACCTTAAAACTTAGCAGATTCTGATCTACTACAGCAAACAAGAAGAATCCTTCAGAAGGCATCTATATCTCCAATTTTCCCACTTCTGCTGCTTGGTAAAACTGACTTTACAGAGGGTAACTGAAGGGCAACTAAGTTGGTTGTTTGCTAGAGCTACTTAGTGTATATTTTCTGGGTGAGGCTTACTCCTCAACTCAACTACTAGGAAAAGGGTAGTCAACTTTGGGGGTGTCTGTGTGCACATGTGGCAATTTCTCAAATCCACACTAGCACAGCTGCTGCTGCAGGAGGCACAGCTAGTCACACAGGACAAGTAATGTGCTCAAAAAGACTCTGTACAAGGCAGAGATGAGATCTAACACTTAGAAGAGCTTAATTGGATACATAGTCTTTAGCTCCCACAGAAACTTATTTCACAAAAAGAAAACTCCTTTTCTCTCCCGCTCCTCTGTAAGCCAACTCATTCCCCCATCACCTTTTCTCCTGCACTCTGCATCATCACTTACAGACTATCCCTCCTGTCTTCTTTTCCTAAAAATATCTTTGAGCCTCATCATGCAGCCTAGAGGCATTCACGAGAAATGAAGATTTGCTTTGCTTTTAACTTGATTTCAACTACTAAAATGGTGTTACCTGTTTTAGAGAGTGGGAGGGGTAGACACCATGGAGGGAACCAAGAAATGCGTCCAGGATTATCATGTTGTCCACATACAACAAACTGAACTAGGGGGTAAATCCCACTTGAACACATTGAAGTTCATGTCTTCAGTAAATGTGGATATAAAGATGTTATTCTAATACTGCATAAAGCAATCTCCTCTTAGATGCTGCCTTTCATTTTTTAAATACTTCATAAAGGAAACAAAACCTCTCATTCCAACACTCACCAAGCATAGCACATACAAGTTGCCTGTCAGAAGTGAGGAATACAACACTAAGTGAAATCTACGCACTTACTTCATTTCTTTTTCAATATGCTGATGGTTTCTATTTAATATTCCAATAATCTTTTTCTTAGCTTTCACTGCATCTTCAGCATGAGAAAGTGCAATTTGCTTAGCTTCAATATCCATGGTTTTTGCAGACAATTTTTTGTTGAGTATGTTAATTTTTTGTTCATTATGATGTAACTGGAAAAGATGAAGCTGCCTCCTATACTCATGCAACTCTTCCAACAGCCTCTGGTAATGTTCTGCCTAAAAACAGCTACATTATTAGTCATTAACTAACATGCAACATCAAAAGTTACTGACAGCTAAGAGATGCAATACTTCAGTCAAAGGTTGCTGCATTTAATTTGGTTGCAAAAGTTGGAATTCATACGATACAGCCATGATCACAGTAGCTCTTTATAAATATGTACCTTTATATTTAAATATTTAAATTAACAATGACCAATCTTAGCAGCTGCTCAATATACAGCAAGTGCCCCTGCTTACTAGTAGCCCCAGTTGTGCTCACAGGGGTATGAGCAATAATATTTTTTCTGGCAATGCAGCAGAGCAGTTGTATGAGCAAATAAACTGGCTTGTCATTTGGCCAAAATGTATACCAAATTCCTCCCCTGCAGTTGAATGAGCTGATTTCTTGAACATGTGGTTTCAGCTGAGGATTAGGGAGGGAACCCCTTTCTTCTGGTCCATGACTGGTCTATAAGATAGGCTCTAGGAAACAAGTTCACCTGCTTTTGCAACTGAATTGTGCAGATTTTGCCACCCCACAGCAATGTTTCTTGTTGATTAAGCTATGCTGCCTTATATTTCAGTCACAATTATTTACAGGATTTGGGCAGACTCTATTTCAAGAATACGCAGAGCTGGACTTATGTGGGAAAGGTCCCAAGGAATCTCGGGGCATTGCCTACCCAACTCAGCTCAGCGACTGCCACTTACACAGGTTCAGAGTGCTGAGGTATGATTTCTGTCTGTTCCAGGGGGCCCCAGAAGTTGCTTGTTACACCTTAATAGTTCCCACCATGTGAGCTGGGGTTTGTACCCATCAACATTTGGACTGTTAGGAAATTTGGATCCTTGTCCTATTATCTTGCTCAATTTTGTATAAGCTGTAACAAATAAAGTTCTTGCCAGTTCGAACAATTTTCTCTTACCGTGTTGTTTTTGCATTCCTTCCATGCTGTATTCTGCTGCAGGCACTACCACATCTATTACTTGTTCAGAATTATGAACACAAGAATAAATTGATTTTGTTCTCGACTGTAGCACCTCAGCTGAAATAATTTCTATAGGACAAGCAAATTTTGCTTGATCCAGTATTTATACTTCATATGCACTTGTACATTCCTATCAGGTTCTTCTAGAGAAATTCAGCAATTGCTAGAGATGTGTGATTTGAATTTGCATCCTCTTATATCTTCATTAAGCTCCACCCCATTTAAAAACTACTTGAAGAACTGCTCATTTACGGATACCAATACAATTTGCATTTGTATTTCCCACTTCACTGCTTGCCTTGCAGAATACTGAGGCTCAGTTCAATGTGCAAAGTAAGAAATTTTAAAAAACAGCCACAAGTTTCAGTTTTTGAATCAGGGGAAACAGAGAGCATCAATTTGCAACTCAGTTTTTAGGATTTACATACAAAGTAAATTAAGATTAAGCAAGTAGATTTCCTCTCCTTTCATTATCATTGGGCCCCTGAGTCACAGAATTTACACATATTTACAAATCTGCAGAACAGCACTGACCTCCATTAAATAACTGCTTAAATTAAAATGTTCTATTAGAATCCAAACATGTAAGAATTCTAGAACATGACTCTTTAAAGGTGTTTAGAATTTAACCTGGACTGCTAACATCCAGAAAATGCTACAACATTTTTTCTGTTGGCATTGTTAAGAAAACATTCTGGCCAGGGGCATATACTATCAGGCAACCATTTCTATTTAACAGAGCAGGCATAGTAAAAATAAGGCAGGACAATCAGCTATACAGTAGATTGTGTACCTTGGCAAGATATTTTAGGTTATGCCTATGAATACTATCTCTGTGTTAGGAAATTGAAAAAACCTGCTCTAAATCTTGACTTTCCACTATAAACAAATCAGATTACATATCATAGCTTAAAAACCCTAAAACATTCTTGCTAAAAAGCACACAAAAGCTTGTAAAATATTATGTGGTGTTTCCCAAATTACCTCCTCCTTCTCCAACTTGGCATTTTTGCGCTCAGCTGCAACATTTTTCTTCTTGTTGTAACTGAACTGTGCATTTTCCTCTGCTTTGTGCATATCCTTTTTCTTTTCTGTATATTCAACAGCAAGTGCTCCTGAATTACTAATATGTTCAAAAAGCTGAGTTCTTTCTTTTGGTTTTTTCATTGCAATTGCTTCAACTTCACCCTAAAAAATAATAAATGTACAAAATCAAATGACTAACATTTAAAGCCAAACTTGTCACAAGAAACAAAATGGCCAAAACCCCAAAATGGTCTGAACCCCTCAGTTCAGACATCATACCAAACTGCGGTTAAGGAGGTTTAAGTAAGGTTGATGTGATATCTAAATTGGTAAACCAGAGTTTATGATAACCTAGCAAAACAGCAAACATGGTACGAACTGAGTTGGCAAACCTTAGTTTGGTAAGATGTCTCAATTGAGACACTATGGTTATAGATGTTGATCCATCTCCAAAAGAAAAGTCACAGTTCCTTTTCTTATTATGCCTACCATGGAGTTCGTCTTTTACATAGCGGCTATGCACTGGGCTGACATTTTCATCAAGCTGCCCACCACAACCTCAAGATCCCTTGTATGTGAGGTACTCACTGCTACCTCAGATCATATCAGCTTATATCTGGAGCTGATTTTTTGCCCCAACTTGTATTACTTTATACTTGCTTATGTTGAAATGTATTTGCCATTTTGATGCCCATCCTCCAAGCTTCAAGAGATCATCACCGTCCCTTTTGGTTTTATCCACCCTCAATAGTTCAGCATCGTTAGCACAATTCACTGCTCATTCCTTATTTATTTATTTATGCACATATTTATATGCTGCCTATAACTGCCAAAAGGCCTTCCTAGGTGGCTTAGAACCACATATCAAAGCAACACATTGTTGTCATCTATCAACTGGTTGAAAAGTATTGGGCCCAATTCCCCTGTAAGACTCCACTGTTGACGCCTGCATTGGGAGAGCTTACTGTTTATTTCCACTCTCTACTTTCTGTTCTTTAACCAATTACTGATCTATTAAAAGACCTTTCCTCTTATACCATGACTGCTAAGTTTGCTCAGAAGTCTTTGGTGAGAGATTTTGTCAAAAGCCTTTTGGCAGTTCAAATAAACAATATTTACCAGATAATTCTGATGTCCACAATTTGAACATTCAAAGAACTCTAATAGGTTGGTGAGACAGGACTGGTCTGGAAGCCAACAGCATATTCCTATAACTAAATTACCTTTGGAACCAGATCTTGTCATTTATACTGCTTTGGCTGAGAATGTTATACTATAATGCCTGCTAAACTCTATGCCCTCTTTCATGTACAAAACAAAATTTCCTCCAGTATGTCCTTCCTATAGTTTCTATCCAGAGATGACCATATCCCACTTGTTCACTCCATTCCACCAAGTTTCCATAAATCCTACTATACCTAACTTCTCCTTGCTCTAAGTATGTGGCTCAGTGAGAGAGAATAAATGCTCACCTTCCAAGAAATAGGCCCCTTCTATGGGATCATTTCCCTCTTCCTCAGAATGACCCCCACTTCCTAGAGACTCCCATTTTCCATGACAGCAAAGCAGCTGTCACCCAGATACTGGGACCCTGCTATTTGGTTCTTGGTCTTGCCAGGCTCAAAGCTACACAACAAACCTACAGTATAAAATTAATTGAGAAACAACCACATTTTCTACACAACTGAAATAGTCCTATGTCAATACTAAATGTGGAGAAGTAGTTAAAATGGAATGCTTGTGAAGTTAGAGAAAGCTATAAGTCCCTAGTTTGTCCCCACCCACAACTATACTTCACAGATCAAAGTTGAAGTGTTTTTTTCCAATCCAAATGAAATGTTTCCTTGTGGGCACCCCTGAATTAAACAAGCACCAAGAAGCGCCCCTCAGAAGAGCAATTAAGTCTTGAAAAAAAGATCTCTACTGGCACAGATGAGAGGCCTTTTTCCAACCCTATTTACTGCATGGGGGCAGGAGGGCAATCATTTTAGTGGCAATCACATCAAGTGGAGGACTGAAGCTGCAGGTGGTTGGAGAGACCCACAGGGCTGCTAGTTCTCTATCTCTACCATAGAGAATGTATGGATAGCCTAATTCTAGGTATATTTACTTGGAAGTAAGCTTTTCTGTGTTAAATAGGACATACTTCAACAATGCATAGGACTGCAGCCAAAATCAAGCAGCTCCAGCCCCCACAATCAGAAAAAGAGGTAGCAGGAAACTCAAACACTCCAGCAGGCTACTACCTGTGCACATACAGTGGATAAATCTAGTTGCAGTCCATACTTCCTCATTACATTACTCCATTTCTGCACAGGTTTGGCACTGCATAGCAACTGCAGCTCCTTTCTACTCTGGCTATTGTTAAAGAATGGGAGAGATGGGGAACACCAATGCAGAGTTGTAATAGATGACGTTGGACAAAAGGGAAAGGCTGCCACCACTTCTGTGCTCTCTATGCTGAAGAACCAGCAGTGCCAGCAGAAGTAAGCCAATACAATATTGGTGCACATGCTTCTGGTGAGTACTGTATATTTTATTGGGGTTGTTATCTGCCTTGGACCCCTTCAAGATGAAAGGTGGGATACAACTATAATAGATCATTAGCCAATGTTCATATGAATGCAGTCAACAAAAGCGTGTAGCCCACCAGAGATGGCAGCAATGGTTGCATCAACTGATGGGGAGGGTGGGGGCAGTGTCTCCAGCTGGTAGTGGACCTCTGCCAGTGTGTATACCTATCATACTGAGCAAAAATGTTGGGTCTGCAACACACAACCCTATCACAATCCTATTTCAAAATGGAACGTGTGTGTGTGTGTGTGTGTGTGTGTGTACAGACAGCTTCACCTGTGGGGCAACACAGAAAATTGTATATGTATATATAGACAATGCTAAACAAAAGAAACTGTTTAATTAAAATGAACCACACATGATCCAGCCCTCCTAGAAGGTGGCAGGATACAAAGCCATGCTTCGCCAAAGCTTTACTGGGGATAGTCATATTTCAGATATTACACTGGAATAAGCTAAGGAGGTATACATAAACCAACACATAATACCCATCTAAATTCATTCTTCAGTGTGATCGCTATATGGTCTGCCACACAGACATCCATCAGACACAACATAGTAATATAGCCAATATAAATAAGAAATGCAGAAACCTTGGTTCTGTAAAATGAACAGTTACCTGAAAAACCATGCAATTTCTTGCTCTAGCAATGATGCCAATGTCTTCAAGTTCTTTTATATATACAGATCGGCTGACAACAATGTCATTGACAAGAAACTCAGATCCACCACCTAATTTTTGAAGAAATCACACAGTTAGTATTTTAACTGTATTTATTTAAATACAGTTATATTTTAACTAACTCATGCATTTTAAGTAAAAGAGTAATGTTCTGGCCATGCACACAATTCTGCATTTGGGATATTAAGATTATATGCATTTTCACTGTGAAACATTCACTAGACAGAATATTTGCAGTTATCTCTGCCTAATAACTATATTTTTGTAGGTCTACAGGTTTCTGCAAGCCTCATTCTTACTACATCCTGATGTGGTCTACATGCTTCCTAGCCACTTTAGTATATCAAGTATAAACATCAATACAAAGTATTATATTATCTAAAATAGAACTTCATGCCACTAGAACACAAAAAGTGTTATTCACACAGGATGAATACTGCAGAGATTGGCCTGTGGGTTTCTGTACATGAAAGCTTTTAACTGGCTGCTTTACTGAGGCTTCTGTTTTTATCGCAGTTGGAAAAATACATTCTTCACACAGATCAGATTGTTTTCCTGGGGTATTTTTCTGCTTTTCTATATATTTTGTTAACCAATCACAAGATGGCACTGCAATATAGGAAACTTGTGACAATACACAAGGTTTTTATTTCAGTTTGTCACAATTTAAAATTTAATACCAGACTTTCCTCACTGGTAAGGAAAGTGGTGGTGGTGGGGACCACAAAAAGGCTGGAAAGTACAGGAGAGGGTCTGAAGGATTATGTTATCAAAAACTTGCAAACTTTTGTGACAAATCATGAGTGCACAATGAATGCCTCGTGTAGAAAAGCCCTCCCAAACAGTTAAAACAGCCACAAATGAAAATAACTGTTTTGGTTTAAATCTTCCATAGCTGTTACCATGGAGATAATAAATCTATCAAGTAAATGAAAATGTAACAATAGGAAATAGAGTTACATTGGTCAATGAACTCTATCAGAACTCAAATCAGGATCAGAATTCAAAACATTTAATGAAAGATATACTTTCTGCTTTCAAATATTGCTGGGTTTGGGGTGCTCCAAGGATTGATGGGGGTGTGTAGTTATATAGTCTCAACAGCATGACTAGATATATTTTTAGGAATAAACAATATAAGAACATTCTAGTTCTAAACCTGTTTTCTCAAAATGTCTTGCTAATAGTCATGTCAAGTTTTATTATATTTAGACATAGGTTGTTACAAAATCTACAAAACAAAATAGTGAAAAACTACAAAAAATTAAAAACAGATGTTAAAATTGAACAAAATAATTATAAAAGTAAAATAAAAATTAGTTTAATCACTATCAACTAGCTACCCCCTTCGATGCCACCTCTGATATGATCCTCATAGCTGCCAAAGCGAACAGAGACAGTCTTTAGGATATGTAAGCATCATTATCTGAGAACATAAAAACAATCTTAGATTCTGCGCAGCAATAGCAGATAAAATTCCAGCTTAAAATTTATATCTTGGAGCTCTATACAGTGCGTAGTAATGCAGAAGATTGTCTACTACAGGAGAACCACAAATACATACACAGTGTTCTATTGGAGCAAGAGAATAGTGAGCCACAAAAAGGACTGATTGTATGGATTGAAAATGCAAAGCGATAAAGGACCCTCTGAGCTTTTAATTGGGGATATCGTCTAAATAGCTAGATCTAGAGTGCTCAAATGTGATTAATTTGTACCAAGGACCTGCTTTACGCTTAGATTTTAAAATTAAAGATCAATCTAGCAATGCATCTGTATTGCAGATCCATTCCTTAAGCTGAGCATTATCAGCTGAGAGACTAAATCAAGCCTTTACTAACAAACAACAGCCCTGATACTGTATGCCCAGAATGGTTGGTTTGATCACAAATGCAAAGTGTTAAAAAGAGAACTTCTTTTCACCATGAGACAGGCCAGGCATAGCTGGGATGGGAAGCAGATTCTCTCAGAACTAAGGTCATTTGACCAAATGGTCCATGTCCTAGTGTGCATATGCCCAAAATACACAACAGGAAGGTTTTCCTTTAAAGGATTTATTCTCAAGAATAATTGGCTACCAACAAATCATTCCAGATGGTGCACCTGAGCAGTTCTCAGTTGGCCCTTTTGTACACAGATCATTAAAAGGTTACACATAACACAGCTAACACTTTTCAATAGGCTACAGAAGTAAAAGGTTACAATCTTTCCCAATTGCATACCAAAGAAATGCTCTGAAGAAGTGGGGGGGGGAGGATGGGGTGCTATTACATAGAAGAGGAAGAGGATGGGGTGAGCGAGCAAGCCGCCGCCTCGTCGCGCACGCCTGCTGCTGCCTTGCCACGTGTGCGCCCGCCACTGTCTCACTGACCCGCACCCACAGGCACCCCTGTCTCACCAGCTCACGCCTGCTGCTGCCACCGCCTTTCAACTGGTCCCCTGTTGAAAAAGTTTGAGGACCCCTGATTTAACCAGTTAAAGTTCTACCTATTGATTTGTGCATCAGGTCTAAGTATAAAACAAAAGTAGTTAGAACATGCTAAATTTCTTTGGCGTTAGATGGAGCTGTCCTTAAACAGAATGATTGTCATATTTGGGAATTAGTGTCTACTAAAAGAAGTAGTCCTTTCAAGCCATTTACTAAGCCATGTCTTGTTCACATATTTTAGTAAAGTGCTTGAGAATCATTGCCCTCTGTCAGATGGGACAAGTAAATGTCAAAAAGATGTCTGCAACCAGACTTTAGGGACTTACTGAAATGGGCATCAGTCTCTGAATCTGAAATCAGAGGACTAAGTGTTAACTCATAAGGATTTTTATAAACAAGTCCATAAAAGCAGTTATTTCTTAAAAGGTGCTTTAAAACCAGTCATGGGAAGATGAATATGATGAACTATTCACTGGAACTGTTTCAGTACAAGGATTAGGGATGGTAATGTCAGGGGAAAAGGAACAGATTTTGGCAGTACAAAATTGCTACTCTGTCCCACTGTGAAGACTGGGATGTAGGCGGCTGATGGGGGCAGGCAGAATACTGGGACCAGAGCATTCTGGTGCAAGGTTGGGCTCCGTAGCTTAGTAGGGCTGGAGGCTTGCATCGTGGTCAACATTCCAAGGTCAGAGCCGAGGAGGCAGGCAGTCTGATATAGTTACGAGACAGAGAGCACAGTCCAGAAACATTCTGGTGGTCAAAAGTCAGGGAAGCAGCCACATAGAGGTGGTCAAGGTGGAGGAGGGAGGACACAGGGACAGACAAGAGCAGGCTAGAGAACAGCAGGGACAAATAGGAACAAGGCAGGGACTATCCAGAGCAAGGCAGGGACAACTGGAGCAGGCAGGGCCACACAGGAGCAGGACAGGAGCAGACTGAAGCATGCAAGAACGCCTCTTAGTATGGGAGAGCTCACATCTCTACTTGATTGTTGGTTCCATTGTTGTGCTCTAACAGAATTTTTTCTCTTATTTAGCAGGAATCTTGCTTCCTGTAACTTGAACCCGTTATTCCATGTCCTGCACTCTGGGATGATTGAGAAGAGATCCTGTCCTTCCTCTTTGTGACAGCCTTTCAAGTACTTGTAGAGTGCCATCATACCCCCTCTCAAGCCTCTCTTCTTGAGGCTAAACATGCCCAGTTCTTTCAAAATTCTCCTCATGGGGCTTTGTTTCCAGTCCCTGGATCATCCTTGTCACCCTCACTCTGAACCCCTCCCAGCTTGTCTGCATCTGTCTTAAACTGTGGTGCCCAGAACAGGATACAATACACCAGATGAAGCCTAATTAGTGCTGATTAAAAGGGAAAGTACTTCATGGGATTTGGAAGTGATGCTTCCATGCAACCTAAAATAGCATTTGTCCTTTTTGTAGCTACTTCACATTGTCAACTCATAGTCAGCTTGTAATCTACAACAATTTCAAGATTCTTCTCACTTGCAGTATTGTAGAGCCAAGTGTTCTCCATTTATGTAATGATGCATTTGATTTCTTTTTTCTAGGTGCAGAACTTGGCATTTGTCCCTATTCAATTCCATTCTGTTGTTTTCAGCCCAGTGCTCCAACCTATCAAGATCACCTTGAATCTTACTTCTGTTTTCCTGGGTATTAGCTATCACACCCAGTTTTGTGTCATCTGCAAATCTGTTAAGTGTTCCCTTCATTCTTCCCTCATCTAAGTCATTAATGAAAATTTGAAGAATGCTGAACCCAGGGTACAACCCTGCTGCATCCCACTTGCCCCTTCTCTCCAGTATGAAAAGTTGCCATTGTTAAGCACTGATTCTGCAGTCAACTGTGGATGCACCCAATCACTGTTCTATTCAGCCCACTTTTAGCTCATTTGCTAATCAGGATATCTTGGAGCACTCTGTCAAAGGCTTAAAGTCAAGATAGATTATGTCACAGCATTCCCACAATCCATTAGGAAGATTAACCAGTCAAAGTGAAATCAGATTAGTCTGGCAGGATTAGTTCCATGTTGGCTTCTAGTAATTATTGTTTTCAAGGTGTTTTCAGACTGACTGCTTTATCATCTGCCCCAGAATTTTCTCAGGGATTGATGTCACACTGAATGGTCTGTACTCCTCAGGTTTTTATTTTCTTCCTTTCTGGAAGATAGGGACAGCATTAGACCTCCAGTCATCTGTCACTTCCCCTGTCTTTCATGAATTCACAAAGATGATAGATAGTGGTTCTGAGAGTTCTTCCACTAGCTCTTTTACGACTCTAGGAAGAAGTTCATCAGGTGCTGGAGATTTGAACTCATTCAGCCATAGCCATGTGAAAGAATACGTTCATTCCAAGGTGGAATAAAACTAATAAACAGTGACAGACACATTGAACATGCTCCAACATAAAAGATTATCTCTATTCAAGTACTTATATTTTTCCATATAAACCAGCTGACTCACCTCGAATAATTCTTGAAAACATTTTTTCTTCTCCATTTTCTTCACTGTACACCATTCTTACACTTCCACTTGACGAAACTGGCTTTCCAACATGTGCTCCATGTATCAGTTCTTGAATGTGTTTCACTCTTAAATTAGATGCCTTTTCACCCATTACAAAACTAAGGGCGTCCATTATGTTTGATTTCCCTTCAATTATATAAAATGCTAAAATCGCACCTTTCAAATAGGAATTATATAATTACAAATATCTATATTTTAATTTCTTATCTTACCTAAGAACCTCTTAATTAAGTAACGTCCCCTTCCTACAGGGATGCCCAAATGTTTTGGTCCCATACAGATCATATGCATGCACAGTCATACAATTTTACTGAGCAAGGCTTTGATGAAATTTAATTGAGTAAACGTGCATAAAATTAAGTTTAAAAAGTTCTGCACTGTACTTTTATGAGAACAGTCCTTAGCACTTTATGCAACTGGTACTACAAAATCAGAAAAACCTAAGTTTTTTATATTAATATTCAACCAAATATCTCCCCTCCAATAAATCTTGACATTAGATAAATACCATATATTTCCACATAGAAAATTTTGAAAGCATTACCATATGCTTAAAAGGCTTACAACCACAAAAGGCATATTGCCAAATCCTAAACATCCCAGAAAACTCCTCAGACTTAATTCAGCTTAGTTAATGAGGATCTATGTATGCAGATTAATCAATTCAGGTAATGGATCAACATTCCACCCAATTGATCTTAAAAATATTTATTTGTGGGCCACTTTTCAGCATTCTGGTAACACATAACAGAAAAATAAAACAAATTCAATAAACAAAACCAGAAAAATTGACTATATCGGATTAATTAACTGATATGTTTTGTTTGAGGTTATCAAATAATGAATACAGGGAGGAGGAAAATGTTAGCCACAGCCTGAAGACTACATAGGACAAAAGCAAGGTATAGATGAAATGTTCCCACATATTACCTGAACCATTAGGGCCAATGACACAAGTGAATTTCTTGAAAGGTCCAATGTATTGGCGTCCCCTCCATGATTTGAAATTTTCCATCATCAAAAGCTTTAAGTATCCCATCTGTGGATGAGCACGGAAAGATATAGGGTTTGGGGAAGAGAATAGTGCCATAATGAATTCAAGGGTGGAGAAAGAAGAGAGATGCTTTTAGAATATAAAATGTAATTGGATCTCCCTCTAATTCTTGAACAATAGCTAATAATTGTAGTACCAATTAATAATGAAAAGTTATAATATTCCACATGAGTATTTATCTCATTTAGACATTAGTATCTGTCCAGTAATGAAGACATTAATATCTGGGCCATCAAGTTTACTGTATTCCACAGTAGAAACCAAAATAATCATGCAAGAGCCCTTCTGGCTCAGATTATACTCTCCATAGCCCAGTACTTTTCCAATACTGCCAGCCAGTCTTCCAGGATACTCGAAAGCACAATACAAAGGGAATTGCTCTCTCCATGTTTCACCGTACCAACAGGACTTAGAAGTATATAGTCTATGAACATGGAGACAGTATTACAATAGACATATTCACAAATTGTTCTCTAATCCCTTTTTAAAGCCATTTGAAGTGTATTGATTTACGAGACTTTTTTTTTTAAAATCCCATATTAAGAGCTGAAGTGGATAAAATAGGTGCCAAATAGCTTCCCTTCAGTTGGATTTTTGGGAACCCGCTTTGAGAGAAAAAGCCTAGAATTGCATTAAATATACGTCTTCTACGCTAGTATGGCATTTCAGCAGATACCACTAAATTATAGAAGAACCAGGTATCAAATAAACCATGGGACAAGTCATTTACATTTTAAACTGTAACGAGGGAAACAGAATAGTTTTCCTTCTCAGACGATCCGTCAACTAAAAAAACAGTACCAACAGCTTTTGCTGAGCTGACAGAACTCAGCAAAAACCTGCCCAAGCGTCAAACCGCGCGCTTTCGACCCGGCCCGAGTATAATAGAGGGGAATCAAAATCTCGCGAGAGTTCATTGTGGAACGGATGGTAGAACAGCAAGCGCGCCGCGAAATTATGGCGCGATTAACCGGTGGGCGTGGGAGGGGGGAAAGCTCTCTAACTTTCTGGGCTTTATCCATCAAAATGGAATCCCTTGGCGGCATCCATTTTGAGGAAAGACGCCGATTTTGCCTGCGAACACTTCTTCAAAGCAGCCAGGCGTGGGGTGTTGACTTCTGATGAAGTTCATTCTTCGGAGCAACTATTAGGAAGCGCGTTAAGTGGGAGCGGGTTTGTCTTGCTGCCCCCTGCCCCCCTGAATTCTCATAGTATTGACTTCGGGGTACAGTTGACTTAGTGTAGTCGCCTAACTACTTGGTTTCAAGCGTAGGATAACCAGGTGCAAAAGTGAATTTTAGACGTTCCTGCTGCATCTGCCAAAATTTTCCCATAGGGACCTGTACCCCAGGCAGAAGACGCTTATTCATCTTTGCATCTAAGGCCCCTGAACACATTTTCCTAGAAGAAATTCCCATGTAAATTATGTCTGAATTGAGGTATAAGTTTGTATTATAGGGGCATTATTTAGACAGAGAAAAAGTTGTATAGCTCTCAGTTGGCCTTTTTTAGGGGTTTTTTTCTGTCTTAAAAACGCATAGGATTGCTTTCTACACCATTTTATCTGACAGCATAATCCTACCCTCATCAAAAGTAAATGCTACTGAATTCAGTGGGACTTACTCCTAGGTAAGTGTGCATACGACTGATCCTTTAGGAATCCCGTGAAATCCCCATCATCGCTACATCGATTGCGGCCAAGCTCTGCTGTTGCTCTTAAAAATGACGGTAATACAAATTCCTCCAATTCTGTAGACAAAGCCATGTATGAGTATTCCCCCCCCCCTCGTTCTTTGCTCCCTCAGTATTATAGAAACATGAAAATTAAGTTAAATGACCATGCAACAACCCCCAAACGAACAGGATAAAAATGGGGTGATACGGAGTCTGGTTACCCAGTAATAACTGGAAATATGGCTGACTTGTATCTTTAGGAACAGAATGGCGTCGCTCTGAAAGTGGCGTGTCTCTGATGAAGTCCCTCCATATTAAGAGAGATCAATTTTATCCTCGAATGTACCAGCAGGATGCGCTCGTGGGTGTCCTCTATTTCTTTATTTCTATCTCTATGGTTTACAGTGCTAGAGAAAGAGCTCGCGAGAGCCTTACGGAACGCTTGGAAGAATAAAGCGGGAAATAGGAGAGCGGAGGGCGTGGCTAGAGGGAAGAATCGACGGGGGGAGCGTGGCTTGTTTCTCCTGGCAACTCTGTTGTGGAGGTGGTGGCAGCTACCGGGTGGCTCTGGAAGCTTTGTCTGATTGCTCTTCCCCGTGTAGTTGTGCTCTATCGACCCCCGCCATTTTTTTTCTTTTAAATCACAAACGGAAATCCGTATTTTCCCGTTTGCAAATCGTTATCTTTGTCGCTTCCTCTTCGAGAGATCCACTCACTCGCTATGCGTAAGCGGGACCATCGTGTAGACCTGGCCGAGGCCGCTGCGCTCCAGCGGAGGCGCTTCAGGGAGCTGCAGAGGCAAAGCCGCGTGTTTGACGCCAGAGTCAGGACCATTGGTGTAAGGGACCTTTGAGCCGTCGGACGGGAGGTGTGGGCTTGATGTTCAGCTTTGAATGTATCAGATACAGTAAAACAAATACATTATCTGGTGGGCAGACCGCTTCTAAGCATGGGCGGAGTGTCTTGTGAGAGGGACGGCGCTTATTTTTTTTAAAGCGCCTTCAAAACCGGGCATTGATTTAGATTAAGTTTTTCTAAAATGGGAGTGCTAACAAGTGGTTTTATGAAGAATGTATTTCTAGTAGCCTGACTGATTGTTATCAATGACTATTGATAACTAGCAACCTTCAAATGAAAGTCACAAAAGCATGGGACTGGGACTTCGGCAATCTGGGTTTTAGTCCTTGCTTGGCCATGGAGCTTTGGGTGACTGGGCCAGCCACAGACTCTCGGTCCAGCCTTCCTGACAGGGTTGTTGTTGTGGAGATAAGATTGAGAACAGGAGGAGAATGATGTAAGCCACTTTGAGTTCATTGTAAGGGGGGAAAAACGGGATATAAATTTAATAAATGAAACTGATTTTGGACACTCCTTGTTGTAAATCAGAAGGGCTTGGATAACTCTGCATAATAAAAGTTAATACTGTCAAAAAATGGAATGATCAGAATATGTCTCATTTGAACTTTTCAAAATCACAGCACCAGCTGTTACAAACTGTACAGTCATACGCATGGCTTTTCTGAAGTCCCCTTGCATTCTGTGGTGCTTGCTCTTTGGTAAATAGGTAAGTATGGTAATTGCCATAGTTAATTCCCTACCCAACAGAATTTTGGCTGTATAAGTTCCTTGCAATAAAATATGTACCTTCTACAAGTATTCCTTTTGGAGTATTTCAGACTTTTTCATGCAATAGCAATATTAAGGTAAAAAATTACACACACACACACACACACACACACCCATGCTTATGTTGTGGAGAATTATTTTTACTGGAGTTCAGTGGAACTTATTTCTGGGTAAATGTGCATAATATTGCAGTCTACATGGATTAAAATCATTTAGCTATTTCTCTTCTTTGAGATGCTCACCACTTTATTACCAATTTGTCCCATGTTAGAATCACAACATTTTTATGAGATATGCTGAGACATGGTGATTAGACCAAGATTACTCTGTAAGTTTCATAATTCAGCCTGTTTGCAATATAAAACCTGATGCAAACTTGACAAGGATTTGAATACAGATCTCCCTTGTCTCATTCTATTATACTATATCTTTCACTGGAAATCTACACACTGCTGTATATAGAATGAATCTGTAAAGCATGGTTAGATAATTTAGATCATACATACTTAAGGTAGTGTTTTGAGCTCACAAAATGAGTTGATATCCTAATAACTCCTATGTCAACTCATATCTAGCACAAAAACATTAGGCTTGGAAAAGTTATGTGACTAATCTGTTTCTTATCTACCTTGTTCAGTGGATCACTTCTAATGTTGGAGCTAAGCCTGTGTGATTTTGGTAATTGGTCACTAAAATATTTTCAATCTTGCACATCAGCTACACAGTTTTGTTTTACTATGTTTCTGTTTTACAGGTTGAAAAGGAAGCTTTGGACACACAAATCAAAGATAAAAAGATTCAAGAAGCAACACAGAGGGCATGTGATGAATCAATCGGTATATTATAAAGCCAATAGTTTAAAAAACAGTTATTTGGCAGATAACTATCAATATGTTCTTTTTTGCAAATTTCTTACTAAATAATGCCTTAGTAGTCTTTGATTTGCTACAGAAAATGGTTAAAGACACAATCCAACAGTCTTAAAAATGTCATATTAGATAATTTATGGCATCAGTGCTCTTGAAAGCTTCGCATGACCTCATCAGAAAAGAGGTCCTCATATTTTAGAATGATTTCCTTCAGTTAGAAATGTTACTACACACTAGTCTTTGGAGAGTAGCACTAGATCCTTTGAGACGTATCTGGCAGTGGGAGGAGAAACAGGTATGCTTGATCACATTCTGAAAGCAGAATAAATAGCAAATTGTGTTGAAGTTAGATGCTTGACCAGAGTTTTTAAGGCTTTGGACTACTCATTTTGTTTCACGTTGCTATCAACTATTTTTAAAATCAGCTAACTTAATAAAACGTTTGTATCACTTGAATTTTAAACTGCACAAATGTTCTTTTGCAATTGCATAATATTTTGCTGGAACAGCACATCTTGTGTCTAGCTATTCCTGTAAAAAAAAAAAAAAAAAGCTCTGATAGCATTAAAGAACAGACAACTGGCACCTGAGTAGTGGCAAGATCTGAGCATCAGAGCTGCTTCCAGATGAGGTTTTTATTGCACTGTCTTTTTCACAGAATTTTATGAAGGTCCAGACAACATTCTAGTCTGCTCATAATTTCCTGTATTTTCTTGTCACTTGTGTCTGCTTTCTGGAAAAAAAATGTTACAGGAAAAGAAGAATTGGCTGCACATTGCCTTTTGAATGTTAAGTCTTCTTTCTAGAAGTCCCTTGGAGTTATTTACATTTCCATCTAAAAATTATATTCCTTGCATACTTTGATTTGGGTGAGCAAAGAGAGGATACAATATTTAAAAAAAACATGTTAATTTCTCTAGTCATAAAGCAGAACATTCAAATACTCGATTTTGTTTTCAAGTACCTTGATTTACACTGCAGTCCTACCATGATGCCTGTAAACCCCTGAACTCAGACACTTGGAAGCATCCAGGCAAGAGCAGTGGGAGTTAATCTTTGCCTCCCTGTTCCTCAGCCCTGCAGTTTTGCTAGATGGGGTTTTGCTGGGCTGAGGCATCTTGGCTGAGAAGGGAAGGAGGCTGTCTGCCCCACAAAATACCCTTTTTAACTATCTCTGAAGACATTTTCCCAAGCTCGAGAACTGCTGCTGTAGTTCTTTACACAACAGCTGTGGGGGGAGGGGCAGAGTCTAAGCTCTGATTTACATCTGAAGTTGGAGCAGTGTCTCTGACTTCATTGCTGAGAATCCAGAGTATTCTGTGTCCATTCAGATGCAGTCTAGGAGTCATAGCATTGCTCACTTCTGTCACAATCCAAAGTTAGAAGATTATGGGTAACCTATGTAGGGCAGGAGGACCACAATGGCAAAGGTCACCTCTACCCTCCTCTCACCTGCAAAGTATTTAGATGGCCAATTTCAACTGCTCAAGAATGCCTTAGAATGGGAATAAAGAAAGCTGAGCAGCTTCTAAGACACTTTATATCTTGGCAATCTAGTTCTCTTTCTGCCCCTCAGAATAACTCCAAAAGACTGTCTCTGAGGCTGTTGTGGCAACAGAGGCACAGCTAACATGGTTCTTTCAGAGCTGGCTGTGAGCAGGGTACAGGCCTGAGTGGGGATCCTCAGCAAAGACATTACAGTGATCTTCCAACCTCATCCTATGACTCCAGTCGCCACAATGGTGCTCTCTTAGTTTTTATTTTAAAATTGTGGATAAGGAAAAATAATGTGTTTTGCATTTAAGAAACAATGCATATATGAGTATGAAAAGGTGTATACCAGGGGTTCTCAAACTTTTTCACCAGGGGGCCAGTTGAAAGATGCCAGTGCTGGACGCGGGCTGGAAAGGTGGTACCGGCGGTACGCGTGGGCCAGCAAAGGGGTGGGGGTGGTGCGTGGGGGCGTGCGTGATGAAGCGGAGGTGGGGAGTGCAGCCAGGGGAGGCGAGGTGAGGTGGGAGTGGGCACGTGCTGCAAGGCGGGTGCATGAGGCAGCAGATTGCTCACTTGGAGATTGTTTTCTCCAAGTGAGCAAACCGCTGCTTCCTTGTGTGTAGGGCGAGGTAGGCGGTGGTGGGTACATGCATGGGGGCGGGCGCGCACACGATGGGTCCAAATGGGCATGGCGGGCCAGATAAATGGGCATGGTGGGCCGGCTCCGGCTCCCGGGCCATAGTTTGAGGACCCATGGTATAGATCTTATTTGAGTTACCAAGAGAACACATGTCAAATGGATTGATGTATGTAGTATAACCATATAACACTGTATGGTGGAGAAAAGTGTTGGGATGATTGTATTAGCAGAACAACTTCTTGTGTGCTGTAAAGGCATCTCCAGTTCATGGCAACCCTATGAATATTGTTATTGTTAGTCGCGAAGTCGTGTCGGACCCATTGTGACCCCATGGACAACATTCCTCCAGGCCTTCCTGTCCTCCACCATCCCTCGGAGTCCACTTAACATGCATAATATAATATTTCTAGATAATAGCTAGAAGAGATAAGTTCCAGAGAATAGCTAGAAGCTAGAAGAGATAAGAATGCCTTCTTAAATGAACAGTGCAAAGAAATAGAAGAAAACAATAGAATAGGGAGGACCAAAGATCTCTTTAAGAAAATTGGAGATATGAAAGGAAAGTTTCATGCAAAGAAGGGCATGAAAACGGACCAAAATGGCAGGGACCTAACAGAGACAGAAGAGATTAAGAAGAGGTGGTGAGATTATATAGAAGAACTATACAAGAAAGAGCTTAACATCCCTGATAACCACAATGGGGTGGTCACTGACCTCGAGCCAGACATCCTGGAATGTGAAGTCAAATGGGCCTTAGGAAGTCTGAGCAGCAACAGAGCTAGTGGAGGTGACAGTATTCCAGCTGAACTACTCAAAATCTTAAAAGACGATGCAGTAAAAGTGCTACACTCAATATGCCAGCAAATTTGGAACACTCAACATTGGCCACAGGATTGGAAAAGGTCAGTTTACATTCCCATCCCAAAGAGCAATGTCAAAGAATGTTCAAACTACCACACCATTGCACTCATTTCACACGCTAGCAAAGTTATGCTCAAAATCCTACAAGCTAGGCTCCAGCAGTATGTGGACTGAGACCTACCAGAAGTACAGGCAGGATTTCGAAGAGGAAGAGGAACTAGAGATCAAATTGCCAACACATGCTGGATCATGGAGAAAGCTAGGGAGTTCCAGGAAAACATCTCATGAATGTTATATTAGTCACGAAGTCGTGCCCAACCCATCACGACCCCATGGACAACATTCCTCCAGGCTCTCCTGTCTTCCACCATCCCCCAGAGTCCACTTAAGTTTACACCAACTCCTTCAGTGACTCCATCTAGCCACCTCATCCTCTGCCGCTCCCTTCTTTTGCCGTCAATTGTTCCCAACATTAGGTCTTCTCCAGTGAGTTCCTCCTTCTCATTAGGTGGCCCAGGTATTTGAGTTTCATCTTCAATATCTAGCCTTCTAGCAGTCGGTTGATCTCTAGGACTGACTGATTTGATCTTCCTGCAGTCCAAGGGACTCACAGGAGTCTCCTCCAGCACCACAATTCAAAGGCCTCAATTCTTCGGTGCTCAGCCTTCCTTATAGTCCAGCTTTCACTGCCATACATTGCAACTGGGAAAACCATAGCCTTGACTATACACACTTTTGTTGGCAGGGTGATGTCTCTGCTTTTTAGTATACTGTCTTGATTTGCCATAGTTTTCCTCCCAAGTAGCAAGCATCTTTTAATTTCTTGGCTGCAGTCCTCATCTTCGGTGATCTTGGAGCCCAGGAAAATAAAATCTCTCAACTACCTCCGTTTCTTCCCCATCTATTTGCCAGGAAGTGATAGGACTGGATGCCATGATCTTAGTTTTCTTAATTGAGTTTCAAGCCAACTTTTGCGCTCTCCTCTTTCACTTGCATCAAGAGGCTCTTTAGTTCCTCTTCACTTTCTGCCATTAGGGTGGTATCATAAGCCGATGTGAGGTTGTTAGTATCTCTTCTGACAATTCCAACTGGTGATTCATCTAGCCCCGCCTCTCTCATGATGTGCTCTGCATGGAAGTTAAATAGGCGGGGCAACAGTATACAGCCTTGCTGAACTCCTTTCTCAATTTTGAACCAATTAGTGGTTCCGTGTCCAGTTCTCACTGTTGCTTCTTGGCCCGCATACAGGTTTCTCAAGAGACAAATAAGATGGTGAGGTACTCCCCTCTCTTTATGAACTTGCCACAATTTGTTGTGATCCACACAGTGAAAGGCTTTAGCATAGTCAATGAAGCAGAAGTAGATGTTTTTCTGGAACTCCCTAGCTTTCTCCATGATCCAGCATTTATTGGCAATTTGATCTCTAGTTCCTCTGCCTTTTCGAAACCCTGCCTGTACTTATGGTAGTTCTCGGTCCACATACTGCTGAAGCCTGGCTTGCAGGATGTTGAGCATAACTTTGCTAGCATGTGAAGTAAGTGCAATGGTGCGGTAGTTTGAGCATTCTTTGGCATTGCCCTTCTTTGGGATGGGAATGTAAACTGACCTTTTCCAATTCTGTGGCCACTGCTGAGTTTTCCAAATTTGCTGGCATATTGAGTGTAGCACTTTTACTGCATCGTCCTTTAGGATTTTAATAGCTCAACTGGAATACTGTCACCTCCACTAGCTTTGTTGTTGCTCAGACTTCCTAAGGCCAATTTTACTTCAGATTCCAGGATGTGTGGCTCGAGGTCAATGACCACCCCATCGTGGTTATCAAGTACATTAAGCTTTTTCTTGTATAGTTCTTCCATGTAATCTTGCCACTTCTTCTTAATCTCTACTGCCTCTGCTAGGTCCCTGCCATTAATGAAAGCCCTCCAAATGACAGCTCCATTCAGCTCTTGCAGTGTGCAAGGCCATGGCTTTCTTTATGTATTCAATCCAGCTCAGATTTGGTCTTCCCTTTTGTTTTCTACCTTTAACCTTCCCTAATACAAGTTTTGCCTTTTCATTATGCGCCCAGAGTATGACAGCCTCAGTTTTGCCATTTAACCACCCAGTGAGAAAGCAAAATTCTTCTGAAGAAAGTACTGAAAAATTATGGCATTTTTGGTTGGTTGGTTGGTTGGTTTGTAAATGCAGAAGACAAGTAAGAGAAACAGGGAAGCGCCCAGTGTTAGTTTTTAAAAATTGCATCCATTTCCCAAGAGCAAATAGAACATATGTCTCCTTAATAACAATGAGATTTAAGCAGACATTGAAATGTAAACTGGGCGTTCATAATGAGATAAAAAGAGATGCTTAATTGCACAAAAAATCCCTTACTTACATAATGTTTTCGTTGTATACAGGTTATGAAAAACACTGTGTTTATAACCAGTTTTCTGTTCTCTCTAGTTACGTTAATTTTTCATCTTTTTGTGCTGCCTGCTTGTGTGTTACTTAAAGGGTTACGTACTTCTGTCACCAGAAGTTGGGTCAATGAAACTATATTCTTTAGAATCTCTTGTGCTTTGAGAACTTTAGCTTCCAAATAACAATAAAGGGAACTTCTATTTGCACACTAAGACTTAATCAGGCCACCTTTCCTACCACAGTACATATTATCAGTATAAGCCACTGTGGCTTGTTGTGAGCTGCCATGCATGCTAGCTTGTGCCAAATGCAATTTGTTTGGTCACTACATGGCCACAGCTTACCATGTTGTCTGAACAAGGATTGCATGGCTTGTTGGAGGTTTAAGCAGCCCTCCAGTAATCCAGTAGCTGTTGTTAGGTTATTTTAAGAGTGTCTAACCCTCCAGTAAGCCAGGTCAACTGTGCTGAAATAATATAAGCCGTGGCCAAGCAGGGATTATGCAGAATCACACCTGGCTAACAAGCCCAGTGTCATCAAAAGACGTAGCCCCACAGCAGCATATGATACAGTAGTGTGCAGAACTACATTTGACAGAGGAAATTGGAGGAAGCCATGTGCAACTAGAAATAGTTTGAGATGTTTTGGTACTAGAGAATGTCTCCTTTCTTTGCATGGTGATAAAAATATAAATAATTGACAGTCTGCCAACCACTATTTCAGCTACTTGAGGGTAACCATGTTCACTCTAAACATAGGGCTAGCCTTGCACAGAATCATCAGGTATAGGAATATGTAGTTCTTTGGATCCTATTCCATAGTTTAAAGTTGTAACTGATATTGTTAATGGTGTGCAACTTGGGTCCAAAACATCTTGAGGGTTACAAGTTGCCTACTTCTGGTTTCCTTTTTGATTTTACATTTCACAGATGTCCTTCTTTTTTAAATATCTAGCTGTGGAAATGAAGCAAAATGACAAGTTCCTCTGCATACTGGATGAACGGCAGAAAAGAGAAACTCAAATTCTAAACAAAGCTCTTAATGAATTTCGCCAAAATTATCAGCAACCAGAAACACGCCGTGAATTTGACTTGTCTGACCCACAAGGCCTAAAGAAAGATACTTCTGCTCATCTGGCAAACAGTGACCCTCACTGTACTATATCTAGCTTACAGAAGTTTATGGGAGAAGATCTCAACATTGCAAATAGGCAGAAATACCAGAAGGAGCAAACAAGGGAATGGCTTTTGCAGCAATGGAAAGAACGGCAGAATGCATTGGCAGACAAAAGAATTGCAGGTAATAAGTGAACGTGGAACTGTGAATTAGAATGGGGCAGCTAGCCATGTGCTCCTCCATACAAAAAATCATACATAGAAAACTAGAGGATTTATTTTTGAGATGTTTTTATATGTGGAAATAATATTTTATTTGAAGGAGAATTCAAGTTTGTGATGCCCCCATCTATGATCTGAAGCAATGGAAAGCCCAGATGTAGGTTTGCCACCTTGGGGAGAACATAGTCATAGTTAAATAAGGTGTTGGGTTAAATATATGGGTTAGTTTAGCAGTCATAAACCTGTTCATGTAGATGCCTTTATCCCCCCCCCCTTTTCTGCCATATATGTCCACCCCTTTTTGTCTCTCAAGGGGTACTAGAATTATAAAGAGAGAATTGTGAAACATATGGTTTATTCTATGGAGAAGAAAGGATACACCCCCTGGAATTAACTATACTGTATAACTAATTATATATAAATGAATATTGCCCTCTGATATGTGTAGAAGGGTCTAAGCAATGTGGTCTCAAATGTTTCAAGCTTTTAAACATTAAAATACTTTATATTGGGCCTAGAAACATGCTGGAAGTTGGTGCAGTATGGGTATCAGTGACTCCTACTGCTCACAAAGGGGATTATAGTGATGATGGGGAGTGTTTTTACCTTTCTCCCCTTTTTGAGGGGGAGATTTTCAAAAATCTCCTGTGGCCCAGTATCAGCAGAAGAGTTCACTCATGACAGCAAGTGTGGTGTAGTGGTTCCAGTACTGAACTGGAACTTGGAAATTCAAGCTCTAGTCCCCACTCAGCCATGAAAGCTCACTTGGTGATTTTGGGCCAGTTACTAATTTTCAGTCAAACGTATTTCACAGGTTTTGTTCTGTGAGGATAAAATGGAAAGAAGGAGAACCTTGCAAGCTATCTTGAGTTCCTTGCAAGAAAATGTAAGACAGGCTGTACATTTAATGTAATAGTAGCAGCAGCAGTAACATTACCAAATTGAGGAAGTAAGCCAGAATGTAAAAATAGAGGAGTCGCTAGTGTATTTGAAGTTGGACAGATCAGTCAAGAATTGAGAAGAAGCTGAACATGGAAATTGCCTTTAAGAAGTAGATAATAATGACAGAAGAGAGAACAATATAATGAATAGAAAGGTGTTTTTTCCCACAATGATATCAGTTGGCAGTATATATGATTCTATTTCACTAATTTAGATGATCTTTATGACAAGCACAGAATGGAACTTGATCAAACAGCTATGAACCTCCAAAGAATAGATGAAGAAACAAGACAGGCCATTTGTATCACTACTGAGGAATTCAATAAAGCTCTGGTAAATTAATACTCATTATTGGGAAAAGAAAAAGTCTTATTTTCTGAGTTTTCTATAATTTAATCCATCAAATATGGTATTGAAAAAAGTGTCAACAACAGACAAGGTTTGTGATGTTCTGTTAAGATATACTTTACCACAGGTATTTATCAATATTTCACTGCCAGTCCATTATTAAAGTCAACAAAGCATTGGTCTTGGACAAGGAATATCCAAGTTCAAATCTTCCTTCAGCTTGATGGTCACTGCTCTGCTTTGACTGAAACAGACTCTGAAGGATCTATCCAAAAGCAATTGTTGAAGTACAGAGGAGAAAATAAGGCTGAATATGTTACACAGTCCAGAGGCAGAGTCAAGCAGGAGTCCAAGGGTCAAGACCTGGAGAAAAGGTGTGAAAAACTGGACCTGCTTGCAGTTCTTGGTGGCTGATCACTAGCCAAGGCTCAGCTGTGGTGCACTGAGTTCTCTGACCAGAGCTATGCTTATGAGGATCACTTTTTCCTAAAGAGTCCTTCTTTGTGAGTAAGCACTCCCCATGGGAACGAACTAATTAATTAATTAATTAATTAAAACATTTGTATGCTACCTAATTGTGCCATAGCACCTATGTGGCTCACAGCTACAAGAGAAAAACATAATTAAAACCATAACACATTAAAAACAACCATAAAATACAGCAAAAAAATAAAAAACCAAGGTTCTATGGAAATTAGTTTTTTTTTTTTTTTTTTTTTTTTTTAGGGAAGGTATTTGCCTGTCACTGAAAAGAGAGTAAGGAAGGTGCCAGGCGAATCTCTTCGGGGAGAGCATTCCAAATATGGGGAGTAGCTGCAGACAAGGCCCTAGCAGCCATCCCTCTCACCTCCTTAAGGGAAGGCTCACGCAGGAGGGCCCCCTCAAAGGCTGGGTAGGCACACATGGGTTGAGGCACTCCTTAAGATAGCTGGGTCCTAAGCCGTTTAAGGCTTTAGATGTCAACACAAGCACCTTGAATTAGGCCCAGGCCACAATTGGTAACTCATGCAGATCTTTCTGTATAGGTGTTAACATGGACCGCTCTAGGGACTCCTACCACCAACCAAGCGGTCCTGTTCTGTACCAATTGTAATTGCTGGACTGTCTTCAATGGCAGATCCACATAGAGCTCATTGCAGTAATATATTTTGGATGTTACCAGGGCATGGGAGACTGTTTTCAGGCTCTGTCTGCCTAGGTAGGGATGAAATTCCCTCCCTCCACAGCTGGAGGAAAGCACCCCTGGACACAAAGCTCTCCTGATATTCCAGGAACAAACCTGGGGCCAGGAACACTCCAGAGTGTGGACCCTGTCTCTTAGGGGGAGTGCAACCCCATCAAGGACAGGGCAATTCCCCTCCAACCTGTCAGATGGCCCCCCTACTAGCAGCACCTTTGTCTTATCAGGATTAAGCCTCAGTTTATTGGCCCTCATGCAGTCCATTATCAAGCTCAGGCCCAAGTTCAAGACAGCAACAACCTCACCTCGATGAAATGTAAAAGAGAGGTAGAGCTGAGTATCATCAGCATATTGTTGAGTCCTCAGCCCAAACCTCTAGATGACCTCTCCCAGCAGCTTCATATAGATGTTAAAAAGCATGGGGGACATCACTGAGCCCTGTGGTACCCCATGGTATACCTGCCATGGCACAGAGCAACAGTCCCCCAGGACTACCTTCTGGACTCGGCCAGCTGGGTAGGAGTGGAACCACTGCAAAGCAATGCCTCCAACCCTGACACTGGCCAACCTGTCCAGAAGGACACCATGGTTGATGGTGTTGAAGGCCACTGAGAGGTCAAGGAGAACCAACAGGGTCACAGTCCCCCTGTCCCTCTCCCTACACAGGTCATTATACAGTGCAACCAAGGCCGTCTCTGTTCCAAACCCAGGCCCAAAGCCTAATTGAAATGGATTTACATAATCCGTTTCCTCCAAGAGTGCCTACAACTGCCTGGCCACCACCTGCTCCAACACCTTGCCCAAAAATGGGAGATTAACAATGGGGCAGTAGTTTATTTATTTATTAAAACATTTTTATGCCGCCCCATTCGCTGAAGCCTCGGGGCGGCTTACAACAATAAATTAAAACATCATAAATAACATTTTAAAAAATATACATTAAAATAAAATACAAATATACAATATAAAATAAGCCGCCCTGGCCAGATAAAATTCAATAATATTAACATTTAAAATGCTGCTTAAATAAAAAGGTCTTTGCCTGGCGCTGAAAAACAAATAACGACGGCGCCAGGCGGACCTCTCTGGGGAGCGCATTCCATAACTTAGGCGCCACTGCTGAGAAAGCCCTCCTCCAAGTAACCACCCTCCTAACTTCTTTCACGGAGGGCTCCCGGAGAAGGGCCTCTCCCGCCGATCTCGGGGGGCAGCTGGGCATATATGGATGTAAGCGCTCCTTCAGGTAACCAGGACCCAAGTCGTTTAGGGCTTTATAGGTCATCACCAACACCTTGAATTGGGCCCGGACTTCAATGGGAAGCCAGTGAAGCTGACAGAGAACTGGAGTCATGTGAACATAACGTCCAGTCCCCATCAGCAGCCTGGCAGCTCTATTTTGAACCAATTGAAGTATCCGGACCGTCTTCAAGGTAGCCCCATGTAGAGCGCATTACAGAAGTCAAGAGGGGAAGTCACCAGCGCATGTGTCACTGTCGCAAGGCAGTTGTTCTCCAGGTAGGGGCGCAGCTGATGAATCAGCCGAAGCTGGAGGAAAGCGCTCCTCACCGCTGCTGTTACCTGAGCTTCCAGTGAAAGCTCAGGGTCAAGGAGCACTCCCAAGCTGTGGACCTTGTCCCTAAGAGGAAGTGCAACCCCGTTCAGGACAAGGTTCAATTCACCCTCTCCGAAGCCCGATCCGCCAACCAACAGGACCTCCGTCTTGTCTGGATTGAGCTTCAGTTTATTGTCCCTCATCCAGCCCATTACCTCGGCCAGGCACCGGTTCAGCACAGCCACTGCCTCACCTGGATTGGTGGAGAATGAGAGGTAGAGCTGGGTATCATCAGTGTACTGATGATTCCACAGCCCACACCTCCTGATGACCTCTCCCAGCGGTTTCATGTAGATGTTGAACAGCAAAGGGGACAAAATGGACCCCTGCGGTACTCCATGGCATAGCTGCCATGGCGCAGATCCATAGTCCCCCAGCACCACCTTCTGGAATTGGCCGTTGAGATAGGAGCGGAAACACTGCAAAGCAGTGCCTCCGACCCCCAATCCCGCAAGCCTATCCAGAAGCATACCATGGTCGATGGTATCGAAAGCCGCTGAGAGGTCTAGGATCCAGGTCTGGCATTTAAAAGAGTAGGGACTACTCCCTTTTTAATGAGGTGTTGATAGCCTCCTGGACCCAGGCTGAACCCTGTCAGATTTCCCAATCAGCCAAGATGGGCATGGAGGCATGTGGTGAATTGGACAGAGTTAAGCACCTTATCCCCATCTTCAGGTCTTAATAACTAAAATTCATCCAATAACGGACCATTAGACGGTGCACTAGACACATCCGAAGATTGCACTGCACAAATGCTTGAGGCAACATTTCTCCTGGGAACCAGAGGAGAAATGTTCAGCTGTTGACAGTGATGGACCCGCAGTCATCTCCCCCAAAGATCAAAGATCAAGGCCTTCCCTAGTCTGGTGACAGTGGCTGATCTGGGGTATTCCTGGTTTCTGAGAGCTCTAGCTCTTCCTTCCCAACAAATTCAAGTAGTTCAAGTAACTTGTGTCCCTAGCTGTTGTGGGACGGAACCAGCAGGAGCAACAACACTTGAAGCATGCTGCCTCAATCTTTATTTGGGGTCATGCCCCATGCAATCAAGGAGGTATTGCAGGTGGTGATGGGAGATCAAAATATTGGCTACTTCATATTCTTTTTCAACATCGATGATCGCTGGAAGTGAACTGACAATCTAGTGATGGAAAAGATGGTCCAGCGCATCAGGAGCCTATAGAGATTGATGGAAGTCAAGGTGAATTTGCAGAACTGGAGGCAGATGAAGGCAATAAGTGACTGGTGTAACCTGTGTGATTATGGGGATATGGCCAGTGAAATTGATGCCTAGCTTGCAGCTTAGTTGGTGCATGAAAGGATCATCTCTGGATAGCCAGACTTGGCCTTCCATCTTTAGTGGAGGTCCAGGTTGCCTCTTGTTTGCAAAATATTTGCAAGATTGTTTGGTTTGCTCCAGTTGTTCCAGCAAGAACAGATACGCTATCCTGAGGCTTGTAAGCCATTCTGAGGCTTGTTGCAAAGGATGGCATAGAAATGTTTCAATTAAATTAGATTAAAATCCCAACCAGAATGGCAATCAGCTAGGAATGCACTTAATGACAAAGGCCTTGGATCATTCACACTGAAAATTGCTGTTTCTTAGGTCACAGGACTTGAGGCCAAAGGCAGCCTGTGGTCTCCATGGTTACAGGACTGCTGATGGGGTGTATGGGTCATTCCAAACCCATTGTCTATAAACTTTCTGGAGGCTGCTGTGTCCTTATGGAAGAATACAAGGCAGGTTAATTAAAATAGCTCAGGATCTTGGCTACCAAGAGGGACTAAGCATGACAATGTTTTGGGAGGACAGTGTCTAGTACAGTCTTCTCAACTCAGACCTAGGACTCTAGACCTGGGGAGAGTATGTTCTTTGGAGCAGTAATTTGCATGATGCTTGGCCTGTCAGCAGTATAAGCATAGGCTTGATAATCAGTGCTGATCGTTTTCTCCATACATCAGATGTAGCCAAGCAGTACCCAGATTTTCTCCAAGTACACTGAACTTGGTTGGATGAACACAGGTTCCTTGGGTTGTCAAGAAAGCAGAACATGAAAGACATAGTTGCCTTAAGTTGTGCATTGTTAATTGATCTCTCTATCTGGGATAGCTCATCTAATACCTTGCCTGCCAGCCCTTCTTGAAATTCATCACCAAGATGGACTCATTCCAGTTGTAAACCTGAGCTAGAAAACA